TATTATGTACACAGACACAGGTCACACAAAAAATGGTCAGTCTTGTGGCCAAAATACACTGTGACAATCAAGGCTTAGTGAGATTCCTATCAAATCTTTCTCCAAAACAACACATCTAGACATATTAAACAACTGTACTAACCTCGCACTCGCAGCGAAAGGCGGATGATTTCTTACTTCGTTAGCTGTTGGAATGTACATGTATGTATGGATGTATGGGTGGATACGTGACTTTTGGTTGTGACAACAATCAGAGTTTCTGATCACATTTTGTTTACTTTAGACCCTGATCTGGAGAACAGCCCTGCAGAGTCCTCTGAAAGTCCATCCCAACCTCCATTACCTGAGGCACAAATCCAGGTAAGTAAAATACTTTTCTTTGACAGGTATCTAGCAGTGTTGTAGTACTCGTACTCGGTACTCATACTCGAGTACTACTCCAGTACTTTTTTGGGAGTACTCGTACTCGTACTGGAATGTCAAAGTACTCGTACTCGAAATGACGGTACTCGTACTCGGGCAGCAAAGTACTCGTACTCGACATGTCGAAATTGTACTCGATCATTAAAGTACTCGTACTCGAATAGCAGTACTCGGGGAAAAATGGTATACAGCTTTACTTACCATGGCCTTATTTTATCGATAGCTACTTTCAGTTTGAAATGGTTGATTGGCTTGTGGAGAAATCAAAATTTCCAGATTTTCCTCTGTGCACGTCCGGACAAACACATTTAACAGCTAGCCGTGAGTACATGTACATGTAGGTCTGTACGGTCTGACTGGGCCTGGGCCAATTACGCACAATGAACCATTTGCCGTATGGCCGTATTCGGAAATGCGAGTACTCGTACTCGTAAGTACTCGTACTCGTACTCGGAAGTACAAGTACTTGTACTCTGAGACCCGTTCTTGTACTCGGAGGTACAAGTACTCGGACTCGTACTCATACTCGGCAACCGAAGTACTCGGCAGTACTCGGTACTTAGAGTTATCTAGAAAAGGGAAATCCTCAAAACTAACAGACTTTCAGAGTCTTTATCTCTGTAGCATTTCTAGATGATTTAATTTTAACAACATCGTATGTAAAAGACTATGTGGGATGGTTTGATATATTCAATATTATGGGACGGCGGTCTCCACAATACAACCCCCTAGGCACTTATAATGAACAAATAAGCAAGCTTCTAACAATTGTGTGGGAAAAATTATTAAAAATCCGTCCGACATGCTTCATTCCGTCCGACATGATTTTCAGTACATTAGGTAACATCCTCTGTACAAACATGAATATTTGCAATCTTTAGACAGGTTTCTTAGCTGACAAATATTATCCACTTCAGGTCCATGTACAATGTCTTACATGTACATTTTCTGACAAAATGCATTCAGAATCTTACTGGTGGTTGAAAATGTCCAATGTATACAGGAACAATTTAGCCAATATTCGCGCGATTTTCCACATTGGGCACTCACAAAAGGCCTGCTAAAAAAAGGACCCTTGTTTATAAGAAAATGGCACTCTTTGCAAAATATTGGGGGAGGAGGAGCATGTGCGTATTTGAGGGGGGGGGGTGGTTTCCGAAAAAAAAAGAAAAAAAAAACAGCTCTGTCTAACACATTTTTTTCTCAACAGAAATGATTGAAAACAAATGTGACTCCCCCCCCCCCCCCCCCTTTGACACCAAAATATTTTTTACTAGCAAAATACACAAAATATGGACAGAGCCAGCTTGGTTAGGGGGCATACCGGTACATGTACATGTACCGGTATGTACACCATTTTGTGATACATGTATATCTATACTACAATCACGAAAATGATTGGGGGGCGCTGCCATTTTCCCGACCGGTCTCCCGTCCCCATCGCGCCCGTTGGCCGCGGGGGATGCGGAACGGGGCCCGGCTATTTCCACCCTATTTCCCATAATTCCCTTCCCCATTGGGCCGCGCCGGCCATCTTGCGTACGGGCCGGATAATTGACGTGCCACGTCGTATACGTTCGTTTATGAGCATGCAGCGTACGGGCCGGATAATTGACGTGCCACGTATACGTTCGTTATGAGCATGCAGCGCATGCAACAGCACAGCGTTGTTGACATGGTTGATGTATCTGTTCCTCCTTGCTCCAGTTTTCTCTTTGAACGGTAAGTCTCATTTATGATATGTATTTTTGTTTGAGAAAAGTGGTATTCTTTCGAACGCCACTGGCATTGAGAAGCATTGTTGTTTGTGAAAAGTGTGAGTTTGTAAGTGTCCAATGATGGCGTAGTCTGGTGGTAGTACGGGGAGGGTTGTACGGGGGGAGGCCTCGGCCCGAGTTTGGCCGTGTGTTTACTTAGCTAGGCTTAATGTGGCCAATTTACTGCATGCTGCATGACCTCCGCAACTACAGGCCTCACTTGGAACATGTACCCGAACATGTTTGTAGAACTTTGTCAACTTTTGATTTCACAATTGGGCTTTGTTGGTAGTTTATTTTTGGATTTTGCTTTAGTTTGTTTTAGTCCTAAGCCTAGGCCTACTACTACTACTCAGTACTAGCTACAAAACAACTGCTGCATTTGTATATAGGCCATGAAATGTACATTCATTCCATACAAATGATGCAAACTAAATCTTTGTGGTAATCTTAGAACACGGCAAATCATACTAAAAACTTCCTTTAAAGAAATGGCTTTCATACTCATAGGCAAAACAAAATTACTTTACTGCAAATCAAAGACCAATAACCAACTTAATAAAGAAACCCTCAAATCAAAATTAAAGACGTGATCAAGTTCAAACCTCAGGCCAAAAACCAAAAAATACAGGCAAAGACTAAAACCTGAAACCAACACAGTTAGAATAGTGGATCTAAGAGAATACACTCTGGCAGAAAATCACATGACTTGACAACAGACATGAACCCAAGCAGGATAAAGAGGAAACTAATACATTGATGACTGTTCAGTGTCTCTGCTGTTCTGCTGAGATAAAATCAAAAATAAAACATGTAAGACATGTTTCGTTGTTTCGCATGTTTGGTTAGTACTTCAGTAGTGCATTCCGCATAAATGGGGTATTGCAAGTTTTCTTCACCTTAGTCGTTATTCTTTTCTTTCTAACTCCTTTACACAGGACTCCCGATGACACCCACATCACATGACCAGCTCCAACCATGCTCCAAACATGCTCCAGTGCATGCTTCAACCAGTTCCTAAAGCAATAATCTCAACTCAAGACGAAGACACCTATTCTTTCAAGTTCAACTGCAAGATTCCTGCTTTTTCTCTTTACCCATTCAAAACACATTTTCCTTCTAGCCATAATTTTATTTTTAGAAGTCATGAAATAGTGCAAAAAAAATCACTCTTTTCTGCTGTTTGATGTCCATCCTTTTTTTAAATTATATCCTTTGCTTAGTTGTACCCAAGAATAATGATGGAATGATTACCCGATAATTACTGGCCAAGCAGACTGTGTCGATCCTGGCAAACTTATTTGATAACAAAACAATGTCTTTGATTACCAAATTACATAATCACTCTTAAAATTTCACAACAAAATATTCATGATCGCATACCCCTCCGTTTCTCATGAGTTTTCACCAACACTCATTAAAAAAATGTTGTCCTGTAACTTACAATGCCACTGTCATTATTTATGATTACAGCTTTTAACACAAAAAAACTGCAATTGCACAATAACCTTTGGCTGTCTTGCTTGAAAGTCTTTCATGGAATGTTTGTGCCTATGGTAAACAAGCCTGGACCGACGTCCCTTGCGAAAATTGCTCCTAAAACTGACTACAATTATATCCCCTGAGTTTTGTCGAAGTACTACCCTGTACAGTAATGAATGCAAATACATTATTACAAAAAAAATGTGTGTATACCTGATTTCATTTTCACAGTTTTGTAATAAATACATTTAAAATGTGGTGCTTGACATAATTATGAAGTGCTCCAATATGTCCTTTCTTTTAGTTTTACTCTCTTCTGCAAATAAACGTGTTACGATACTTTGCTGTACAACCCCATCACCATAATAAAAACACCAGCTGCTATAATGACATTAACTTCTACTTACTACATAAGAAACACCCCCTTCACCATAACAAATATAAATTGTTGCCCACTTCCCCGGAAATATAAGTGACCATTCACAGGTGTAACATAAATAGGCATGGGCGTCGCGGGGAGGGGGGGGGGCACTCCCCCCCCCCCCCCTTAAAGCCAAAAAAAAAGTCATAGTGGTGTAAATTAAATGGGTTGGGGGGGGAGCAAAATGTCTCTGCCCCCCTCTAAAACTGATAAATCGAGAATGTGTTGAGAAAAACAGGCATTTTGTGGGCAAAAATATGTTTTGCCCCCCTCTAGAAAAAAATCCTGCGACGCCCACACAATACCCAACCCCCACCCCCACTGGCTGCCCCCTCCTCTCCTCTGTAGTGAGAACGATGGATACGACGTTGTATAGGCCAAGATCAAACCGCGTTTCATCTAAATTACCTAATTGTACAGTTGGTGTATACGTCCTTAATGGTTTGGCACCTTGAAAATTCAATGTTCAAATTGACTGGACAATATTCCTGCACAACATTATTTATGAGCTTTATATAATGAGACACCGCATGAGACAATCGGTCGGCAATGAATGCTTAATTTCATTCAACTGTTGACAGCAAGACCTTCCTAATCGGCGCGCAATTTTAAGCATTTAAATGGTATGAATCCCAGCACAAACATAAACCTCCACAATATCAGCGATTTCAATATCACTATCTCCCCTCTATAACAAAAACCATTTCTCCCCATCCCTGGAAATGTTTCTCCCCATCCCCGGAAATATTGGTGACATGGTCGACGGGTTTTACGGAAATTGGGCGTTCCAACTAGCACCCTTCACCCTAGCTAGCCCCTTCCCCTATATTGACGATATGTCCTGGACCCTCGCACAATCTCCGCAGGAAACGTTATGTACGCGCACGTTGAACGCAAATACAAATTAGGCGAGACTGATGGCGAGTCCAAATAGGCTCGCGCCTCGCGTGCAGCAGAGGGTATGATTCTTTATTTGACTTAACAGTTGTTTGGAGTTATTAGAGTTTAAATTATCGAGATTTCATTGTATGCAGTAATTATTACGAAACAGTCAACTCTACCCATCTAGCGGGTGCCGCGCGAAGCGCGGCATCCCGCTAGTTGTAAATAATTGTCGGATTGAACAGCGCCCCCATTGAAAGTATAAGTACGAGCTCCCTCCCCCCCCCCCCCCCCCCCCCCAGTGTCCAGAGATCAAAAAGCCCTGTCTACATTTCAGATCTTTTTTTGCTGATGAACCACCCCCCCCCCCCCCCAACGGCGAAAATTCCTGGATCGGCCCCCCGGGGGTGTTGGGGGGGGGGGGGTGCAACCACTAGTGAAGAAAGGTAATCACTATAAAATATTGGGGGGGGGGGGCTAGACAGCTTCACTTTGGCACACTTTGTTTCGCGTTTTCTATCCTTGAATTAAATTACAAGCTCATTTCTCCTTGTTTTTTCCAGGTGTAATTGCTCCCTAAACTTGCTACATGTATTCCGCTCTCTTGTTTTAACATGTTACTCTTCTTGATACATTGATGCTCTGTATGTGTATAGCATTATACAGCTAACAGCATTGTTGCACTGCTCTGACACATTATAACGATAATTTCCCATATAACCTATAACGAGATTTTGCCCTTCACCGACGTTTTAAACACTGTATATACTCAGTGTGTTACCTCCAGTGTGAAAGTTGGAAAAAATCACTCGGGTGGGACTCAAACCCTATTATATTATTATTATAATAGATAATTTCCAAATTATTAAGTTCATGTAACACAGTAGTCATGTTTGGTTTATTAATATTTAGATAAAAAACATTTACATATGCTGGTATACATGTAGGTGAGTGTAAGTGTTACACATGTACTTGACAAATTACCTGGATACACTTTTAAATTCTCACCTACATGTACATGTATGGAACATTGTAATAATGTCTAATGAACCTCACTATCTTAACACAAATATATGTAAAAGCCATCATCAGTCCAAAAAGAATGTACACGATTATAATTAATGTCTATACATGTAATTGAACATGTACACAGTTTAATTCCCATGAATCTAGAAGGTTGCTGTAATTATTGGAAACACCCAGGTGTGTGACTGGTCAGTAGGCTGCCAAACAAGTCAGAGTGTTAAGCTTTGGCTAAATTTGGATTTGCGCATGTCGGATGATATCTTACTGTCCTGTGTAGGCTTTGCTTCGATGGTACTGAAATGAGCAAAGAACAATATCAACTTGGTAAAAGTTCTTTATCCCCTACTTTATGTTTAATAAAGCAATTATTGATATCAGTTCCTCGAGGAACAACTACCGGTATCTACATGTAGGAATGTAAAGTCCATTTCCGTCCGACATATACCATTCCGTCCGACATGCAGAAATCATGTCGGACGGAAAGCACTTTTATTCATTTTATCTGGAAGGGTGACGAGGTGAAACATAAAACTTCTTGTTGGTGTTAATACTTAGTCTATTGATTGATACTTGACAATATTTGCCTTTTTATTAAAACAAGTAAATTAAAAATACATAACATTTTAACAACCTAAAGCATGTCGAACTGAAATCTTCACAACAAAAATCATCATTTGAAATGAAATACCGATACTAAGATTTACGGCAGCAGCAATAATGATGAAATGGATAATGACTGAAGACAATCTAAGTTATTGTTTTTGTGGAAAAGATAGAATTCAAGGCATTTGTACTTATTATGAGAAGGGTTTTCTTTAAATGCAAAAAAATCTGTCCGACATGAATTGATTTCACTGGCCACATTATTAAAGCAACTTTTCACTGAGATAATTATGTAAATTTATTATTTTTTTTCGTTCAAAACAGTAAATTAGGTTAATATGCTTCAAAAAGAAGGATTTGTAAATCTTGTTTAGGGCTTTTTAATTTCTTACCTCTATGATGACCACTTATGAAACATGCCCAATAATACATTTGGCAATGATGGCTATCACAAAGTGTGTATGGAAATGGAAAACATTTTCATGATGAGTCCAAAAGTCTACCAATCTGCCTTTGGGCAGTTTCACGGGAAAGGTTGCAAAATGAAAAATATGAAATCGATGCTTATTTCATAGGAAGACTTGGTTGGAATTTGCTGGTTTCTGTCTCACAAGGACCATCATTTTGTAGCAGTCTCCAGAAAAAAAATCGCAGCTCTACGCATTACGGTTTTCAAATTATAAGCTCACATGGGTGCTAAAGCACAAGATTTGGAGTCTCATTCACATTTTCTAGAAACTGCAATTGATGAGAATTAAAAATAAATGCCATGGGAACCACCCAGACTTGCAAGGACATTGAAGTATGTCCCAAAAATATGTACACCAAATTTCATTAGGATTGGCCAACTCGTTCTTTTGTAATGCCGTTTTGAGTGAGACATTGATGTGTTTGTTAAACGTTTTTTCAAAATGTCCTTTCCTGAACATGGTATTTTTTCCCAGAATTAAAAGAAAGAATACACAACTTATTGCCTGTCAAAATGACGCTACACACTCCAGTAATCAAGTATAAAAAGATGGGAATTGGATAATCACAACTAAATTTGATACAGCAGCAGTCGCATATGCCATGCAAATGTTTGTTAAAAATGTCCTTTCCTGAACATGGCCCCCCTTTTTTTACAGGAAGTCAGAGATAAAACTTTTTTGACATAAACATGTACCTAGGGGTGTACTTACTAGATTTAACAGACTACAAAAAGAATCAGACTCGAACCTTGCTTGCTGTCATGACATTGTCGTTAAACTGCATTGTCCTTTCCTGAACATATAGTTTAACAGAGTACTTGGCAAAACCATGGTTGCAGAAATTTGATGAAGTTTATGCTTATATTGTCTGTAAAGTTTATGTTCTAAAATTAAAACCAACTAAATGGCAAGAAAGTGTTAATGTTTTGTTCTTACAGGTCATTTACTCACTCATGTTTACACACAATATGAGTAAGCATATGCATATAGTATACATTTATCTTTACAAGGCACACTTACATGTAAATCCAATATTTGTCAGGAATTGGCTAATTTACAGTTTCAAACCATCCCTTCCACAAAATACACACATTAGTTTGAGTAAATGTAATCAAAATTTACTGTTTTAGTCTAGTTTCTGTGTATTCATGTGTTCAGGAAAGGACACTTTTTTTAACAAGTTTAACAACATCTGTTATACATTGTACCGCACTGTTTTAACCATTCTTTCTGTGTGCAGCCATTTCATTAGTTTAATTGCTATGAAAAATGGAACAGTCAAGCTTATCATGCACTGATCATGCACAGCTTGTTAAAAATAAAATGTGTGTCCTTTCCTGAACATGTTTGAAACATTTAACAAGGAACAAGTACAGATACACAAGAACCTTCCTCAGTGCATACATGTACTACATGTACGTACGTGTGTACAAGTTCTTTAAACTGTTTTGGGCTTGATGTGCCTATTCCTAGTTACATGTAGATCCCATTTTATAAAAAGCGTCAAGCTGACTGATTTTTTTTTTTTCACTGGATAGTACAGTGTAATTATCTAGGCATTTCTTTGTGGGGCATGTACCGGTACGTGTATATATCAGTGTCTCAATACAAAGTTATGTTTTCGCCAGCAGTAGGCCTAATTATAGCCTAATCATTTGAATGGACATTACTTCAGACTAACTTTATTGTCATGCAGGAAATGCATGGTGCTAGTACCAGTATGCTAAACATTGTTAAATAGTTTGTCCTTTCCTGAACGTAAATTTAGTTAGATGGAGCAATAATAAGGTACAAACTGATCTGCCTCACAAATGTATAGCCTCCCAACTCTAGTTTTATGGTTATATTTCTTGTAATGTTGCTTCATAAGATCAAACTTGACTGAATGTAGTAATTGTTAAAATTGTTGACCTTTCCTGAACAAAGTAAACCCTTTTCATAGCAATTATAAAGACCATGGTAACTCTATAACGCAGCACACTATAAACACAATTTCTTTGCCAATTGTTCTACCATGTATACAGCCCTTGAACAAAAGTGCAAATAATCAGCAGGCTACATGGTTTTCTGTAAAACAGAAATGAAAGTTTGTGTTTCAAGGAAAAGAGAGCTATAAAATTGAATTTTTTTGTCAGTATATGAGATAACGTGGTATTTTTCTAGCCTAGAGTGCATTAATATTCAAGACATGACTACTGTGATGACTATCAATCATTTTAAAGCAACTCTAAGCATGTTTGAGATGTGGAATTAGCAGTTTATGATACCTACCTTTATTCGACAAATTTTATGGTCTGCAAAGTGTAAAGTGCCTTAAAATTGAAATGAAAAAATGTTTTTAAAGCCTTGACTTTAACATTTTCTAGTACCTTTATGTATGTACTTTCAACAAATAAACATGTTTTATGGATACAACAAGTTTCATTTTTGACCCCCCGTGAGACTTTTTTGCAACCTTTCCCGTGAAACTGCCCCTTTACAGATTGAAACTGATGTGCCAGTCAGCCCGGCATCACCTGCCACCCAACCAGCCAGCCCGGCATCACCTGCCACCCAACCAGCCAGCCCGGCATCACCTGCCACCCAACCAGCCAGCCCGGCATCACCTGCCACCCAACCAGCCAGCCCGGCATCACCTGCCACCCAACCAGCCAGCCCGGCATCACCGGCCACCAGACAAGTCAGCCAGGCATCACCTGCCTCTACACCACCTCGGAGTCCCCAGCAAAAGCAAAGGCTGATAGACGGAATCACGGCCCTCAGCGAGGCGACTGAATTCACTGAAGCCTTTAAGGAGTGGGTGTATACTTCATGCAACAAATCAGAACCCAACACGGACGCCTGCCTATGTGGGAGCACAAAGCCCAAATATATGTTTCACATTAAAAATGTTCAAAATAAGCAGGCAGCACGGCTGGGTGACCATTGTATAAAACACATTCCCCTGGCTTCTGGCATAAATCTAGGGTTTGTGTTGAGCACTGCAAAAGCCATGATTGAACGTGGTTATAAAGTGCTCTTCACAAAACAACTGGGTGATGAATTGAACATTTTAATTGATAGGAGCACCAGCATACTAAAATACCGCACTCAGTTAGAGGCAATGTACCCAGGAGGAATACCTCTTGATCAGCAGTCCTTGATTGCAAAGGCAGGATGTGATGAAGCTAGGCAAATGATAGCCAATAGGAACTACACAATTTGGGTCAAGTTGTATGTTGCTGATGAAACAGCTGCTCCAGGTAACTTGACTCTGAAAGCTGAAGTAATCAGAGCCGAGCCTGTTAAAGAGGTAGTGAAAAAATAGTGACACATTGGACAAAAGCACAATTTTTTTCACCAAAGCATCTCCATGGTATACCTTTTCGAAAAAAAGACGGACGCAAAAAATTGGATGATGGGAAGGGCATGTATGACGTCATTATGACGTCATCAGCTAATTATTACATGAAACAAATATAAATTGATAATAATCTTCAGAACTACAAGCATTACAACAACAAATATGGTATCAAATTAAAGGGGACAGCAAGCTCTTTCATTTGAGTGGTATGTCATGGGGATAGAATATAGTTAAGGTTGATTTTGTGGGTCAAAAAAACCTTTTTTGGTCAAAAGACATGTTTTTTAGGCTGAAATCATGGATTTTGGGTAGTGAGATTGACACTTTGTTTTAACATGCAAACAGTACGGTATGTGGTATTGTGAGATGTTGTTTTTAAGTTCGAGAGAAAAGTTCAAATTCTATGCCAAAAGAGTTTTTATAATTGATTATTAGTAGGCCCTATCATAAATATGTTTAAACTTGTTCCAAAGATAAGCGGAAAAGTGAGGCATCTTATAGCGAGATACATTTGTAACAAAAATGCTAAGGATTGTTACATAGTATTTAAAAGCACCATTTTTTTCACCAAAGCTTTGCCAATGTTTACGATCAAAAATAGGGTAGGATGCAAACAATCAGATGACAGGAAGGGTACTTTATGACGTAATAATGACGTCGCAATATATACTACCGAGCTTGTACAGTAATTCATTGTAGAAAATAAGGTCGTGAAGCGTTGTGATGAGATTCCAAGTAATTAATTTGGCATTTTGAGGGTCCGGGAATTGAAGAGTGATATAATCAGTGACATTAAGTAACAATAAGCTGATTTGCTGTTGCAGTGACGTCACTATTTTCAAATTTTCTTGAAAAATCTAAGCATTTTTTTATCATGGACAAAAGTGCTACAATGACGGTATTTGTCATGCAGAAAATAAATTGTGTGAAATTGTGCGGCTCCTTGAATTTGGTCCTTACCACATCCATTTGTTTTGACCATTTACTATAGCTGGAAGACGTAACCTTCTTATATGTGTTGTATATTACGGGTAATGAGGTATGGGTTAGGAGCCAGACAGAAAGGAACGTGGTAACCTGAAATAGATTAACAGAGTGGCCGGAAATGGTGATGGTACGTCTTTTAACAATGTATTACAAACGGGGGCCGCCCGATAGTCCGAAGGTCCAATAGTCCAATTAGTCCGAAGGTTCGATAGTTCAAATGCACAAAATTTCCATAAGAGGGGGTTCGTTAGTCCGAAAATGAAATAAGGTTCATTAATCCGAACATTTGATGCAATAGTCCGAAGGTTCATTAATCCGAAGGTTCATTAGTCTGAAGGTTTATTTATCCGAAGGTTCGATAGTCCGAATTGAGAATAAGGTTAATCAGTCCGAAGGTTCAATAGTTCAAATCGAAAATAACAAGCCCGCGGTTTCTCCGCAGCTAAGCGCGGCGCTTCGAACGTCTAGCACAAAGTAACACTGTAAAATATCAGGAGGAGGTATTTTCTAAATCTTCAGGCAGTGCAGAATCGATATTTCTCTCAATGAATCTAAAATCATGACATGTCTATTATATTTCCGCCATGATGGAAGCTTTGACCCGAAAAAAATAACCTCGGCCATGACAATGGTGGCAAAGTTGATGCTTGTCACGATTTTTTTCTTTCGATCTTTCAATAGGGGCAAAGTGCATACCTTTCCCCTGAAGGTTTTTCTTTTCATTTAAAAGTTTCATTGACGTTGCTAGCATTCTGTACTCAACATTAACAAATAGCAAGGTTCACACACATCCCAACCTAATAGGAGTGGGACGGGCTTCCATTGAAACTAGTTCCAACTGGTGTAGTTTCGTTTTAATAAAAAAGCTATTCATGTGTTACCCTCTGCAAGTTTTTTTCTCATAAAAACTCAGTAGACCGATAAATCCTTGCCTAGCCCCAAACTTGCCACCTACCGATCATAAACATAAAGATGCATTTGGTCTTTTAGTCTTTTATATTTGCCATTCCCTGTAACAAACAAATAACACTGCAAATATATCAAGAACTACATGTACATCGTTTAGGCCTATGTGAATATTTTTATGAACAGAAATTCACCCGCTTCCAGTGGAACCATTTTGTTTTAACTTGAACCAAAAAAATCCTTTCGGGTTTTATAAGTTTAAGTATATTCAGTATATTTCATCACAGTGCATCCAGAATCCAACATTTTCAGGGGCCTTAAAGCAGGCCCCTGGCCCTGTGGCCCCACGCCGTAAGGGCTCGGAAAATAAAACAAAACATAGGCCTACACGACGACGGAATTTACTAAATGTAAGAAAGCAGCCTAGCAACAATAATATTTACATGCGATATGTCATGCATAATACAATTCTTTTTCCAGAATTAAATGGAACAAAGAATGGAGATAAAAATACAGGGTTTTCGACTTTTCAGTACAGTAGAAACATTATAAGAGCAACAGTATATTCTAAACAAAAAAGTGAAATAAATTGTCTTTATAATCTCAAAAAACATTTGCTAAAAAAGTCATATGAAAGTGGCCAGGAATCGCCTCATATTGCACCACAGAGCATCCATATTCCAAAACTTTTAGGGGCCCTTTAAGCCACGCCGTAAGGGCTTCGCGCTCCGCGTTCGCATTAATTTTGTCCGTCCTTTAGAAATTCCAGCACCCCCTGGTCCGATAGTCCCAATCGACAATAAGGTCCGATAGTCCTAATCAACAGTAAGGTCTGATAGTCCGAAGAGTCATACTGACGAACCGTATTGCCAACGGTATTGCCAATTCGGACTATCGAACCCTATCGTCTATTCGGACAATCGAACCTTCGGATTAATCAACCGTATTTTATTTTCGGACTAATGGGACCTTCGGACTATCGAACCTTCAGATTATCGAAACTTCGGACTATTGAACCTTTGGACTAACGAACCTTTGGACTAATGACCCTTCGGACTAGAGAACCTTCGTACTATCGGGCTGTAACCATTACAAACCCAATACCAGTGCAGCAAGTCATGTCCTGCAGTTTGTAAAGGTTTTTCTAAAAAGTTTGGGACGTGAAAAAGACAAACAATTATCCATGATGCACAAGCACAAGTGTGTTTCTCGATTAAATGCACCATCCTTGTCGTTGATGGACCGTCTATCCTATTGAAGTATCCATCAGACATCATCTTCTGTGTGACACGAGCAGAGCATTTCTGAAGGTCCACTGTGTGAGTAGTTTATGCTTTCTTGTTATCTTCCACAAAGCTGGATTGCGACTGAGATCGTGCAAATAAATAATCTTAAAAAAAGCTTCATCTGTAGTCTTGTTTATTAATTATAAGAGATTTTGGTAAAAATGAACAGAAGTCTTTGTAGAAATTGTAGATATAATTCATCTTGCGTAAAATATACCTTTACAAGTTTACAAACTTCCACAAAACGTATTATTTTGCAATATTGGAACGTATAATTGGTTTGAACATTCTACCTTTTATTGCTTATGTGAACTGTTTTGGACTGCTTATTATCTGCATGCAAACTACACCAGAAAAACTACGTTGTCCACAAAAAGGTTTAAATTGTAACGCCGGAGAAGTATATGCTCAATTCCTGGCTAATGTTGAAGGGTTTAGGGCAATAAATGCATTGCCAGTTGATGTAGAATACGGAGCCGAAGGGACAGTAGAAACTTTTGTGGAAAATAATGCCTCGTGGCATCATTCCTGAGGTAACATTTATGAGATAATCATGACGTAAGACATTGCATTTTAATGAATCATTGATCACAACAGGGGATAGGAGCGAGGGTCAAATGTACATGTACATACCGGTACATTTTTAATTTAAAACATTAAATTAGGAAACATCCCTCATTTTATCAAACTATTTGTATTTAAATCTTTTAAAGATACGGTAGTCTAAGAACAAAATTGGCAACTGCACTGATTTCCTTGACCTTCCAATGTTTCCTTGATTGATGGTTCTGGGCTTCTGGTGCCCAGGGGCTTCTGGTGCCCAACTCTGATATTGATATGGATATTGACAAATTATTCGGTGCTACACAATTGAAATAATACCCGGTGGCCCAATTGAAAACGGTAGCCGGAGTAACAGTTTGGAGAAATGTTTTGAATAAACCGTTTGGCTGAGGCGTGTAGTCACACACACATTTGGACTGCGTGTTTCTTTCATTTATCTGCTTATAAATTGTGATCCATAGCAAGGCTTTTTGCCTGACTTTTGTGAGAACTTATAGTGGAAGACGAAATTACCTTTCTAGTTCTGGTGATTGCAGTCTATCTTGGCTTGCTGGGGTAACCCCAAGTCTAGCATTATACACCTTATTCAGGAGGTAGCCATATATCGATCTTGTTCCCTGAATCTATTTATAAAATTGTCAACTATTGAATGGGATGGTGCCAGACTATTTTTGATTGGAGCGCGTTCCAAGCCTTACTTTGAATTCTTTTTAAATGTGGCTTAAAACATTTTTGGGTATTAATCACAAATTTTAGATTATTCATCAGAGCAGAATGGTTTATCTTTGTAATGAACTTTTATTTCATTGCTTACATTAATACATGTAGTGCTTGGGCAAGTACATTATTTCATGCTCAATTATTTAATTTCATGTGACTTGTATGTTTCTTGTGCATGTGGCTAGAATATATTTTTGGTTATTTTTTCCCTTCTTTTTCAAAATTGTTTTGAGAAGGATGTCATTTTCTGCTAAGGGCATCACCCTGGAATATCACACACTTTAGAAGAGCCTTTTTTAAAAATGTATTTTCAAAATTGGCCAACATGTGCAGCAAACAAACAGGTCCAGCTTGTTGCATGCTGTGTAGTTCTAATGAGCAATGTTTTCTTATTTCGTGTGAGACAACATTTTGTAGTTTAATATTTCATTTTTTGATTTCATTTAGTTTGTAATCCTAAAATAAAAGCCACTCCAACTTTGATGTGGCGACAACTGATGGAGTTGACATTTTGATCCTTGGTTGTCAATTTTGTAATAGTTTGTTGTATTTGTCTTTTCTTTCCAACCAGTTTTTACAACCAATGTCTGTGGGGAGGAATATTAATAGACATTCCATGCACATGTTGGATGCATGATCCAATGTCCAACATGCAAAGAGCAACCATTGTCTTAAAATCAAACTCTACATGTAACTGTAACACAAAACCAAAACAACAACACAACTGAAAATATTCTTTGAGGAAATTTCCACGATAGATTACTTAATAACAAACTTTGAATTATGCTCACAAGAAAATTAAATTAAAAAAAAACTGTGAAAACAATGAAAAATTTGATTCAAGATACAGGACTACAGATACTGAAGTTGGATATCCATATTAGCGTCGGCGCATGCTCACATGTATGTAGATTCTGGAGTTCAACTGTGGTGATAGTCTTACAACGTAAGGCTATTCTGGCTAGCTAAGATGCAAATATCTGCACGCAAAGTTTCAACCGAATCGGCTTTTTATTTCTGTACATACATATATATAAGCCATTGAAAAATTAACCTTTATGATGATGTCACTTTCTATGATGAAGTTACATGTCCCATGATGACGTCATAACGTCACGTGTCAATTGCGCACATTTACTATGTGGTCTTAGTCTGCGGCAAGTTTTTGGAGATCTATAGACAGTGTCAAATTTTGTAATTAGAACCTAATCTAAAACAGTTTATAAAAATATCAGCCAATGTCGAACATTTTTGAACCCCCCGCCAAGTTTCATGACAATCAGACCAATATGTTTTTCCTAGTAATTTATGAGCAGAAATTACTGCTAAGCAATTTACATGCTAAGATAAAATTCCGCGGAGAACCATTCACAAGAAATCACAGGGAAATGAAGCTGGTAACCTGCCTCTGCTTAACAAATAAAAAAAATCTATTCTTTGCTCAGCAAATGTTTGTGCTTCGCAGCAACATGAAATACGTTCTTTTTTAATCAAATTAGGTTTTGCCCTTCAATGTTACATAACTTTATATTAGTTCAGAGGTGTAACGACCCAACTACGACATCATCCCAACTATAGTTAGGAATTCCCAAATTATAGGTGGGACCACTGCCATAGTTGGGGCATAACAGCAGTCTTACCGTTAGTTTGATGACGTTCAGCTTGTGGTCACTTGAGTCTTTTCTCTCACTTGCTCATCTTGCGACCCAAGTCCATGCTGCAGCATGATGGCCTTCAGCACCTCCACCAGGCTGAACTCCTTGCACTGGGCAGCCAGCAAGCCATTGGCCAGATGGTGGTCCTTGCAGCGTGATGGCCTTCAGCACCTCCACCAGGCTGAACTCCTTGCACTGGGCAGCCAGCAAGCCATTGGCCAGATGGTGGTCCTTGCAGCGTGATGGCCTTCAGCACCTCCACCAGGCTGAACTCCTTGCAGTGGGCAGCCAGCAAGCCATTGGCCAGATGGTAGTCCTTGCAGCGTGATGGCCTTCAGCACCTCCACTAGGCTGAACTCCTTGGGCTGGGCGGCCAGCAAGCCATTGGTCAGATGGTGATCCTTGGAGCATGATGGCCTTCAGCACCTCCACCAGGCTGAACTCCTTGCGTTGGGCAGCCAGCAAGCCATTGGCCAGATGGTGGTCCTTGCAGCGTGATGGCCTTCAGCACCTCCACCAGGCTGAACTCCTTGCAGTGGGCAGCCAGCAAGCCATTGGCCAGATGGTGGTCCTTGCAGCGTGATGGCCTTCAGCACCTCCACTAGGCTGAACTCCTTGCGCTGGGCGGCCAGCAAGCCATTGGTCAGATGGTGATCTTTGCAGCGTGGTGATCCTTGCAGCGTGATGGCCTTCAGCACCTCCACCAGGCTGACCTCCTTGCGCTGGGCGGCCAGCAAGCCATTGGTCAGATGGTGGTCCTTGCAGCGTGATGGCCTTCAGCACCTCCACCAGGCTGAACTCCTTGCACTGGGCGGCCAGCAAGCCATTGGTCAGATGGTGATCTTTGCAGCGTGGTGATCCTTGCAGCGTGATGGCCTTCAGCACCTCCACCAGGCTGACCTCCTTGCGCTTGGCGGCCAGCAAGCCATTGGTCAGATGGTGGTCCTTGCAGCCTGATGGCCTTCAGCACCTCAACCAGGCTGAACTCCTTGCAGTGGGCAGCCAGCAAGCCATTGGCCAGATGGTGGTCCTTGCAGCGTGATGGCCTTCAGCACCTCCACTAGGCTGAACTCCTTGCGCTGGGCGGCCAGCAAGCCATTGGTCAGATGGTGATCTTTGCAGCGTGGTGATCCTTGCAGCGTGATGGCCTTCAGCACCTCCACCAGGCTGACCTCCTTGCGCTGGGCGGCCAGCAAGCCATTGGTCAGATGGTGGTCCTTGCAGCGTGATGGCCTTCAGCACCTCCACCAGGCTGAACTCCTTGCACTGGGCGGCCAGCAAGCCATTGGCCAGACGTGGTCCTTGCAGCGTGATGGCCTTCAGCACCTCCACCAGGCTGAACTCCTTGCGCTGGGTGGCCAGCAAGCCATTGGCCAGATGGTGGTCCTTGCAGCATGATGGCCTTCAGCACCTCCACCAGGCTGAACTCCTTGCGCTGGGCGGCCAGCAAGCCATTGGTCAGATGGTGGTCCTTGCAGCGTGATGGCCTTCAGCACCTCCACCAGGCTGAACTCCTTGCACTGGGCGGCCAGCAAGCCATTGGCCAGACGTGGTCCTTGCAGCGTGATGGCCTTCAGCACCTCCACCAGGCTGAACTCCTTGCGCTGGGCGGCCAGCAAGCCATTGGCCAGATGGTGGTCCTTGCAGCATGATGGCCTTCAGCACCTCCACCAGGCTAACTCCTTGCACTGGGCGGCCAGCAAGCCATTGGCCAGATGGTGGTCCTTGCAGCATGATGGCCTTCAGCACCTCCACCAGGCTAACTCCTTGCACTGGGCGGCCAGCAAGCCATTGGCCAGATGGTGGTCCTTGCAGGCCCAGGCCGTGGCCAGGGAAGAGGCTTTGCAACCTAAGAAGATGGAAGAAAACAGCGTTCTGCCGACTTACAAAAAAACACCATATTGATAAAAAGAAAAGAAAAGGGCAAACAGATACTGGAATCATACGCTTGTGAAACTACTGAGCGGAAAAAACTAACAATTTCAAATGTCCCGCGCTGCGAATTTGTCGACTATCTCCCACAATACACTGGGAAAATGAACTCTCCATGGCAAACTCTTGGTGGTGCACTGCATTGTGAATTGCCCGAATTACCGGTAGGCTACCTTTTTCCCAATGCCTAAAATTGAAAACTTAGTCCCATGTCAATTTGACCTCTCTTGGAAAATTACTCATAACTCTGTCAAAAATTATCAGATTTGGACGTTTCATGTTTCATTTTAAAGTAGGAAGGCGTACCTTTCAAACCATACCTATTTTTTCTATGTTGGTTACACATTCTAAATCTGGCATTTTGTTATATTTTGTTTACATTTTGTTTGATACACACTGTATATTCCAGAATCCTCTAAACTTAATCATGCTGGTAGAAAGGTGAAAAGGATAAATGTCTGAATTTAGACAAGCGTATACAATCATGTACCAACACGTGTGTACCGGTATTTGTTTTAACAGCTTTTAAAGAAATACATTGAAAATTATTTATGCATATATATTTGGACAGTATAGTTCACATTACTATTAGTGTTTCAACAATGAAAAAGCTTTCCAATTGGTACTTCTAGAATTAGAAGGCCCTATGACATTTCGGAAGGTCAATGCGCTATGAATGTACAGTGACAGTATACAAATAATGAATGTTTGTGAGTGCAATGGAAAGAATAATTTCATGAGGTGACAGATGAAATGTTCCATTTCACGAGGCGAAGCCGAGTGGAATGGAACATTTCATCTGTCACCGAATGAAATTATTCTTTCTATTGCACAAACGTAAAACACTCATTATTTGTTTTATATAACACCTGAATAAATCCTCCTCATCTGATTGGTTGACTTTTAAAAGCCAATTTATTCAGGTTAAAAAATTTTTTTACAAGTTTGACAAGTTCGGAGTTATCACATTATGCAAACTGTTCAACAGGTTGAGAACTATAATATTTCATTTATCTCACCTTACAAAATGCCTTAAAACTTTTCCATAAGTTTAGAACTCAAACAGTTCAATAAGTTCAGAACTTTTATTGCCAATTTAAACACCAAAGCGCCACCATCGGCAACATGTGCAGTGACAGTGCAATGGTACTTCTAATCAGTGCAATAGTACTTCCATTGCACTGTGCGCTGCGCGCCACGCGCGCGCCGTGCATTGGTACGAATAATTCAAGACATGTGCTCAACGATCCACCAATCAGATGACGGGGATTCACTCAGGTGTTATAATACGGTCTATTGGCCTGACTGCTGTTGGATGATAATCAAGGCATTGATGGGCTCTTCGGCAGATCCCCGAATGTGATTTCTTTCCGCATGTGAGCGGCCATAACACGTACAGGTGTGGCGCCCTTCACGTGTGTATATTTAATAAAGGAATGGGATTCTATTTTTGGTCGGGAAACCAATCCAGACTAAATTACTCCGTGCAGCTTATTTGTATCAAGTGTGTGGTCAACATTCGAGGTGTCTAAAAACTGACGGTGGTCATGACCAGTGGTGAGTTAACGTGGTTAATTAAAAGTTCATATTTCCTCCCAAAAATCTGAACGATGATCCAAACACCAATTGTTCTGGACTGGAATTTTCGAGAATTATAGATCAACCAGTGTAGTGAACCAGGGCAACTTTTTGGGTGGATTTAGTTTCAGAAATCACAGTGCTAGGCTAGCCCGGGTCTTCTAATTCTAGAAAATATCCAGTTGGGTAATTATTGAGTTTATGGCCAATGGAAAACAATAACATGTAGGTGCTGCTTTTACAGCAGTTCGCGTTAACGAGATATGCACATTAAATCATTCCTCCATGATTACGCCATGGAGAAATAGTGTTTTATTTCTCCATGATTACGCCAACGGCGCACCCACAATACACTTGCCCGCCCCCACGTGGGTTTGTTTATCAAATTTCTATCCCACAGTTCATTGCGCACCCGAGGCCTCGAATTGTCGAACTGACTTGTTACTTGAGCTAGTTGAAGTGAACATCGCCAAAAAATACACCTCCGATTACCAAGAGAAATAAATTGCCTTCACTTACATGACCTATTCTATCAGGTCAGCCGTATATGGTGGGCTCTGCATTGGTACAAAAAAGCGCCTTATTTATAGTACAGATTAATTCTCAGCACATTCACCCGACATTTTCACACCGCACACAAAAATGGAAGAAACGTCTGTCGCACACATGTCAATTACATTAACAACAGGTGGCGCTCTTGACAATTAATGGTGTCAAGTCCAAATTTTCATAGTAGGCTATGCACTTTCGCTCGGATTTTATTTTTTACGCTTAACACATTAGTTTTGGTGATGTTATTGCTATTTCTTTGAAATTTCTCTCGATGTTCAAAATAAAAACTGAAGTTATATAAACACAACCAATCAAAAAGCCAAAGTTTCAAGTCAATGTATTTCTTGGGTGAATGTCCGCAAGATCTTTGTTTTTGTTTTGACAAACTCTTTTTACGAAGGAGACCATTATTTGTGTAGCGCGCCCTCTTTTGAAAACAAATTTTAGTTTGCTTTAATTTGGCTTGTTTTGTTTTAGTCGCGCTTAACACACTGCATTGTTTTCGTTATATTCATTGTTTGACGACTATTCGTCATATTGAACACCAATCAATTGTCAGCCAACTTTCGATAAATTTGGGCAAAAAATCAGCTTTGTTTCTAAATACCATTTTTAGCCGAAAATGTTTCAGCAAATTTGTCTTTTTAAAAAGCACACCTGTCCAAAAAATGAATTTGGATTTGTTCTAGGGACTCTTGGACTGTCTTCCTTGCAAATTGTTCATGCATTTTCAGTTTTAAGCCAATATTTGAAAACAAAAATCTTACATTAAAAAAAAAAGATTGGCCATAAATTTACCGCTTACCACAAACCACACAGAAACCCCTTTGACTGCAAAGGAGTATCAATCAGTAGCCTATTACAGCTAATGCGCAGACATCACCTATTTATTGAACAAATTATATCGATTTCTGATTGATTTTCTCCACGGTTTTTTTTTGGTCACAATTTTTGGAAAAAAATGCAAGAAATTAATCTTACATCTGACACAAAATTGCAGAAATTCCTTTCAGATACAAAAGGAACGTCCAATTACCATCCATATACAATTTCGAATATCATGCATGGGGTACATAGCCGTTTATGAAAACAAAAAGCATACTTTTTGACTCTTTATCAACCAACATGTCGACATGATTTTTCTTAAGAATGGCATATCTGTCAAAATGAGTTGGAATGTGTTAGAAGTCATTAAGGTATCTTCCTTGCAAATCTCAAGCAATTTTTCCTATTTTTCGGCATAAAATGCCGCTTTGGGGTAATCTTCTACTTTCCCAACAGTCAAATGTATCAGTTTGTAACCCCTTACAATGTTTAAAAAATGAAATTACTTAAACATTGCCGGAACGATTCCTATTGAGATGATAAAGCATGTTCCAGTTTGATTTCTGGACAGATAAGCGGCTTTTGAATATCGAGAAGCTGCCGTGGTGCTCTAAGTTATATTTGAATAATTTCACGCTCAAAGGAATATCGGATCATTACTTGTTTCCAATAACAGCACAACGCAAAATCCACTGTAGCTCTCAAACCTCTAAGCTGTTCTATTTTCAGCTCTAATGATACACTTTTTCGAGGAAATGGTGACAAACCATACCCAACCTTTTGATCGCGGAACACGACCGATTTCAACTTTCAAAATATCGATCGATTTACTGATCGTCGAAAATCACCTACTTTTTTTTTAAATTTCTTCTCAATGACAGCATACAGGCATTACAGGGTGAGTAAAAAAAAAAAGCGGAACCCAAACCCCATAAAATAAAGTTCATATTTAAAAAAAAAAAAAAAAGTAGCACCAAAAATTATTATTTATTAATTAAATATTATTTTAAGCATGAAATATAATTGTTGGGGTTTGGGTTCCGCTTTTTTTTTACTCACCCTGCACAAACGGAATAATTTCACGGCATGTTTAGCACCAGTATGATCTTTAGCTATAGGCATATATTATAAGCTTTTGATAATATTTACTTTTGGGATAAATATGCAAAATCCTATGTGGCTTTTTAAACAGTGGCGGCGCAAGACTCTATTTTTTTTTTGGGGGGGGGGCAATTGGGGAAATATTATTGAGGGCAGTCCCAAAAAAAAGGTTAAGCCTGTGTACGCGCTAGGCTATTGTCAATGGTCCGATCCGGAAATAAGCCACTTGAACTATAGAGCAACTAATAGAAGTGTATCGTTTTTATGAATGAACAATCAAACCGCAGAATGGTCAATGGAAAATGTATAACAAAAATGTACAAAGACGTATAGACTGCACACTGTCTACGCCGGCTGTATGTTCAGCATAATGCCTGGTGTGTTTTATGTTTACATTGTTTTCATTGGTCCAAAATGTGTCCACATCTTAACAGCGAAGAAAAGAAACAATAAATGTATTTGTTGCCAAAGTTAGGAGAAGTCTTGGGAGGGCAAACTGGGGGGGGGGGGGGGGGAAACTCTTCCCCCCACCCCGGCATCTATGTTATTTTCGAGTTCACAACCGACGCGCAATTTATTAACAAAACAATTAATTTACAGGTTAGCGTTAATATTCTCACAGTCACAGGGTATAAAACTTGTTCCTTCTGCACACGGGACCTCAAACGTACGAGGGACTGAGGTCCAGTCTAGTCGAAGGATGACCCTTGCTCCTCTCAATGCATTATGCTTGCCCCATGTTTAGTATGCAGAGTTTTGCAGACGTTGATCGTCTACTCGCTCGATGCTGTTTCCTATACTACCTTCATATGGATGATGGATGGACAAACGCTGCGATTTAGTGAGAAGCGATTACATGACCTGCGATGCGCTGAATACCCTGCACTCACTACGCGCTAATGCAATGGTCTTTAGATGAGTCTTCCAAATATTGCGTTATCCATCTGTACTGTGTTTAGAAATCAAGCAATCCATGGGGAAATTGAAGAATCTCACGATTGTTTTTGACGGCAATGTGGATGTTTTCTCACCCGGTGACGTCATCAGAGGACAGGTTATTCTCCTAATAGAAGCAGATACAGAACGAGGCTTGGACAATATTAAAGGTAATCGTACGCACAGCATTGACGGGGCCGGGCATATTGTTAGAGATAAAATAACGGACGTTGTGGGTTTATTTTCGGGAACAGATTCATGTTAGTAATAATATTTCGAGGATAATTGATATAGTTGTCAGATTAATAGTGGATTATAGTATTAACTGTTGTTGAAATAACTAATATCTACCCTAAACGCTTAGGCTGCTGCAATTTGAAAGGTGTAAACTGTGGAGTTAGCTTGAAATATCCAGCTCATATCACCATGAACCTAGTATGAGCTGGGATATGACATATGGGAGATTCGCCATTATGTCATGAGCCTATGAACTAAATAATGTTGAGTCTTCATTTTTTGTTATAGTGTGTGGGTTTTTTTCATGTTTTTTTTTAATACTGAGCATGTAAATGAATACTTAACACGCACACAGGCGCATATATAAACTGTGTTTCATGGAAAAGGACTTTGGACACCTGTCACTGTAGGTGCATCCATTGTCAAGGGGGCACTGAAGCTGGTAAGTTGTTTTGATTGCCAGTATATGCAAAAGGCTTACACGTTAGTCATTTTCCGGAATATCAACTCCTTACAAAAATCTCCCATGTAATTCCCATGGGAAAAATCCCATGCTACATGGTGGCCAATTCACCATGTAATTCCCATGGGGTCCCACGGGGAAAATTTCACATGGGAATTACGTGGACATTTTTTAAATGAGTTTTCCTATGGGCTTTTTCCCATGGGAAATTTCAAGTTTTTTTCCCCTGAATGGTTGCCTATCATTTCTCAAAAGATTCCAAACTGCTCCATGGCATTTTTCAATAACAACTTTCTTAATACATTTTAACCCTGTGTGTTTTGTTCTATTCACCGATAGGTAAAGCACATCATGGAACTCCAATGGGGGTTCTGACCAATGTCCACATTTGTGCTCCCATACCACTTTTCAAGTTGTACCATAATTATCACAGTGTACCTAAGTTTTTTTCTCATAAAAAGGTTTCCAATCATAATAACAAAGAATCAAAATTATGAAAAAATAATGTATTCAACACTGTCTGAACGGTCTTGACCTTATCAAGGTCACGTACCTGTCTAAGAGGAAAAGAGTCTAAATTCATATTTTCTTATATAGGGATATGGTTGCGATTCATTGGCGGGGCGAGAATCGCATGTCAATCCGGTAATGCAGGCACGAAGGATGAAGGATACTTCGACACAACTCAAATTCTATTTGGAACAGGTATCGTTTAAATTACTATATAACAAATATCCTTCTGTCATGTTCATCAAATGTTACAAATATATTAGCAGCTGTCAAAAGAATGAACGTTTACAGATGTACGTATTGCTCTTTTTTTATTATGAAAGTCAACCGATTTAATTTCTTTCAAATCCAATCCACCATTGGCAGGAATTGCTCTTGATATCGTGTTTTTGTTTCATGACAGGTCCCGATACAACTGATGTAAGGAGCCTAAACATTGCCCCTGGTCAACAAGTCTTCCCATTCGCGATTCGTCTTCCTGACAAACTTCTCCCCGTAGCTTTTGAGGAGCAACTCGGTTGTGTTCGATATCAGGTCAAAGCTACTCTTTCTCTCATACGCAGTTTGCGTAATTACAAAGAGTACAGAACAGAGAAATATTTCAGTGTGATTGGACCGGCGGTGGATCTTAACACCATATCTGGGTTAAAGGTGTGTAGCTTCATTCATTTCTTTTCCACACAATCCGCATGCTCCAAAATGACGTCAATTTCTTGACAGCGCAGATTTAGTGACCATTGTAATCTTAATGCAAAGTTCTCCTCAACTTTCCATAACATTTGTCCATAATTTTGTTGAATGTTGCAGATGCCAATGACCTGTGACGTCACAACACGTGGTTGGTTTGGACTCGGACCCCCAGTTGCTACGCTTTCTCTTACTATGCCCAAGCAAGGATATGTTCCTGGGGAAAGTGTTAATCTCACTGGTCGAATCGATAATCGAAAAGGGGATGATCAATTCTCAATTCGAGTCAAGCTCATTCAGGTAATCCGTTTTGCATAATCGGAGAACACCCCTCGCACTTAAAAAAAACACCAATCAAATTTAACTGCAATGATCAGAGTTAAAAAAAACTGCATTAAGGCATGTGTGGAGATGTGTGAATATTAAACTCCTAACCATGGTGTTGCTATACAAAAATATGGATTTTGGGACAACCGGAATTCTTAATTCGTACGCAAAAAGACAACTAAAGTCCTTTTTGACATAGATTTCAAAGACGATCACATTTTTAAAAACAATTTTAGATGACAAAGAAGTGCATTTTTGCATTTTGAGATACATCGTCATTTTGAAAACGATTGCGTGTGGTACAGTTAGGGCCCTACTTTCGTAAATGTTTCGCATCTAATGTTATTATTTTCAATTTCAGGAAATCCAATTTTCGTTCCCAACCTCTCCGATATACGTTGAACGCGTCTTGGCCAAGATCGACTCCAAGGTGATTTGTCCAAAGGGACGAATTTCTAACTTCACCATTGGACCACTCCGAATTCCACCTGTGCCATCGTCTGGTCTGCCTGGCTGTGATCTTATCAATATTGAATACTTTATACTGGTACGTGCGCTGAACCAATCTCAGTAAACAAATCTTATATAAACAAATCACCCCTTTGGAGAATTTTAAGAACCTTTTTTTATAGGAAAATGTAAGAACAATTTTTGTTGAATTGAACATCAACCTTTGTACATTTTGTACATGTACACTGCGTCAGTGAAACCACGAAGTAACACCTAAGTGGACTTGAATTCGCGATACGCGCGCGTATTTTACAGAAACGAGTGATATTTGTTTTCACGAAGTAACACTCATCTTTATTTCACAAGTTTGAAGGCTTTTTATTACAATTGTCTGTAATCCCACAAGGAGACGGCTGAATTACCTTCCTGTCAAACGTTTTAAAGCGTTTATATGCAAATAGTATTTCCGAAACAGTGTTGTAACTTTGTAAAAACGAAAATCGTTCGAGTCAGGATCCGATGGGCGCGTGCACACTTGAGTGTTACTATACTTCGTGACACCAAAATGTGTCATTAAGCGGTGCTCATAAAGTAACACTGAGGTGGACTTGGGTGTTACTTCGTGGTGTCGATGACGATGAACAAAATAACACAGACGATCAATGCTGTGATAGTGGAAACGACAAGCAGACGAGTAGCCTACAACTTGAAATATTAAAATGTCTTCTTCCAGCAACATACATAATCTCCATATATCGATGATATTGCGAAGCGTGCAGTGGGGTTTCACATTTTTTCCTCTTAATTGGTGTGCAGTGCAAGGACAGAAAATTCACGCTAACGATTGGAACGGTGCCGCTTCGGAATGCAGGTACTAGCAGACGGAGAGTTCCCAGGACAACTGACCGTACAAGAACCCCATCCGGTAGGATATTTACCAAGAGAGAAAACAACATTTTACTTGACATTAGTGAAGGACTTAATTCCGCCACTTCTTTTTTACAAATGCTCATTTTTGTTCTTCACATTTTCTCATTAAGCTCCCCCAGAAGAGCTTGACGATGATGCTCCGCCGAGTTACGAACAAGTGGTTAGTGTGACGGACCGCATCGCCTATGAAATGACCAAGGAGGACTTTCAGAGTGAGGGAGAGTTTCTCCCTAGGTACACATATTTTGCTCGCATGGGGGACTTCGCATTCGCTTCTCACCGGTAGAGATGGTTTTCTCAAAACTACTCAGAAATACAGAAGTGGAATTTTGAGCTGCTCGTGATCACAAATATAATAAGAAGAAAATACATTTTCTGTCCAAAAAGATCTAGTATCAAAAGTGCTAAGGACATTGTTCATCATTAAATGTTTAAGTCCGTATTAACAGATTTGGTAAAATAGATTTAACCGTCTTAATTGTGTGCTTTGTATATTGCACTGAAATAATTGCACTGAAATGTAACGTATATGACGACATTAATTCATTGACGGGTAAAAGAATGGATTTTTAATTCCTTATCAATCCTTCAGTCTATAAACTGTTTACATTGTAAAGAGGCTGTCACTTGTAAATCATTCAAAGGGAAGCTTGTTGTTCCATTGAAAGCATGAACTTTTGAAAAAGTTTTTAAAAAACATTCCACTTTCTTTCCTTAAACTTACTCCCAAGGGTGATCAATAAAAACCTTCCTCATCCTTGCAAATCCCAACACCACATAGTAAGCTGTACACATGCAGTTGCACTAGCTGTTTATTTATGGTAGGCCAAATACCACGTAAAGCACAGATAGTACTAGTGAAGCACTCATCCTAACAGATTCCAACAAACCCTGGTGTTGGAGTTTGGCTGGTTGGGGATCTTTATGGGTTAAGTAATTTGATGTACATGATGAATATGTAAATATGCACGGGAATATCAGTGTTAGGTCTATTTATTTGCGTACCGTACAAAACACGTCCAGTAGGCTGTAACAATTATGTAAAGTAAAAAAGAAAATATCTCACTGGACACTTTACACTTTATTTTTGATATGTTGTTAACGGCAGTGAAATTAATGTAATTGTTATGCATTTTGATATTTTTTTGATTAATTGCTATTATTCCCTCTCATGTTTGCACAGTGAACCAGCCCTTTTAGCAGAATGGAAATAAATAGAATTTAAAGATTAATAACCCGCACTCTTGAAAAAAATTGTATGATTTATTAAAATGTTATATTTTACGTCTGTATCCCGCCCTCTATTGAGCACAGTGTTAAGGACCGTTAGTAGTCTGGTTCCCTGACCTGACAATTTTCCCCAACGCCCGTCTACATGTAAATTGCAGGTCAGGCAACGCAGAAAAATAACCATGACGGCCCTTTTGCAAAGCTCTGCTTCGTTTCCAGTTTAGCTTTAGAGCTTTTAATGTTCTGATCAAATTTTTGAATAAATCACTTGTTTCATATTTGATACAGTTAATATGATATACAGTTTGATATTTCTGTCTGAAAACACTGACAGATGTTGACTTGGAATCTTCACATTTAGGCACCCAAATGGCAGTGTTAACAGGCGAAGCCAAAATGGGGACCACGCCGAGTTTTGGAAAACTCCAGTTACCGTCGTTAAAATTCAAAATAGTACATGACTCATTAAAGCTCGATCTGAGGGCATACTTAATGCACAAAAACGTCATTAAATTTCAAGTTTTTAAATGAAAGCAGTGAATATTGATTAATTATCAACTCCTATTTATTTTAATAAGCATAACATGAAAATATTTACACCTGCAAATACCTGGGCGCTATCCGAGAGTATCGACGAAATGCATTCGGCAAACTTCAGACATTTTCGGAACGGGAGACTTTCCTCCCGTTTTGGTCACGTGCCATATATCTATTTTGTAAAGATACAGGTGACCTGATAAGATTTATCAGAAATAGTCCGTACTTTTGGCCTGGGAACCAGACTAGTATAGCATCACTTTGTTCAGACTCTAAACACTTGTGCAGTCTTCTACATCCTTAAATAAACTGGACAGAAATACAAGTATTTCGATGACATGAAATGAACACTGCAGCTTACCTACATACAGGACACTTGAACTTTAACATTGTATTATTCAAAGTAACCTTTGGCCCCCTGTCAACGTGAATCAGTATTTCCAGTCGTCGAACGCTAAATGGAACCAACCAAACGCGCCATGCTCATTCAATTTCATCTGATTTGAGATGATTATGGCGATGTTAAATATGCTGAGTAATGAGTAAGATGCTGAACATAATGTAGGAGTGAAGATACAGATAACACGACATAATGGGGAAACTAAGGCAGCTTCAGATCAACTTGGACGGGAATGTAGATGCGTTTTACCCAGGCACTGAAATACGAGGAGCTGTAATTGTACACGTTGACGCTGACAATGAAGGAGGATTGAACCACGTCAAAGGTACAGTTCGATCAGTGTTCGGCTACAAACCTGACCAAATCTCGATGGGCCCCCGGCCCCTGGTCAATGTTGTCTCATTGCGCGGTGTGTGCTCCATCAGCTGAAGAGAATAACATTGACCGGGGGCGGGGGAGTGGGTGGCCGTGGGAGGCTAACGAACCATTCTGGACGGGATTGTAGATTAACGTTACAGTAGTAAATATAACGAATAATACATTGGAAATAATTCCTCCCCCCCCCAAAAAAAAAAAATAGGCCTATTAGGAAAATGATTTCACATCGCTCTGTATTCTCAGTAATGCCGGATTTAAAAAGACCATGACATCAATTTAACTTATGAAAATAATATTTTGCGCAACTTTCTACTCCGTTTAAGTGTATGAAAACTATTTGACATCATTCACCATTTTGGATGATTGATGCTTTTTCTGACAACTGATTAGAAGTGCGCTACTGGCGGCGATGTAATTTTTAGGAAGATATTGTTCAGTTTAGGGGTTTCTGTTCAAAAATTTGCACACTGAAAACATCAAGTGAGAAAGCTTTGCTCATTGGCCTACTGTCATGTACTGAAACAACAAGGGATTACCAAAGAAAAGAACATTTAGGACAGAAAATATCCAACATTCCGGCAACTGTTTGGTGTTGCAATAGCTGAAACCTTGAGGTTTCTGCCTAACATGGGTTTGCTAATGAATATAAATTCTTGTTAAAAATGGCTAAATGAAAATTGGTTATCAATGGGATACAAAATGTGCTTTTTCAAGGATTGCAGAAAAAATACAATACAAGAAACGCATCTTGTTTTAAATTACATCTTGGTCTTTCTTGCAAAACGAGAATCAACTGAAACTACACAGAATTGGTTTCCGAACAAAAATATACTTTTTCACAGATGATATCAAAACCGTTGGATGATTTAAGATTGTCCATTGTTTGCAATAACAACAAGTATGTTAATGTTTCAGTGGTTGTATCTTTTACTTCATTACAGGTTTGGAATTGCTGTTTCATGGCGAAGCAGTCACCAGAATACCAAACATGCAACAGCAGCCGAATCTACAAGAATGTTACCTCAACTCAAGAGTTACGTTATGTGGAACAGGTTGGTATCAAGGTGGAATCAACTATCGTATACGCTGAGGGAAAACTGAACAATTGTATATTATTTCGACAAAAGAATATGGAGATCTTTTTTGATGATGTGTGTCGATAAACCACCATTCAAAGTAATGAGAAATACACATTCTCTCCTTCCAATCCGTTTTAGGCGCTGGCCAAAGCGAAAGACACAATTTTAACATCCAACCAGGCGCTACTAGTTACCCTTTTACATTGGCCCTGATGCCTGAAGCACCTCTGCCTCCATCATTTGAGGGAGAATTCGGATACATCCGCTACAAGATGAGAGCTACACTGATCATGTCAGGAATGATTCTCAGTCAAGACCACAGCGTGGAGAGAGTGTTTCATGTGATCCACTCACCGGTAGATTTGAACACAATCAGCGGTCTCCAGGTTTGAATGCATCAGTAATAGTTATCAACTCGTGAATGTATTGTTGCTATAAATTATGAGAACGATATACCTTGTATAATTTTGAAATATTGCCTTATTATTAGGTCTACACTGAAGCGCTAAATAGATCATTTTAAAAAATAAATCACGTGATTCGTCAGCATCCCTATGTACAAGTAAAATGGTTGATATAATATATTCATAACTACCTAAAACAGTTTACCCATTCCTATTGGTCGAGCGCCCGTCACGTGACCAGTCTTAAACGGTTGATAAAACACCAGCTGTGTGGTTTCAAACACATTTCAAGTGTGGTTTTGACTCTGAGAGGTATTTATGAATGGGAATAAATGTGTGCTTGGCCGGTATTAAACACTATGTTTAAGACCAGACTCTGAGAGGCATTTATTAATGGGAATAAATATGTGCTTGGCCGGTATTTAACACCATGTTTAAGACCGGTTTGGACGCTGATAATGACCCTCGCCTTCGTCTCTGGACAAATTATCTGCGTCCAGACTGTGTTAAACATAGTGTTTAAAACCAGCCAAGCACACATTTATTGCCTTATTAATAACATCTCATTTGAATGAATAATTTGCGGAAACACCATGTGCGAATAATTTCTCAACTAAGAGAAAGGATCTGAAAAGAACCAGGGGTATAAACTCGACGTTCCGGTCAGTAAGCTCTGACCGTCTTCAGGAGAGTCAGAGCATACTGACCGGAACGTCGAGTTCTTTTCAGAACCATTTTCTTAGTTGAGAAATTATTCCCACATGGTGTTTCCGCAAACCTTTCATTCATAAGTATCTCCACCATGCAAAGCCTCAAATCTTACTTAACATCTCATTTATTGGTGTTTTTTTTTTCAGAATCCTCTGCATGCATCCAGTGAATGCGTACACAGAGGTTGTTGTGAATGTAATTCGATAGTCATATCAAATCTTTTCGTTACTCTTCAAAAACAAGGATATGTTCCAGGAGAAAACATTTACGTCACAGGTCACGTGGACAATCGCACAGGTACGGCGCAGAGAATCGTTTGTGGAACGCTACTCCAGGTAAAATTTGTATATTGTTTGTCTTTACGAGAAATGCGTCTTTAAGTTAAACAATTCGGATTCATGTCATCATGGATCGTTCTAAAAGCAGCCTGATGTGAAAATTATTGGTCTAACGAACTGAGTTTAGGCTGAGGGCCATTATTACGTATGACACGCATGAACAGTTTTATATTGACAGTTGTAATTTATTTCTCCTATAATTCAGCAATCAGGATTCCATCATAGACAAGGAGTCAGGGAAACTCAGAACCTGTTGTGCAGTGCATCTGCGGTGGTCACGTGTCCAATTAGACGGATGAAAACCTTCACTGTGGGGCCATTACAGGTTCCGTTAGTGCCTCCATCAGGCCTACCCGGATGTAACATCATCTCGAATTGCTACTACCTAATGGTAAGTGCCAGATATCATAAAGAACCTTGTCGTGTTTAATGAATTGATTCAACAAGGGGACAACTAAGTTAGAACTTCGTGAAGTCAGGGCACTGTGTGGTTTTTCCCACCAGACTAATACGGTTTCCGGTAATCCTCATTGGTTCATTGCTCTCACGTGGTTTAGCCATCCAGACTACGCATGCTCTATATTCACGTCTACGTCTTTGGGGATGATCCTTGTGTTTTTAACACTGGAGCGAACAGCCAATACTCTGTTCTACGCGATGTATTTGTCTCTTCTACAGGTCAGTGACGGTTCTAGTGCAACCAGACTGCCGGTAACTATTGGAACAGTGCCTATTCGTAACTACGTGCCCGTGGTATCGTCTATCCAGCCGATATCTTCTGCGCTATCGCCAATACAGAATACATCACTTATCGTTCCTCCTATCACCCGACAACCAGGTATGAATGTCACATTACCCACGCCTGAACTTCTTACACATGGAAACAAATGTTTGTAATTACAGTTCTCGGATGTCATTTTTAAAGGTAGTTACTTGCTGCTTTAAATTTCGCGTCTATGTAAATTTGAAAGTAATTCCAGGAATGCTCTAACATTGTATCACATAAAACAAAAATCGCACTTCATATTGAAATATCTCTTTTAGAAATGACGGCCTTAAATCAGAGCAATATGAGGACAGAAGTTTGTTTTTGGTGGAAGCACATTGCACTTGTTACAGTTTCGCCACACCTGCCTTTTTTGACAGCTTCCTGTGTCACAGCAGAGTTTGATTCACCGCCTCCAAGTTACCAAGAAGCAATCGGATCCCGCCCCTTTACAGTTGACACGCCCACCGCAACTACAACACTGAGTACAAGACATGAAGGAACCACTGATACCCATGATCAAAGCAACCCATCGATAGAAGATGACCCAGCAAGACAGGTGGACGACAGTGGTAAATGTTCGATTGGTTTAGTCAAGTCCGAGAAATTAACCTCTGCGACTCATCGAGATTAAATACTCAGAATAGAAGAAATGCGTAGATGCAACTTGGTCACATCTTAATTATGCATTCCTTTTTTAATTCATCAGTTGACAACAGCAGAGTCCAGGGTGATCCACCTCCCCAAATTTACCGTGAAGTTGTCACATTAACACAACCCGTCGCAACAACAGAGTGTGCAAGAGTTGCACCGACAACCGATCCAGATTGGCAGGAGTTTTATGGTGACGGGCGGTACTCTCGACGTAGCCTTGCGCCCTCTACCAACCTTGACATGGATAACAGACATGAAGAAACTACCGCAACAACTTCGTTGTGATCAATCGGTACAACTCCAAAAGTGTGCATAATACAAAAGCTTATCGTACCCATTGTGTTATAGGCCTATGCTGTTATCCCATTGTCTGTGTTGCATTTTGACTCGTGTTATTGATGCATCATTTTTGTTATAAAACGATTCGAACGGTAACAAGTAGCTGCAGATGAAGGCTTATTTTTTTTAAATAGAACTTATCAAAATTTCAAGCGTCATTGTTATCGAAGCAAATTACGCTGAATGTAAATAATCATGCCGATGTCTTTTCTATTTTTTTCTAAATTTCTCATAAAGCTGTGTTCCTCAAATGTTATAGGCCTAGTCTTTTGAAATTTAATTTAAATCTATGAACATAAAAAAGTGTAGGACTATGACAATTATGAAAGCATGCAGGGTGACCCAAAAAATTGCAACCCTAAAACATTTAACTTTAAATAAAAAAGATCGGTGGATTTTTATGTTTAGGGTATCAGATTAAAAGCTGAGAGAGTTTTCTTTCAAATACTGAAACAATCATGAAAATAGCACTTTGGGTTGCTGAGAAAATGCCAATTATGTAAAAGTAGTCATTTTTCATCCTGTACACAAGTACTTCAACAGTGAACCATTGTAAGCCCACTGTGCAATTATCCTTTATTTGTGCAATTTCTTTAGCATTTCGGACATATTCATGATGCAGAAAGGTTTTAAATAGGACTAAAAGGATGAGATACCTGTTCAGGTGAAAATAAAAGGTATTTCCAACAAATTCATTTGTACTCTTGTCATATTATGTGCTGTGTTGTTTGTAAGGATTAGGACATGTACAAATAGGTACAGGGAAAATTAGCAGTTTAGTGATGAAGTCAGTAAGGACAAGAAATAAGAGGATTGGGAGTCAGAACGATACGTTACTCGCTTCATTTGTAAGTGATATTGAGACAAACAAAATGTTGTTTTTTCCGTTAATATTATTTTTTGTCAACACGGAGAAAAACTTATGCATCTTCAGTCACAGTCTACAGAATATGTGGCTAATTATTGCTTGGAAACGATACACAGTCGTTATGGACACGAAAACTATGAAATATATGATGCATTGAAGTGAATTTTAGCCAGATGATTTGGAATGACGGGAAGGAAAAACCCACAAAATATTACGACAAATAATTATTTGTCTCCGTAAATATTTTTTTGTCAACACGGACAAATCTTGCGTATCTGAAGTCACATTCTACCGAAAATCTGCCTATTGTACAGATGGGACAGGGTCGTTGTGGACACGATAACTCTTGAAAACAGTGATGTATTGCATTGAATTTTTGGCGGAGTTTTAAGTTTACAATCGTGATTTTTTTTAGAACTGTCCACGATTAGGGGTACAAGTATTATTTGGCTGAATTTTGAGTTCACAAACGTGAATTTCTTGTATAGTCCGCAATTGAATTTCTAGAGTTTGAGCTTACATTATCTCATCAAAATAAAGATATTTATGGAGGTCTTTGTTGATACGCATTGAATTGAAAGCATTGCAACTTCTGAAATTTCTTAAAGATGATCATACGGTTTTATCTTATTCAAAAATAACCTGAAATCATTTTTAAAAAAAATGTAATTCGAATGAGGAAAGTTTTAAAAGATCCTTGAGTGATCGAACACATCACGTTTGTCTCCCTAAAAAAATATGATTAATGCTCAGTACATTCCATCCAACTCATTAGTTACTAAAAGAGTCATTTTTAAATTGTCGTAGCCAAATCTGTTAACAGACTGTAATATATCTTAATTTTTTATACATTCTATCGTATTAAACTTGGTGAATTAGAATTTGTTAAATGAATTAATTAGTCGTGTGTCCGATACGATGTCAGTTTTGAATCAGCCGCCCGATATCGGCCAAGCGACCCAATCACCCTTGTACGCAAAGCACACTGGAAATTAACAGACTATAGTGTTTAGCAGTTTGCAGTCAATATCAAGAATGATTTAAAAAACAAAATTAAAAAAATCACAACACTTTAAAAATCAGTTTACACATTCAAAATTATACAATACTGAGAAATTGTGACGTTTTATTCCGGGAATTACATTGAATCGAGTAGACGGCTGTTTCATGGCCACATTTCTATTTGATCTGAGGCACCCAATCTGCATGCACTAGCATTGTCATTAGGGGAAACACATTTTGTCATGAAGCTGTCCACTCATTTACATCATGGGGAAGCTGAAACGGTTACAGATCGCTTTCGATGGGGATGTTGAGGAGTATTCTCCTGGAGATGTTATCCGTGGTCAAGTAATGACGGAGATCGATTCCACAGAGGACGGGGAAGGCCTGGAGGATATCAAAGGTAGGCGATTTACAGCGCGCTCCGTGCATAATGTGTATGTTTACGCTTAGTCGATGGAGCCTTGCAAGGATGTGCCGCATATAATTATGATCAACATGGAAACACGGCACGACTACGTACTGACCAGTGCACGTCAGTGCATATCTCACAGAGAATTGTAATCACTTTGGAATTACAGTGATTATTAAAATAGGCCTACTTTTCGTTCTTGATTTAATTTTATTTCAAGTAATAATTTGCAGGATTTACAATTGCACAATTACAAAAGGTTACAAAAATTACAAAAACGGCAAAGCAAAACAACTTTACGTAAAGTATAGTACATGCAATCTAAACACTATAAACGAACAAAGATGCTATGTGGAGGATTACTTATGTGGAGAATTCCCTTACAAATTTCGAGTTGGAAGACGTATGTCTTATGAGGCTACTGCTAAACAAACCAGATTTGTGTGAAATGTCAGTTAAATGTAAATTAGGCCGATGTCGGATTTCTGTTGGGAAAGATAGGGCCTAATCTTAATTTGTGATTTACCGGACATTTTAAAATTAGTCAAAGCATCGACGGGTTGTGTATAGGTTGGCATGGTATAGGGCATCAGCATCTTATGGAATAAGAAAAGCGGGGGTCCGGTCGAGGCCCCGGGGGGGGGGGGGGGGGAGGGGTGGCGCCATCCGACATAATGCATTGCGGCCTTTAATTTAGAGTGGGGTCACAGGAAGGCGCTATACAAACGAAATAGCGCCCTCCTTTTTTTGTTAGCAAAAACTCAACATTGATGTGCATAACCGCATCTTACGTTGCGCTCAAATGCAATATCTCATGCCTGTCTGTTATAAACTGGAAAAGAAAAGAAAAATGGAGGAAAATATTCACCCGTCGGACCCCCCCCCCCCCAAAAAAAGCGTGTATTCTACGGCGAAATGCACGCTCTTTGGTTACCGTCTTTTGAAATTGTTTATTTATTTTCTTGTAATCATAGGAATATGGGTGCGATTTCGTGGAAAGGCAAAAACAAAATTCAAGCCCAGTACCGACGACTCTTATGTCTCGTCTAAGGAGCATTATTTCGACGACACTTTCGTCGTATTTGGGACAGGTGGGTCATTTTACTGTCTGTATGTTGCAAACGAGTTTTGTTTTAACTTTGCTTGTGTCTCTTCTACAGAAATAACTCAGGGTTCGACTTTAGCGGTATCCCGCTAACCAAATGCTAGTCACAACAGCGTCGGTCTTGTCAAACTATTCCTTAACTGGGTAGCCCAGATGGCGAGTCAAAAATTATTGGGCTGGCAAAGATGAAAGGACAAGAAGAATTATAAAATTCATTAAGCAATTAAACCTGTCATGCCTGTATCAATTTGTGTCTAATTTTATTAACTGTTTAGGGTTAAAGTATTAGATCTGTTAATTTAAAACACTGACGAGATTGCCTCAGGATGCATACACGTATGTGTCACCGATAAAAGAAAAACATACGGTTTAGTACAAATGTCCGCGGGCTAGTTAAGAGTCTGTTATACTGTAGCCCGGCTGGCAAGTGAAAAAAAAAACAGTTAAGGCGGAACCCTGCCAGTGTTTAACTTAGTATGAGATGAATAATTAAAGTGTGTTATTATTGTTTGTCACTGCAGGAGAACACGCGCGATTCCGATTCCCTGTGGATCGGACTCTGCTACCAGGCAGACATGTCTTCCCATTTGAGTTTCAGATTCCTAATAACCAAGGTTTACCGCAATCTTTCGAAGGAAAACACGGGTATGTTCGGTACTTCGCCAAGGTGACCGTGAGTCGCAACAAAACGTTCTACGACAAGAAATACAAAGAGGAAAAGTGGTTTAGATTGAAGGGGCCGACGGTGGATCTGGGTCGGATACCAGACACAGAGGTGCGACGAGCTAGATCTAAACTCAATAAGGCACTTTTTGCTAGGAACCGTCCTCAATCCTCCCGAATCTTACAAAATTTTGCACTTATGTTCAAATGAAGGATACCGAGGCCTCAGTCCTTCAAATCGTCAGACAGTCCTGCCTAAAAAAATGCATTTATCCTCAATCCTCCAAAATTTTCCTCCTTTACAAACACCATTCATCCGCAATCCTCCAAAATCGTCCTCCTTTTCCAACACCATTCATCATCAAACCTCCAAAATCCTCATGTGCTAAAACACCATTCATCCTCAATCCTCAAAAATCCTCCTCCTTTTGAAAGACACCTTTCATCCGCAATCCTCAAAAATCCTCCTCCTTTTCAAACGCCATTCATCCTCAATCCGCCAAAATCCTCCTCCTTTTCAAACACCATTCATCCTCAATCCTCCAAAATCCTCATGTGCTAAAACACCATTCATCCTCAATCCTCCAAAATCCTCATGTGCTAAAACACCATTCATCCTCAATCCTCCAAAATCCTCATGTTTTTCAAACACCATCTCATCAATCCTCCAAAATCCTCCACACTGCCATGAGGATTTTGGAAGATTGAAGTAGGTTATGTATTTCAAAGTGCAATTTCGGGTATTGTTTTTATTAAGTTGTATTTTTGCAACCATTCACTTTTCTAAGGGGGGTGGTTGTGTTAGATATATATTTCTGTGTTGAGTTTTGATATTTGTGTAGCGTTGTTTGCTCTGTATTTTTCTTAATATATTTTTTATTGTTGTAAGTAACTTGTGGTGTCTTGTGTAAGTGTATAACATGTTTATTTTTCTGAGGAAGTATTTCAATTTTGTTATGGAATTTTACCCTGTCTTTTAATGTTTATATGTTGTTTTTTTATTGTAAAAATTGATGCAATTTAGCCATTGGCTACAAGTTCAATTTCAATAAACCAACAATAATAATAATAAAAGGTTAGGGATACAACTGAAATTATATTAAGCCTTCTATGCTGCATTTCGTCTCGAGCAAATCAGACGCCTTTAGTTACCAAATGAACTGATCTACTGCCTAAATAACTACAAGGAAACAACAATTTAAAGCCAATATTGAAATCACCTTCAGATTTTCAGTATCATTCAGCTATCTAACGCAATGACATTAATCCAGCCGGGGAAGGGGGGGGGGGGGCAGCAGGGTAGGGGTAAGTTGGGGCAAGTTGCCCCTGGCCTCTTATATGCCAGAACCTCACAGCAGTCACTAACATGGCCAACACTTTTGACGAATGAAAACAATGCAAGGGAGTATTTGCGGGGAACTACCCCGGACCAAAACCAATACACTCGGTGATCCTATAGTAAACACAGGTCTGTATAGGGATGTATGCTACTTTACATTTCAGGTAGCTGTACATAGGGACACCACAGTTGCAACCTGCTGTGGGTGTAGTGATGATGTGGAATCTATCATTTCTCTGGGTTTACCGAGACAAGGATTCCTTCCTGGGGAAACCATCTACGTCACTGGTCACGTGGATAATCGCACTGCTGATGAGAGCCTCGTATTTCATGCGACGTTTATACAGGTGGGACTGTTTTCATCTCAAAATCTATGGAGCAAATGCTATGAGAATGTTTAATGAGGCAAATATTTACGATATATGTCCACGCTAAAAATTTGGTTTTATGCATTTTTGTTAATTAAATTAGTCTGTATAATCACTTGAATATTTTTATGTATCAAAAAGACAATGGGAAGTCGTTCTATAATTTTCTACTCATTTCCTTACAGCGACTTACCTACAAAAGCCAGAACCACAGCAAGACCAAAAAAGTCACCTTATCAGAGCAAGCTAGCCAAGTTGGTTGCCCAAAAGGACGCATTACCGAGTTTACTCTGGTGCCGCTGCTCATTCCACCTGATGTCCCGGTATCTGATCTTGCTGGGTGTAACTTGATTGATATCGACTACTCTGTCAAGGTTCGTCTTTTTTGGGACAATTTATTAAAAAATTGAAAGTTGGCTTTAAAATACAACTTGGTTAGAGGAGCTTGAATGACCTCCACGTTGATTGCCTTCCATTTTCAACCGAAAATTAGTTTTAACCGATCGTTTCAAAACTGTGTAGATGTTAATTAACGTATTTAATTACGTTTGAAACTAAGTAATCATCATACGTTAAAGCTATTGGATTTCCTTTTTATGGACTATTTTACACCCAGTGTTACACAACTCTTTGCAAAGAGGTGTTCCCTGTTATGATTGGTACGGTCCGCAGTGCAGCAACGCACCCTCCTGTTATATCGACTGCACCACCGCTCAACGCTATGGGGGATTATGGCATATGGCAAACGCAATCAGGTACTTCATAAATTTCAGCCGTCAGTTAAATATAAATGAAATTTTTAAAATATATTAACGCGCATTGCATCTTTGCCACACGTGTAATCTATATAATTCCACACGGGATCTTGTAAATAAAAGAAATCTGAAGAAACAAACCTAAAAGACTGAAACGATAGCAATTACTCCGGACATATTATTCGTACAACTTTATCACGAGCAAAGCCCGCCTGAATCGGGGCAAAGGAAACATTCATGTACGTCTATAAAGAGAACCCAATAGTCAGGGCTGACAACAACCTACAAAAACAGACCTTAATAGCCAAAGACATAACTGATTATTACTCGTTTGATAACTTATTAACAAACGTTGGTGTCACCGATATTTACATTTCTCCTGTATTTCTTTTTTTCTATTTAAGCGCATGAGAACGAGAACGACTGTCCACCGCCAAGCTACGAAGAAGCAGTAGGCGTTCCACACACTCGCGACACCGCGTCTCATCTCAACCAATGTCCAGAGAATCCGCCTAATATTAATCTCACAGTCAATCATCTTAGTACAGTAACCACAATGTAATATTAAATAAATTCCCGTTAATCTGACATAATGCAATGCTGGACTCACGCTAATCTTCAAGGGAATGTGGCTACAACCAAGTATAACAAATAAGAATCAAAATGAATTCATTAACGAAGTGTGTTGTAATGGAACAACTCTGCATGTGACTCAGTGATATTGGGGTGTCACCGTGTGTTTGCAAAAGCTGACTTGGCTTTGATTCCAATCCCCATCATGTACTGGCTATGAATAGGACGGTGTTTGTTTAAAATAACATGCGTATATTGATGTGTTTGTGATCATAACGTGATACCGTGCATATAGATATTCCCAGTCTTTGACGCCTTCCCACAAAAATATTTCTATCTCGAACTTTCCAATGTGTGAAATCTTATTTCTGGTAAATAAATGTCCATTATTTGTTAAGTTAAAATACATACACTGTAGTTTTGCAATCTCATTATTTAAATTTGCTTATTTGAATGTAAACATCAGATGAACGCGTAAATAAGAATGCAAGATTTAGAATTACAGTACCACGTGACGTGACCTTTGACCTTGGTCAAGTTTAATATGTACGTCGAATCCAACCATCCGCAAACAGTGGCGGCGCTACGGGGGGCCGTGAGGGAATTGGTTTCCTCCCCCCCCCCCCCCCCCCCACACACAGTTTGGCCCCCCCCCCCCAGTTTTCCCCCAACACTTTATCTTCAAATAGATTAATATGTTTGTTTTATTCGCTGTAAAGATTCATAACAAGTTGAAGATATAATCATTTGTTCCAGTCTGTGGACACATTTTGGGTCAATGAAAGCATTTATTTGCGGTTTGATACATTTCTCATTCATACACTTCTAAGTTGCTGTAGTGGCTTATTTCCGGACCATTGACTGCCCCCCAAAAAATACTTCCTTGCCCCCTATTGCCCCCCCCCCCACCTCATTTTTTTTTCAATGTCTGGCGCCGCCACTGTCCGCAAATAACGCTAAGGCGGCGTCAAACCAAAGTGTGTGTCTACACACACCGAGTTGGGTGATAAACTAGGCCGAAATCTCGGCCATGATGATAGGCACTAACCTGAGACATGTGCAGATCGTTTACAATGGCAACAGAGATGTGTTTTCCAATAAAAATGTTTTACAACACTCATAACACATAAACAATCATGCTACTTGTTCAAAACACAATATTATCTCTTCATGTGTTTCACTACTCAGAAATTGTGACGTCTCACTCTGGGAATTTCATCGAATCGTGTAGACGGCTGTTTCATGGTTACATTTTCTACTTCTCTGAGGCACATTATCTGCATGCAGTAACATGGGAAAACACATTTTGTCATGAAGCTCTCCACTCATTTACATCATGGGGAAGCTGAAACGGTTACAGATCGCTTTCGATGGGGATGTTGTGGAGTATTCTCCTGGAGATTTTATCCGTGGTCAAGCAATAATGGAGATCGATCCCACAAAGGACGGGAAAGGGTTCGAGGATATTAACGGTAGGTGTGTGTGTGTCTGTGTGCGTATGCAGCGTGCTCCGTGCATAATTCACACTGTGTGGATGCAGCCTCATTGCAAGAATTGGTGCCGCGGCCGCATAATGTGATCAACACGGAAACATAACATGACACGACTACGTTCCGCACAGTGCAAGACAATGCATATCTCACAGAATATCTCTATTTGTTTCTACTTTAGTGACAGATTACAGACTACCGATATTCTAAAATCAGCAAAAACAAACTGCTCCCTTTTATTTTGTACGTTGGCGCGGCACAAGGTAAAAACGGTGGTCGAAGCCGGGAATAAGAAGGGGGGGGGGTCGCCGCAAAAACTGGCGCCCATAATGGAAGGTAATTAGTGGCATTTGCAGAGTTACGGTCACAGTTAGGCGGTATACAAAACGAAATAGCGCCCTCCATTTTACGGTCCGCAAGATCTCAAAATCTGTGTGTATAACCGCGTCTCACGATGCGCTCATAAGCAATAGCTCATGTCTGAAACGAAGGGAGGGGGGGGTGCGCAAATATCCGCCCGTCGACCCTCCCCCCCCCCTCCATACACACCCACACACCCATGCGTTTGACTATACTCAGGAGGACCTGATCTTTTCCTTATGTTCCCTTTTGTTTGTACTCCAACTTTCTCTCGACAGCTCCCATAAGGTTTGTAAACGAAATTCTCCCGAGGACCTGGGCCCAGGTCCTCAAGCTGAATGCATTACCAACCCCAAGTGTGTATTTGCCTGCAATCGGGGACCCCCCCCCCCCCTTGTCCCTCTTTTGTTTGTACCCCAACTTTTTAGGAAGACCTCCCATATGTTTTGTACACGATTGCCAAATCTGAGACCTTCGGGAATTGGAAACCCTATTGTTCTCTATTGTTCAACGTCCCATATCATTATTGAATGCAGAAACAACCTCACACACCCACACCGTATGTACACACCACACACCCACCCATATTTTTCTTGCTGTGTGAATATTTGACGTTATTTAAAACTTTGTTTTAATACTTTGAACTGTGACGGCGAAATGCTCTTCAGTTACCGTGTTTCGAATTTGTTTATTTCTTTAATCATAGGAATATGGATGTGGTTTCGAGGAGGGGCAAAAACAGAATTCGTGCCCAAAAACGACAGCGAAAATGTGGCCGCATCTGAGGAATGTTATTTCAGTGACACTCTCGCCGTATTTGGGACAGGTTGGTCAAGTCATTGTCTGTGTGTTGAAAACGACTTTTGTGTTAAAGGGCTCATGATATTAATTTTAGCTGGGAACATATTTTGTGCAAATTTCTACTCCTCTGAAATGTATAAAAACTATTTGACATCCCTTCTTAATTAATGTAATTGAAAAGTTCACTTCTTTAAGCGTTACAATTACCATGCTTTTCCTGAGGGCGCTGTTGCTGTGATGTCATTTAATGAAGACACTGTTCAGTGTAGGCGTTTTCTGTTCAAATTGTGAACCCAAAATTTGCTCATTGATAACATTTTTGAGAAAACTTTGCTCACTGGCCTACTTATCATGAAATGAAACAACAACAAAACAATAAAGAAAAGAAAATTTACGACAGCAAATTATCCAAAATTCAGTCACATTTTGGCGCTGAAATAGCTGTAACTTTGAGGTTTCTGCCTGAAATAACATCACACTTTTGCTCATGAACACGCAAATTTTCATTCGCAGGAAAACCAAAAGGCGCCAAAACGCCCTTAACCCTCCACACTAAGCTGAGTCAGTCAGTGACAATCTGTCACTAATAATCCTATCTATCAAAATCTATATCAGGGTATCAATTTGGAACAGGTCTGCAAAGATGGAATCATAATTATCGGTAGAATTAATGGTTTAAAATCGCTGCCAACAACGGCTACGTCTCGAAAGTCCAATGTACCATTGATCCGAAGTCCCACTGGTCCAACGTCCCATTGGTCCGGTGAAAAATAATACTGTGTAATTCCACTTGTTCAGGTTGACTGACCCTAACCCTCACCCTAACCCTAACACTAATCTTCTTGGGCGTCGGACTAATGAGAGAGGTGGGGTCAGGTTTTTTTGGATAGTTTGTGATAGTTATAAGTACATTATATTTAAAAAATAGCAAAATGAATAATAAAGGTTAAATGGGACACAAGGGTGCATTTACAAGGACTGCATAAAAAAAATGACAGGGCCTAAACTCTTTGCATGAACGTAAGTCTGACACATCTTGGATTAACAGTTGTGTCTATTCCACAGAGATACATGTATTTTGCATGAAATAAACAAAATTAGGTCTATAATTATAGCTTTGTTGTTCATTGCAGGACAGCACGGACGATTCCCTGTGGATCGGACTCTGCTACCGGGCAGACATGTCTTCCCATTTGAATTTCAGATTCCTAATAACCAAGGTTTACCGCAATCTTTCGAAGGAAAAAGCGGGCATGTTCGGTACTTCGCCAAGCTGGTTGTGAGTCGCAACAAGACGTTCTACGACAAGTTAAACAAGGAGGAGAAGCGGTTCAGATTGAAGAGACCAACGGTAGATCTGAGTCTCAAGCGACGCGCTGAGGTATGACAGCTACATCTTCACTTATCGGATCTTGAACATTCTATGTGTGACCCCGAGAGCAGACTTGTTCTTTCCAACTGAAATTAAACCATTCCTCCATGCTGCATTTCGTCTTGAGCAAATCAGACGCCTTTAGTTACCAAAATGAACTGATTTACTACCTTAATAACAGCAAGGATACAACCCGAAGCCCATTGAAATCCTCTTCCTATCTTCGGTATCATTCAGCTATCTAACGCAATGACATATCCAGGGAGGGGCGGGGTATAAAGGGTATGATCGGGGTAACTTGCCCCTAGCAGCATTTTGCTACCCCCTCCCCCATGCCAGAACCCCACGCTATCTAGCAGTAGCAGTAAAAACCAAAACTTTTGTCGAATGAAAACAATGCAATGCTTGCGGGAAACTCTACCCCAGACTCCAACCAATACACTAATTGATCGTAGTATGCACAGGTGAATCTAAAGGGATGTATACTATTTCACATTTCAGGTAGCTGTACATAGGGACACCACAGTTGCAACTTGCTGTGGGTGTAGTGATGATGTGGAATCTATCATTTCTCTGGGTTTACCGAGACAAGGATTCCTTCCTGGGGAAACCATCTACGTCATCGGTCACGTGGATAATCACACTGCTAATGAGAACATCAGATTTCGAGCGACGTTTATGCAGGTGAGACTTTTTTTCGTAGAGGAGCATAAATGTGGCATACAATTGACATTTTGGTTCTACAATACATCAAAGATCCCTCGTTGATAAAATTACAGTATTCTAAGAAGTTTATTATTGCCTGGAATATTATGATATATCACAAAAGAAGAAAAAGAAGTCGTTCTATCATTAACTGCTCATTTCCTTACAGAAAATAACTTACAAGGCCCGCCGATACCAGATCTCGACACAAAAAGTCACCTTATCGGAACAAGCTAGCCAAATTGGTTGCCCAAAAGGACGCATTACCGAGTTTACTTTGGGGCCGCTGCTCATACCACCTGATGTACCGGTATCTGATCTACCTGGGTGTAACTTGATTGATATCGACTACTCTGTCAAGGTTCGTTGACAATTTGTTAAAAGAATTGAAAGTTGCACACTTTTAACATGTTTTTGAAGGGATTCCGATACGATCGAGTATAAGCTTTATGTGGCCACTCTAGGCTCCCATTCATTTTGCATTTAATTTAGTCGGCCATCATTTGCAGTCATCAGCCGACATTTGAAGGGGAAAAAGTCCCCCCCCCCAAAAAAAAAACCAAGAAGCCGCGTCGCCGCACCACTTTTGGGGCAAGCTCCATACCAGAAACAGGATACTTTTTTGGCCTTAGTTTTATACCGATCGATTCAAAATCGTGTTACCTTTGGTTGTTGATTGATGTATTTAATTACGTTTGAAACTAAGTAATCATCACACGTTAAAGCTATTGGAGTTCCTTTTTATTGATTATTCTACATGTAGTGTTACACAACTGGTTGCAAAGAGGTGTTCCCTGTTATGATTGGTACGGTCCGTAGTGCAGCAGCGCACCCTCCTGTTATATCGACTGCACCACCGCTCAACGCTATGGGGGATTATGGCAGATGGCAAACGCAAACAGGTATTTCATATAGTTCAGCTGTCAGTCAAAAGGATGATGCAACATTTGCAAAAATCAAATAACAAAACTACCAAATTATTATAAAATACCTTACTGGACTGTTAGTGAATGACAGTCTAAAGTATCCTGTAAAATCATGACACCTGGTGTGCTGTCATTTTCAAGAAAAGTGGTAATTTTTGTATCAATTTCCAACGCTGTTCCAGCGTTTGAACAAAAACAGGCTGTTTTAAATACTGCCCCCAATTTACCATATTTAGTTAGTCCGCATTTTATTTGCAATGAATTATACACTTATGAACGGGTACAAGCCAGCTAGACTGGTTTCCTGACCTTACGATTTCCCGACATCTGTAAATTGTCATCTTAAGTGGGGTCAGGGAACCGGACTACATAAAGATGATTGATTGTCTTGGTTTTTCCAGCATCTACGAGCACAAATTTCAAAAAAGTCAGACTTACAATATTTTGCTATGAAATATTTACCCCTGAAAGTCCATCCATTTCTGAAAATTATACCAAATGGAAATGTTGTATATATTACCTTTAAAAATGAAATTTAAAAATATATAATGTGTATTGCATTTTTGCCACACGGGATCATGTCATAAAGAAACGATCTAAAGAAACAAAACCTACAAAATGAAATGATAGCTATTATTCCGGACAAATTATTCGTGCAACTTAATCACAATCAAAAGCCGTCTGAATCGTCTGAAGCCGTCACAATCGAAAGCCGTCTGAATCGGGGCAAACATACATGTAGTCTATAAAGAGTACCCAAATAGTCAGGGCTGACAACATAACCTACAACAATAGTCCTTTGTAGACAAAGACATAATTGATAATTATTCGTTGGATAACTTATCAACAAACTTTTGCTATCATCGATATTTACATTTTCTCCTGTATTATTTTCTCATTAAGCACGTGAGAACGAATACGTGAACGACTGTCCACCGCCAAGCTACGAAGAGACAGTGTTCCACACACTCGCGATACCGCGTCTCATCTCAACCAATGTCCAGAGAATCCGCCTAATATTAATCTCACAGTCAATCATCTGAGTACAGTAACCACAATGTAATATTACTTAAATTCACGTTTAATAATCTGACAGAATGCAATGCTGGACTCGCGCTAATCTTCAAGGGAATGTGGCTACAACCAAGTATAACCAATAAGAATCAAAATGAATTCATTAACAAAGTGTGCCTATGTAATATAATGGAACAACTTTGAACGCGATAGGGGTGTCCAATCTTTACATTCAAACAAAAGATGACCGCATCAATCACTTTTCAGATACATTGTGTGGACTTCCCCACGTCCAAACAAGGCTTTCCACTCTCTGATGAGAAACAGGTTTACAGGCATTTTTGGGTTAAGTTCATCCGTCGCAAAATGAAGAAAAACACTCAAGGGAATCATAGTAAAAAAATGGGTTGAAAAAGTTTTCACAGTGTGGGTAAAATGAGGGTTTTTTCACAGGTTTTTCTTAACTGCACGAAAACAAAAGAATGTCCACACAATAGGTATGGAACGTAAACATGGGTGTGTTTGTAAAGGCTCGATCGTGTTATTATTAATTCAACACAACATTATCATGCGCTGGTTGTAAATAGGAAGGTGTTTGTTCTGTGACGAGTGTAAAAATACCCCCCCCCCCTCTATTTTTTTGGTTTATCCCTATTGGGTTAGACTCTTTAGGCTATTTATATTCAAATTAGCTGAGCGCCCTCAACGTCAGGTTTCGGGCACTCCTTGCTGCGTCATTCACTCATTGTCGAAGACTAGCTAACATTGTCTTGTCATTTTCTGTCTTCGCTAATACAGGTAATTACAACGTTTAATCTATTTTATCTTAATTTAAAAATAGTTTAAGATTACACTGCGATTTCTTGTATTCCTTTTTTCCCATTAGTATTTTTTCTTGTAAATAAATGTCCATTATTTCTTGTGTAAAAATACATAGCTTTGCAATCTCTTTATTTAAATTTGCTTATTTGAATTTACACATCAGATTTACGCGTAAATCAGAATGCGGGGCTTAGAATTAAAATACTACGTGACGTGACCTTTGAACCTTTGTCAAGAAGCGTTATATTATGACGTCGCTCCAAACCATACGCAAATAACGCTACGGCAGCGTCAATAAACGTTCAAAGTCCAATATTTGGTACGTGTACCGTGGTACACACTGCATGGTACAGGGTGTGATTAGGTATGGCAGTCGTGGTTATACAAACGGACACAGAATTAGCTGATCATTACTAGAAACTAGGCCGAAATCTCAGCCAAGATGATGGGCAACCTGAAAAACGTGGAGATCGTTTACGATGTCAACAGAGATGTGTTTTTACCAGGTGATACGGTGAAAGGACGGGTGATCATAGACATTGAACGAAACGAAGAGTTGATGGGCCTCAGAAATATTAAAGGTTAGTTTAAAATGTAAAACGTACATCAAAGCCCAGTCATACTTAATAGTATGGTGGATGTTCAGTCATGTGTAATTGAAGATGGGTGCTCGTGCACAAAATCTAAAGGGTGTCCATTTTAATTATGTCACTTTTCCAAATACGAGAGCGTCATTGTCCCAGCCCTTCTTGTATTCCGACAGGTATATCGGTGCGCTTTCGAGGTAAAGCTAAGATCGTGTGGATCACCAAGGACAGTCAGACTATACACAGTGGGCACCCTGACTACAAAATCGAGTACATCCGGGCACGACACAAAAAAATCTGGCAAGATGGCAACAGTAAATTTGAGAGACACGAGGCGAGAGAGCACTACTTTGATTCTTCCCGACTCTTGTTCGGCTCAGGTAGGTACATGTACACACAATGTAAGCTTAGGCCTATATACCAATATACAAACTTGAAGCATTTAATTAAATCGGATAGATGTTATGGGAACTCAACGGAGCATACGGTGTCTCATACTCACCCCGGCCCTCCCCTTTCTAACTTATTGTCGGAACGTCTGTTTTTATATTTCTGTCTGTTGGGGTCTGTCGGCAACGTTATTGCCCCCTCATTAAACTTGGTCTGTGTACTATTACCTTACGAGTAACCGAGTATTGTGTAATGAAGCAATGTTAGACTTTTTATGGGTTGTAAAATAGCAAGGTCATGACGTTACCTTTCGTGCGTTTTCATGCGGGTATCAGCGACAAAATACATAAAATTAAACAAACACTTAAAATTCACTATTGATGGCGCTGTGTCACCACATGGGTATAAGGTTGCAGACCAGTACATACATTTCCACAGACCCAAATGATAAATGCCCCCACTTCAGAAATTCAGGAAAAATACTCGCAATTCTCCGAGGTGTTCACGACGTACATCAAATTAAAGCTTATTTCATCATCTTTCATTATCTGTTCAATTTTCTGGGGGGTAACCAATGACTTTTGGGAGAAAAATTCCATCCAAAGATGATTATCCATAAAAGCAGTCCTGAAGCCCATCGCCATTTTGAAAATGGACGCCTCGCTCCATTGCAAAATAAAGCCATTTTGATGTCTAATTTCATCCACATTTCACAGAAATACGAGCTTGCGGTCCTCCGCACGGCTTCCAAACTTTTTTTTTTATTACAAATCATCAAGTTCACGGCCTTCTAAATGCTCTAATAATGAAGAATTTGAGGGCATGCAAATTGTGATTTGGCCGGTGTAGGCAATTTCTGACCGATTTACTGGCCTGCACCCATGAGCTAACTTTAATGCTGTTCAGTGCAAACATGGCACTATTGTCCTTGTGGCACTTATTGTGTGCTGTCCTTATTCCTGAGTTTATATGTAAATGAGGTCATTGAACTGCGCATGCTTTTTAAAGGAAGACAGTAAATGTGTGCAAGATCCAACCTTGCGCAGAACATGTCAACCACCACGCTTTTTCACAACACAGCAACTCAACACGATCATTGTCAAAATTACAAACGTTCAGGTACGATAAAATGTGTCATGTCTTTAATACAGGTGTGTTTAATACAAGCGGCATGTTTATGTTTAAACTGACTTTCTTGATTTTCAGATGAAACTCAACCAGATGCACAAGACATGCGCCTCCCATCAGGAAGACATAATTTCCCCTTCGAGTTTTTAGTTCCATCCAAAGCTCTACCTGCGTCATTCGAGGGATCAAATGGCTACGTACGATACAAGACCAAAGCATTTGTTACCATGTCCAGATTCCTGAAAAACAAACTGTTCAAGACGGAGAAGTGTTTTTCCTTGCTCGGTCCGGACGTGGATCTGAATCCGATGCCAAACATAGAGGTTGGTTTCTGGGATTACACCGACATTAATGTTTGTTTCGTTTATTAAATTAAAAGCTATTGATCCTATCAGTGGGTAAACCTGGTGCTTTTGCGTAAAAAAAAAAGGAAAGAGCAAAAAAAAAAATAACGTTGCCTTTTATTATGCCTGCACAAAACATGACAATTCACAGCCAAAAAACAATGTATTCGTATTTTTTTTAGCTGGGCAAAGCAGCTAAATGATCGTGTCTCTCCGCTGGTTAGTAACAAACTTCAGCAAATGCCTTTTGGCAATCAATCACCTTGTCCCTTAGGCCCGCGCAACAACACGTGCTTCAGGTCTCCACTGACCAGCTACCAATTTATTCATTCACTCACTCATTTCGCATTGGAGCTATAACACTGTACTGCACACAAATTGAGTGTTCCACATGCTATAAAACGCTCCATGCACCAACTGACGTTTAACAAAATAGTAAGAATCTTTTTAATTTATAGTAACGACCGTGTGAGTAGTTGTGCATTAATATGTGAACAGACTTTTACATCATGTAGCCTAAATGACGTACAGGCTATACAGCAGGTCTAACGTTGGGCCGCAGCTTCAAAATCAACTGATTTCAATAAATCAATTAGCTGATAAGCCCTACATAATTTAATTGTTGTTTTTAATGATATTTTTCCAGGAGCCTTTAGAGAGTGAGGATGAAGTTCGCAATTTTTGCGGCTGTGGTCCCGATCTCGAAGCAATCACTTTAATCAGCCTTCCGAAGCAAGGCTACGTGCCTGGCGAACCCATCTACGTCACGGGTAACGTGGACAACCGTGAGCTATCGGAGCACAGAGAGTTCACTGCGACTCTTATTCAGGTGAAAATCTTGTCCTGCATGTGTATAAATGAAGGTTTTGTCACGGATGTTATTCATTTGGAATCAACACGAGGAGAACAGAATGGATTGATTCTTGATATTCTCTTTGCAGAAAGTGTCCTACCAGGATGAAAGAAAGATAAGGGAGACCACAAAGACAGTTTTAGCGAAGATGAAATCGACAGTCACCTGCCCCCGAGGCCGAGTATCAGAGATCATGGTAGGGCCCTTACCGATCCCTCCTGTTCCCTCAACCGGTATGGACGGATGCAGCCTCATCGACATTGAGTACTACGCTCAGGTAGGTAAACAATGGCGCGCAGTTTCTCTTCAGTTACAGGAAATTAGTTGCCTGCGCAAGCTAAGATTAAAATGGACATGTTCACGCATCCCCGCCGCTGTTGTAAAAAGTTGTCAGAGCGCCCTCAATTACTGCAATTAAAGGAGAGTTCGGTTGCCGTCGCTTTTTAGTGTATTTGATTTCGCTGGTACCCACCGCCCAAACAGTGCGCTGGCCGGGAAGGGCTCATTTCTTCAGGATGCATGACGTAATTTCTTGGAGCCCTCATTGGATAAAATTTGTTTGAACAACAACGCGGGTCAACAGTGTACGCGTGACACGTGTGCGCTGAATGTACGTGCATTGATTAAGGTAGCAGGCTACCCACAATGCTTTGCAACGCCTGTGCTTCCTTCACAACATATTGTGACGAGCGAAATATTTCATAGGCGAACATTTTCACCTAGTACATTGGGTATTATATGTATTTTCATGAACACGTACCGTTTTATTTTATAACAAATCTTTTTGTTCTACATTTCAGTGCAGGGATAAAAGCCACACGATAAAATTCCCGATTACGGTGGGTTCCGTTCCGCTGTGGAATTCGGCTCCGATGGCTACCGTTGATCAAGGCGCCACGCCGGCGGATGGACCAGCAAATCACGGTAACTATTCGAATGGTTCGATTGAGTTCTTCGTTGTGTTTTACATATCCATTGAAGTGTGTCTCGTAAGACCAAAACCCCTATTCGTTTCTATGATTTTTTTTTTCAATTTCAAGTAGCGATCCGACAAGTCTGGGACAACAGCCGCGCAGATTTTGTAGATATGATTTTGTTTATAAAAACAATTTCAATTTTTTTAAAATAATTTCTGTATGGACTGTTTATGATCAGAGGCGAAACTGATGAAATCAAAAACAGTCTTAACTCCGATGTACCCTTGTAAAGTATTCCTCCTCTGTTTGTCTCCACACAGCTCGGCCTAATGAAAGGCTTCGTTTTTCCCCACCGAGTTACGAGCAAGTTACAGGAGAGATCCACAACATCGAGAAAGGAAACAGGGAAGATTACTTCAACGATGACCAGTTCCTACCGAAGTATCTGCATTTCAACCTCACAACGTCTGAGGATGAGGTGGAAGTGGACCAAACATGGGCGTAAATCCCGAGGGTGGGGAGGATATATGGGCGTAAATCCCGGGGGGTGGGGAGGATATATACCCCCTTTCCGACTTTATGAGCGCCCCTTTCCGACTTTATGAGCGGGGGAAGGGCAGAGTTTTGTGGTGAGGGACCAAAACATGCCGATTTGAAGTTATCTTCTAATTTTCGAACGGTTTGGAAACACGGCGATTACAAACGCTTGCAATGCACCGTTTGTGATATAAAGTTAAAGTTTGCATAAGATGTACATAAATCATGAACCGCGCCCGCAGTGTCACGTGGTGTCCAGCACCAAGCCCTCCCCCCCTTTCCACCTTTCTATTTCCATGGCCGGGCATTTTTATTAGTTTAGTAATCTCCCACACAACTCACCAAAACAGATTTACGGCACTAGGAACAAATACGTGATTTTTAAAATCCTGAGGGAAGTCTGTTTGTAAATAAACATTAGAATGTCATTTATTAATATTCAAAGAAAAATACAAGATCAAAAATACTAATTAATATGCGTCTTCCCTTTTCACATTAATTTTAGAGGGGAAAGTTAAGCGATTGATCTCATTTTAGTAACTTCTTGGATAACTTACACATGTTTTGTTGTTTTCTCGCATGACAGGAAAAATCAGTTTGCTTGTTCCTTTATTCGAAAGGAACAGTTTTTCCTTTACAATTGTTCAAATATAGTTCGCTACATAGAATATGAAGAGGAGATTTAGTAAAGTCATGGAGAAATATTGTAGTTTTATGATTTTGTTTGTCATTCACAGTTTGAATCATGGTGCTGGGAAGCACGACATTTTAGTTTTTTTTAATTTAAGAAAGCCTATATAGAAAGTCTGTCAGGAACATTTGTACAGTAGGGTCTATATTTTAGATATGTACAGAATCGCAATGAAAACCTCCCTACGTTACCATGTATTCATTTTCAACTGTCCAGAAGCATCTAAGGTGGGTTTTTTAAGAACAAGTAACAAATATCTTTAAGAAGGCTGATACAAATAATTGTTATTCGAGCTATAATAGTGCTTCTATAGAGCGTTTTATATTTTGCATTCTAAATTTCAATCTATATAGTGCTTCTATAGTGCTTCTATAGAGCGTTTTATATTTTGCATTCTAAATTTCAATCTAGAGTAATAAGTACATGTACATGTATATACATACGTTTTCAATGTAACATTTAAGCATGACGTCCAAACCACTTTATCAGACTGCATGGTTAACATCGGAGGATCATAACGTGTCATGAGGGCGCCGTTGCCGTATTAAAGGGAGCAAAATGGCACATATGACCATCAAAATCGCGCCTTTCATGGATCGTTTGTTCATATTATTACAACATTCTGCCGTTGAGATAGAAATATTAAACCATGACCTCACAAAACTATCTGTCTTCAATGTTGAATATAACAAGTTTTAAAATGAGACTTTGTTCATTGTTCCATTTCAACTCGACGATCTATAAAGGCCAATTGTCGTGTCCTTTAATGCTGACACTGATTTCTTAAAGAAAAACCAATGTAATTACAGAAAAGACGTAAACGTCTGTAAGCAATGCCAGAAGTTAATATTTACAAAAGAGAAGCCCCAAACAATGTTCTTGAAGGATTTTTCTAGCAAAATGTGTAAACTCGAGTCATGAGTGTTATAGAAGCTTCTACTTCACTTTAAAGACTTCACTTCGTGCATTATTTCGTCTCTGTTCGTTATGCTACAATGTATCAAATGTCCAGAAACATGATGGCCGCGCCTTGATCCAAATTTGGATGATTTTTAGCCCTATTTCTCTCCGTAGATGCAAAATGAGTTGGTCATCTGAACAAACTCACTCTGAATTGAATCGAAGCGGTTTGCGTCATTCAGTTGGCAGATTTTCTTCATCCCTTGGTGAAGAACGTTGAATGAGCGACATCCGGGATCGTTGGAGCATTCCACCGCGCATGCGTTGAGGCTCTTAGTTTGAAACTCCCTGATCACGTGACCAAGCAAGCAGGAATGCAGAAGCCGCCATGCTCGGAGATGCAACCTCTGTCCCAGCTTCGAAGCATCGCGTTTGAAGATGGTGGGAAAGAGGCGTGTGCATGTATAGTCCGCCCACTGACCAGTCAGTATTATCCGCGCACACTCAGACGCTTGATGATAATTGTTTGGCTCGTCTGGTGTCCAAGCTCTGTATTTAAAGTTCGAGTCACCACCACAGACCCACTGTCCCTCCATCGCTAGATCATTACAGAATATCCAGTGGTCCAAACCCGTGTCTTGAATCATATCTTGGATGAAGTCATTTTCCTCCTGAGACCGAGGTGCCATCATCTTGCCTTCCATTGTGAGGCATTTCGCCACAGCATCAAACCATGTAAATGTTTCTGTCGTGAGAACGTAACATGACTCGTTCCAATATGTCCAAGTTGGTGGACAAGTTTCTTCTGTGTTACAGGTCAGTGCAGCGGAGCCGCTAAACATTACAAACACCAAAAACATCCCACTGATTGCTTTAATGACAAGTGCCATCATCACAGTTAAAAACTTTTACAACCGCACGGAGAAAAGGCAGACAATTTGGTAACAACAAACTGACCAACAAAAACTGCAGTTTGCGATTCGGTCAGATATCCGATATGACTTGCTTGAGTAGAGGAGATGTTGAACACCATCGGTCTAAAGCTGCTCATTGCCTCAACTACCTTGGGTGAACATAGGGAATGTGTTCGTCGAGAGCGGACGATGACGACAATCATAAAATTTTAACGCACATTGAGCTCTTACGCCTCGCTAATGGACAACTTATAAAGAATTGACAACTACTTAGCAAACAAAGCCGCTCGAAGTAGCAGCATACTTCAGCGGAACCAAGAGAAATTGGTTTTTAAGTCAAGGTCAACTCAACCCGGGGATGTTAATATACTTGATTACACAAAGCCAATTCATGATCCATTAGCCATCCATTTGGTTATTAATTAATCCATTCCCTTTTAACCTACAAAATGAACACAAGGTCGTGTAGCATCGGATCGTGAGGGACAATCTTTCCTTATGAATGATTAATGTCATCATTGATGACGGAGCTCCCATGATTTTGTCTTACGCCCTCTTCTGATGATCAGTTTACTAAAATGAAGCGAATCTCAAACTGGAAGCAGGTCGTTAATTATAGCTGAGATAACGCATTTATTTCACGACTATACAGTAGGCTACTGTATTTTCTGTGCACTGGGACGTCTTTATGGCAGGTTTTCTCCATGATGACAACAAGGTTTTTAATTACTACAACATTGGTTTGTCTTAATACTATATAGGCTTTAAGTACATGTACTCAACAATAATTAAGAAAAATTTCAAACAGGTAAAACATAACTCATTAAAATGAGTTATTGTTCAAGCAGCGCGTAGTTGTTTCTCCGTGTTCAATAGTCCGGAGTATTTTCTGTACTCTCGGACGTCTTTATGGCAGGTTTTCTCCGTGATGACAAAAAAGTTTTTGGTTGATTACATGATTCATTTGTCTTACTACTCTATAGGCTTTAGGTATATGTGCTCAGCAATAATTAAAAGATATTTCAAACCAGTACGACAGGCATTTAATGAGTTATTGTTCAAGCACCGCGTACGTTGTTTCTTCGTGTTCAAATAGTCAAGAGGAGTATTTTCTATACACTGGGACGTCTTTACGTCAGGTTTTCTCCGTGATGACAAAAAAAAGTTTTTTGGGTGACTACACAATTGGTTTGTCTTAATACTTTATAGGCTTGATGAAAATGTGCCCAAAAATAATTTACGGAAATTTTAGACCAGTACAACATGAATTTAATGGGTTATTGTTCAAGCAACGCATAGGTTGTTTCTGCGAGTTCAATATAGTCAGGAGTATTTTCTGTGCACTGGGACGTCTTTACGGCAGGTTTTCTCCGTGATGACAACAAGTTTTTAGGTGACTACAACATTGGTTTGTCTTAATACTTTATATGGTTTATGTACATGCACTTAACAATAATAAAAGGGCAATTTTAAACCAGTACAACATGTATTTAATGCATTTTCTGTACACTGGGACGTCTTTATGGCAGGTTTTCTACGTGATGACCAAAAAATGTTTTTAAAGAAAATGAAAGATGACCTGTTGATCATCATTTTGCTGTGCAGCCTAAACACCTGTGAGAGTTTTTAAGAATTAAGGTTCCACATATAGAGTGTTTTCCAGGCCTATCTTAGACTGGGCTACCTATGATGATGCATGTCATCAATGACTGAGCTCCCATTATTCTGTCTGGCGCCCTCTTCTGATCATAAAATTACTGAAATAGAGAGAATCAGAAACTAGAAGCAGGTCGTCAATTACAGCCGAGATAACGCATTTATTTCACAACTATTACAGTAGGCTACCAAACATATCTAAAGGTAAAGTAGATCATTTTGCAGCTATCAAAAAGTAACTGTAAACATTATTGTTGAAAAGCATAATGCATACTTGGTTTAAAGATAGTAAAGGTACCAAACTCTCTGTGAAATTATTCTTTCTGGCATGTAGCTGCAATCGGCTGAATGAGAACATGTTCCAGTTGCTGAATTTGGGCGCAATTCAAAACATGATTTGGCAACTTATGATTTGAATTCGGGATCCTAGAATATTGTGGGTTTTTTCGTATTTTATACAGCATTCACGAGCTGAAACATCATCAGGTTAGTTATTCAGTAAGCACCCGCATTTAGATTTTGAACACTTTTGTTGGTTTAAACGAAAAAAAATCGCAATTGGCAAATGATGAACTCTACCTTTAATGAGGTTGCAATATGAAGTCAAATTGTAGGGAATAACACAACATAATTATAACCACTAATCCAATTGAACCAATGATCATGTGCCGATTCTCTGAGCAAGTATAAGAGATCGAGAAGATTATTGATGATAAATGACACTATAGTAATACCCCTAAGCATTTAAAATATCTCAGGTTATATGTAAAACTTATCAGAATTGCAAAAAAAAAAAGTGACCCAATTCAGGTATGAGTTTCTTCATAATTTCCCCCGAATGCTTGACACTTAGTATTTTAATTCGAAGGCATATCTTCTGCTTATTGGTTACCTTAAAAAAACAAATGTTGATAAAGTAACTGAAATCTGAATCAAGACATGACTCGCCATCAATTACGCAAGCAGCGAGTTTAATTGAATCATGATGGCATGTGCACATCATCATACTTGATGAGCGCCCTCTACGGCAAAAGCATGCGTTCTACAAAAAAGAGCATAATTACATATAATTATTGGGAACATATAATTATTGGGAACAATAAGATATCACGCGTTGAGTTTTGAACAGGGAGCCTGTATGAGCTATTAAGAAAATTACTACGCCGAACTTCAGTGTCATTCAAAACACATTACACATTGATGGACACATTACATCACTTCTTGTAAGACTTTCCCGAAAAAGACTTTGAATCGTCGCTTTTTTTGCTGATGAGAGGCGTTTCTTGTTATTTTTCTTTCACTCGTGACTTTAAGCGTTACTGTTATTACCGCTGTTGAGGATCTCGGTGTATCGCTTGTATTCGCCATCGATACGTTTCCAAATCACCAAATATCTGTAGAAAAACAAAGTAAAATCAACCACGATTCAACAAAAACTGGAAATTGAAAGAATGATTGTTTGCCCCTGATTTCAGAAAATGTCGAATCAAAGTCGGAGACAATGGAAATAATCAGCCAATAATTAAAGTTATTTACTTCTTAACACTTTGTGCAAGTTCTTCATATGGATCAAATAATTAAGAGCAATAATTAACGTGTTCAACTTCGACAAAACATCGTACTCCATTAACAAAGTAATGGGGACATTGACAAGATTTTAAAACCATGATCGACCTTGAAATGGAATATTTGCATGTTTTCAACTTACTTGCCCATTTTGAGTGGCGTTTTGTCGGCCTTTGCGAAGTCATAATCACCTCGTTCGTACAACACGTCACCACCATTGACCGGCCCCACTTCTATAGCCTGCAGGTTGACCACAACAGCGCCCTCTGTCTTCAGTGATGTCAGGAGTTTCTTCGCATCTGTTTTTGACAGGTGTGTCGAAAAAGTAAACATGTATGTATGAATAGATACAACAACATATAGCATTCAATTATCAAAATATTATCGGAAGGGTTTGGTTGAATTTACGTCATGTAATTTATCTGTACGTCAGTGGCACGTCAAAGTATGGAATTTTCAATTTGCCGGCAAAATTCGAACTAGCTTTTACAATAGAATGGCTCTAGGCATGAGCATTTAGTTGAACTATTTTAAGTGTGTTTGGACTTTTCCGAATGGCCACGAATTCCAATTAAGGCCAGTAAAATGTTGATGTATTTATTGCACTGAGAAATTTGGCCATTTTAAGTCAGTGTATTTTACTTGATTCTTTATAATAATGAAACCTATGAAGATCGGAAGTCAGAAGTAGGTCCGGATGGACTCGAACCCGGTTCATCAGTTACGTAATTGGTTGATTTATCATGATTATTGGCATAATTTGGAAATGAGGCTGGCGTTTTGGCAGTCAAAGCACAGGTGTTGAAAAAGCTCATCAATAAGTAGCCTAGCACATGAGGGCGTCCTTCAGTAAAATAACCAGCAAGTTTGCAACAGCAAGACGCAATGCATCTTCGTTTGTTCTCCATTATACCTTCTTTTCCCTCTGCCGTCTTTTCCCCAGGAACCATCATCTTACAGTCTTGGACGTAGAGGGCGTCTCCTAATGCCTCAATATCACCACCTTCAAATAGTTCCTTGAACTTCTGGTTGCGGTTCTGGATCAGTCCCAGTTGCTCTGTTCAAGTAAAGTGTAAAAAATAATAATAATAATTTCTTGAACATCTTGACGGGAAAAAGGCAGCTCTTCAAAAAAGTTTCAATACTGGAATCTGTTCAAATTCCAGCTAAGGTTATTTTTTGTAAGTACTTTTACAGAAACATCATTTTGTGCCAATTCAAACGGAAATGTAAAGTTGTCCCATTGCAAGTTTTAAGTTTTTATTGCAATGAATAAAATGTTTAATTGTTTGAAACTTTCGTTGCAGATTCCGCGGGGTCTCTCAACGATTCTTAATTTCCACACTAAAAATTAAAGTGGGTCGAAAATTTGGGGGAAAACAGTCAAAATATGAATCTATTTCTTAAAAATGCACAGTTTTGCCAGCATTGTTCAAATAATTGGCGATTGTATTGAGATATATGCTAATCTTGAATCGAAAGGTTTTTCTTGGTCGTTTCCAGAATGTTATGTTTTTTTAGGGGGGGGGGCGGGCATATTGAATTTCTTTTATAATCCAAACAATTATAGCTTAGATGGGGGTGGGTAATTGTAAAAAATAGTAATAATTTTAAAACGGTTCACAGTTACAAAGCCAATACATGTATGTTATAAAATTGAATGAAGCATGTAGCATTTATAATATTCTGGATGACGAACAAAGTTAAGTTCGGTCTTACGCCTAAACCCTTTAATCAAGCGGATAGGTACGAGTGTAAGCCAGTTTCAAATTTATTTTCATACATAATAGGGAGGATTTTCATGTTAGTTGCTGCAGTGACATGTCGGCGGCCGAGTCGGACATTTATATTCGTCACTATTGATTCCTTTTGAAATCAATTATTTTATTTGTTTAGTGATTAGTTGTGGGTATTAATCAAACCAATTAGATTAGATTTGGGAGGATTTGTTTTATAGGACCACAGATAAAAGGATTTCCTATCCATATATCATATGGGATTTCTAGAAATAAATCTCAAAGCCCAATTAAATCCATGCCGTATGTCATTAACGATGGGTATATTTCTATATTTAAATTGAACATACATTTTGGTGCACAGGCGGAATGTGGTATGCAATAAAATTATTTTGTAACCGGGTAAAATGGTAATTAAAACAAAATTTAAATCTAAACTTATGTTTTTATGATGGTATATATTATAGAGCAAGTAAATTAAATAGTATACTCATTAAATTTTTGCGATGCAAAAGTCAAAATTGCATGTCTTTTGCTAAAAGAATCCATTCCATTCAATGAATCAATATGAAAAGCATAATTCTTATATACTCATATATCATGGCATTTTAATTATCCATCCCTAATCAATGAAACTGATCCTACGATTCAATTAACTCAAAACTTAGATAAAAACACAACAGGTGGTTGTTGTTAGTACGTGATATGCGGTTTAATAACACAGGGAATAATTGCTTATTATTAAGGCGCATGACCCTCCGGTTGGTGTATCAGGTGTAATGAGTCAACGTGTACCCCATCTGTTGACTAAAATCGAGCACTATCATTCCTCAATTATTCCAGAGTTTATTTCATTGTGTAACCTCGTCAAATTTGACCAAGGCTTAAAACAATACAAGGGCGTTGTTTGGCCAAGATTTCACTATGTGAAAGATTATCTACGCCTGATGATATATCATTGCCCCATTTCGATTTCGTCATGTGCAATATTCCCCTGACTTTGACATTTGATCTAAGTAAAGGTAATAGTGGTTTGTTGGGGTGATTGGGTGTTTGTTTATTTGTTTTGTTAAAAAGTACTGGCTTTACTCAGAAAGAGATTTGGGAGGCTCACTTGAAAAACCTTCTTTATTTGCAAACCAATCAAGCAACAGGCCCAAACACTGCGAATAAGTTCCACTGCACTGTTAGCCATACTGCGCTTGCGCATACCACACATGAAGTACGCATCCATGTTCAATTTTCATGACACTGCATGCTAAGCACACGATTATCTGCTAACAGAGCCTCCGTCTATTTCACGAAGACCGTTTAAGCAGTAACCCCAGAGAAAAAGCGCTTAATAAATCATTAGTGACGTATAACAATAAAAAAAATGTCCATGCGCGCAAGCGTTAGCACATCCACGCCATGAAATAGTGCTTAAGAATAGCACAATTTTCTATTATAGCCAGCACAACATTTCTGCTAGCTGTTAAGCATTGCCATAGAATTGACCCATTTAACTAGTGTGAAACCTGCACGGTTGACCTTTATATCTTAGCATACATTTGAGCGACTTTCACCTGGCCTAGTAATGAAAGACATCCTCAATAACACTGGCAGAGGAAATTCAATAATCCAAGAAATTCGGCACAACTTCCGGGCTCCTCACAGTAGGCCTACGTGTACATGTCGTAAAATATGAGTAAATAATCCAATTTTCTTTGAAGTTTACATAGGTATAGCTGCCTGTTTATGACTAATTATAGGCCTACAAAAAAAACGTCTCATCATAACTTCGTTACTTGTCCAATTCCAAAGAGAGATAAATTCTATCGATGGGAAGTTTCTCAAACAGCTCAATTGTGCCTCACAATGAAAATATCAAATTTACAAAATAAATCAAACGTAAAGGAGTTGCCTTTCCTAGAAAAACTCCAGAGCTAAAAAAAGGCTTTGCTTCATGCAAAGGAAGACCAATTCCACAGGCAAATATAGCTATGATACGATAAAGCATGACGGTAAAGCGTTACGGAATGGAGAAGCTGCAATTTGATAGACTGTATACTAACAGCAAAAGAGGCTTCTCCTAAAATCAAACTTTTCAACCAACAAAAGATTCTTGAAATTGCACTTACCACTCATGATGTCTTCTTGGTTGTACCGACTGCCTGATTCAGTTTGAATTCGATAGAAAAGCTGGCTGCTGTCGTTTTTGCGCCGTGCCTTCGGTTTGTCAGCGATCTTCTCAAATCAAGGAAAAGGGAAAGTGGAGATTTCTCCTCGGCGACAGGTGGAATTAAAGAAAGCTCTCTGATTGGTTGACTGTCTAAGAAAATGAGATGGCTGGCCAAAACATTATTTCTGTTTGTTTGTCGGTTTCAGTTAATCGATTCTTACGTGAAGTGCTAACATAAACAGCAGGTTGTATCATGGAAAGAATCCGTCGAACAAGTCCTTGCAAAGATATAATATTTAATTTCATGTACAGGTTTTGTTAAATTAATATCCCCCTCCCTTCTCCGCGTATTATTTCCCCGCCCACTTGGAGGAAAGGTCTGCTTCGTATATCAACCCTGTTGTTAATTCAGTTGACTTTTCTGCAGTACATCGGTCATGCAATGACTGCTATCATCTTCTGAAGCAAATTAGGCCGGGATTAATTAATGCATACACTCTAATATTTTTCTAAACTGTTAGACATCAGTACAAACCGAAATTTATATCTAAATATTCAATAATGTTTGAGATTCTAATTGATCAGAAAATACACAAATTTAACACTTTTCCGACCGCTGAGTGAGTGTGACGCCATGCGGCTGCACCTCCGATATCTCTCCCGATATATCTGTTAATTTCACCTTCTTTAACACGGATAAGGATCCCATAAGTTAACCAACATTAATAGAATGTTGACCAACGTCTTGGACTGTGATTGTAGCATCTGCTGGAGATCTCCAAATGAACACAATGTGAGTTGTACATGACAAAATTTCATCTTGAAATTTGATATTACGCCCTGTGATATCGTCGAAAGTCACTCAACCATGAAAGGTTACTCCACAACCCAACTAAGAAGCATTGGTGAAGCTGTATTGAGCAACAAATGGCCACTACCGAACGCCTTATGGCAGAGGATTAAGGCCCTCGGTCTGAATCGCATTAAACCTACTCGGAGAGGCTACAGGGGCGGCAAGAAAAGAGTATGCACAATACCCACTAGAATTACGCCCACTAGACTAAAGAGCTGTTACGTAAACCAAGCCGGCATCAATACCTCCAATTTAGTGACTGTCAGCATTACTAAGAGACAATGGAATTTTCCATGCGTTTTGAATCTTAACGCGCTCTCCTTGAACATTCACAAATCCGACGAACTGCTGGCCGTCACCCATAACAACCATGCGGATATCGCTTGTGTGTCTGAGACATGGTTCAGCGAACATGTATCCAATGATGCTGTGGCCCTACCTGGCTTTGCGTGTGAGCGGAAAGATAGAGTATCAAAGAGAGCAGGTGGAGTCGCGTTTTGCATAAGGAACACCATTCCCTACAAGAGACTGCATAATCTGGAGGATGACACACATGAAGTTGTATGGGTATCAATGAGACCACCGAGATTACCAAGACAGTTTTCATGTTCTGCTCCTCAATTCCCTCTCCCACGCACCCGAACAAACAGGTTTAAGAATTCCTTCATCCCGTGGTGTCTATTTAATCAATAGTGTTGGGTTTTAATGGCTTTTTAATTTATGTTTGTGGGTGTTCCTTCCACATTTTAATTGGTGTAATGTTCTTGTACTTATTCCAGTAATCTGTTTACCTGTTTGGTGATCATATGCTCGCTTAGCTTATGATTGTTTTGTGTATGACTGATGTTCTGTCTGTTTATAAAGGTGTGTTTCTTAGTCGGCTTCCTGTTATAGGCTGTCGTTTCCTTGTTGTGGTGTCTGTCCGTTTGTTTGGTCTGTTTGTTCGATTGTCTTTCCTGTTTTGGTCGTTTGTCATTTGCTGGTTGTTTGTTTGCTTGATGGGGGTGTTGGGGCGTTGTTTGTTTGTTTGTTTGTTTGCCTGCTTTTGATTGTTTGTGCGTCCTATTGTTGAACTTTGTACGGTTAGTGTTTGTCATGTTGTCTGCTTTTGATTGCCTGCTTTTGATTGTTTGTACGTTCTATTGTTGAACTTTGTACGGTTAGTGTTTGTCATGTTGTTTTTCTACCTGGCGTAAATTAAGTACATGTTTTTAAAATGTTTTTGACTGTAGGCTATAATAACATTTTTAATAGTTTCACTGTCAATCCATTTTATCTTGTAATTTATATGGCCATATTTGAATATAAATTTTACTTTTACCTGTTCTAACCTCAGTTACATTTTTATTCGAATAAGTTAATTATTGGTTTTAAAGTTTATGTGATGTATTTTGTCATTTTTGATGTAGTTTATAACGAATCCAACCCGTTTATGGTTGCTAATAAAAATGATCCTTACCCTTCCTTACCCGATTTAAGCATTGACGCTTTTCTTGTTTAATAATAATTATAACAAAAAGAATATCTTTAAATCAAAATATTCACAAAATTATTTCAATTCCACTCTTTCTAGAAAAAACCCAAAGGTAAACGTTTCGGACTTTTCATACATTAATAGAAAAAAATCATAAATTTGAATTATTACCTTTGTATTTCATATTATTTTCTTGTTACCCGAACAGACAGGACGGAACGGAGTGTTACTTTACATGACATACATTGTGGTTGCGGTAGTAAAATAATTTTCTGCAACCAACAAAAAAAATGCGAAAAAGTGGACACTGACCTCCTTTGGTGGGCACATGAAACACAATTTTTGGCCGACTTACATAGCATTACACCTGTTATCATGCCGAGCTGTGTTGCGTGATGGATATTACATGTAAGTCAGTTTAAGGTTGTTTCAAGGAGATTGTTGACTGCATGCCAAGTGACGAAGCAAAATGCTAGCCGAGAAATTAAAATAATTGGTAATAGAAGTTGGGTTTCCGATTAGCACAGTAATTTATGGTTATGAGAGATTACAGAACTTGGAACTTGGGTGGTAAAAGGGCCATGCTGATGATAGTTGCATGATCAGGTTATTTCTCGTCAAAGACGGGCTCCTTATTTTAGGGAAATGCTGGACATGTCTCATACACTAGCCTCTGGAGCACGGGAACTTCACTTCCAAGGACTACCAATGGCTGATGTTGCCTATCAATATTTTGCATTGCACCAATGTACCACTTATGCTATAAATTGTATTTGCCGACTTTTATGACAAACTAACACAACTGAACAAAGCTGATAGACAATTTCTGATTATGAGTGGACACTCCATTTTAAACGCACATGCCGGTGTGATTACGCACAAAGTGTCGCTAGGTTTACAAATCACAAATAAATGTAAAAATTGAGAATCAATCTAATCCTAAAAATTAAACAGATATCGTTCACTAGCTGTACGCTCCTTGGACACTGCGCACGCATGTTGGTTCGCTGCATCACGGATCCTAGACACCAGGATAAACGACTGTTCTGAGCTCTAGTACAAAATGCACTGAGCGGACTTGTCTTAATTGGTTAGACGCGTGATAACGGGCATTAATACCCGTTGGCGCGTAATCGCGAATTTTCCAGGTGTCCTATTGTGTTGGGTTTTTGCAAGACATCTAAAACGGAAATATTCATAAAACTGTAAGCAAAACTACTCCTTATTTTAGATTTAATTTTTCCAAAATTGTTTAAAAATAAATACTTCAGGATATAACAGAAGGTATTGTGCAGTTTTTGTCGTCATAGATGAAGTATTTACCCGGGAAATAAACGTCAAATTTCGAGGAGAACACCGTTTACCCAAATTTCGTTTTTAATTAGAATTTTATTAAAAAGTTTTAGCGAGATAAGATGCCGAACCGATGAAACAAAAGCGACATTTCATTGTTCATCATAAAGCTAAAGATATTGAGCTCGGCATTACCATGGTTATGTAGTTATCACTTATCAGAATTCAATAATAAAGACCAAAAACGTAGACTCATGCATATTCAAAAATATAATTCGCTGGCTTGACAGACTTCGAGGCCATGGGTGCGTTTTGGCGGTCATAACCAAGCCTTTATAGTCAAGTCCTACGCGCTTACCCGGACACGTGACGCACCCCGGATGCTAACACGTAAAAAGACTAGGAGGAGCGGCGTAGCCCTCGCGGCTTTGCCGCTCGTGCTTGTCTTTTTACATGCCAGCATCCAGGGTGCGTTACGTGTACGGATGGTATGGGTATAGGCGCGTGGGACTTGACTAAAGGCTAGTCATAACCAAGAATTGGTTCGGTTGTTTCTTGTCAGTGAATTTCTGCGGGAATTTTAAATGGACGAGAATTACTCACGGTAATGCAATACTCAAACCCCCAAAACCATTAGCCAAAGAGAAACAACAGAACCAATTCTTGGTTATGACCGCCAAAACGCACCCCAGATCGGGGGCAGAGCCTTGCAAATCTGAAAGCCACCGCGCACAGTGGTCTTTGTTGAAAAGTATTCATGGTATTTGCCACCAGTACGGGCCGTTATCACGCGTCTAACCAGGAGTTGGGCCGAGTCGTTCATCCTTGAGTGTAGGATCCATGGCGCACGTTGCTGCAGGATTTCTGACGGTGAGCAAGCATCGCTTCAGCATTGTGGAGTCAGCAGGTACGTGTGCACATTCTATACTAATATTGTACGAAATTGTTGACCTCATACGTGGCTTAATCCAGGCTTTATTTCCATTCAACTGCTGTGCTATTCTTTGAAAAATCAGTGTTTGATAATCCATTGTAAACCCGTGAAGCCTGACCGGCAAGGCCAACTAACGCCCCCCCCCCCCAAAAAAATTAAATTTTACAATTAAGCGTGGCCACTCGAGGCTGTAGTTGCCGCGGGCGCCCATTTTGCCGCCATGCACGCTCAGAATTTGAACCGATAATGTCATATTCAGACCACCCTGGTTCATCCACGGACCATTTAGTAATGGTCCGTGGTTCATCTGACCCATGATCATGAGTTGCTGCCAATAACAGCAACTAATACCCGAGCTCGCACAGCCACATCCATGGAAGGATCGCCTTTTGATTAAAAAGTCGATCTAGGATATCCGGAATTAAATAACGCATAATCAGTCATTATGACGGTGGTAATTAACAAATCGTCTTCTATATTTATTGGCCCAATCGATACCAATATTCCGCCAAGCTAAAGAAATCCGAAACCATGCCAAAGTGAGAATGGACACACGGACAGCGTGACTCAATAGTCCCTTTAACTAAAAGTAGAGTTCATGACATTGAGAGTCAAACAACTTTCCTGTGTGTTTGTATCACATGACTGCACACGTCCGTCCGCAATTCATTGCCAAATACAATTTATTTTCCCCAACCTACCGTTGAGCGAGACCACGGCTATAGACTGAACCAATCTGTTGTTCCGCAGTTAACCGCGTGACTTGATCATCTTTTGGTGTAATTTTTTTCAGCCTTTCATGGAAAAAAATGAAAAGAGCTGTTGGGGATCAGTGCACAAGCCACAACAGACTTGCATCACGTATGTATATCTAGTGACCCGTACGTACATGTACATCGTGCACCACTACACGGCAACAGGTTGTCATTTCTTATTCTGTTCACGCAACTGCAGGGCCACTTTTCCCCGATATGAGTCGCTTTCATCGCTATCGTGTATGGAGGGCAGCCTCAGTAGTTCACCTTTACTTCAGTCTTAGCTGTCTGGCACTAGTAGCAGCGTTAGCACTCCTTGCTCTAGGCATAGAGGACTTAGACTATCGCCTCCACGGTGACATTCCTGATCACCGTGTCTCAAGGAGAGATACAGACGGGGAAAATGCTGCAGCCTCCCCACTGGATTTGGCGGCCATTCACGGTGAGTCTCATCAACTAAGATTCAACAGTTTACAAATTTCCAACTATCGGTATCGGATCTTTCGAAATGAGTTTTCCTATGATCGCCAAGTTGAATAAAAAAAAACACACATTTTACTTTCAATTATTAATTTTTGTTTCATCATTTTGAATTTTCATTTTTGTTTAACAGTTGAGGATAAAAGGAACATATATTACGTATACAATTGGTTAAAGTTTACTTTTTTGTTTGAACTTATGCACCCAAACACCTCAGACACACATTTTGACCCGATATATATATTTTTTTTTGGGGGGGGGGGGGGTAATGCAGAACAAATTCATGTCATTGGACTGCTACAATGATAACTGCATTCCCTAATGACAAAAACATACTTGATGGTTTTGTGAATTAGTTTAGTTCGGTGGTGCGGTTATATCGAGAAATCACATGATAAAACGGAAGTAGTCGGCCAGTTGAGAGATATACGCACCCGGATGCGTGCGGTGTCGGAAATGTATTACGCTCTTGTGAATATTTCTGTAGGGAAATATAAAAATGCTAACAATGGGGAAAAAAAGGAATAAAAAACTCTCATTCCCACAAAAAGGGACAATCACTTTTGCATCACGCCTGTTGTCCGTCCTCGAACAATGAGACACCTCTTAACTAGAATTTTCTGAAGGCACATGTCATCAGACTTCGGAATCATTCCACATAACATCCATCGCTGTGGCTTTCATATTGTTTCTTGTATGAGGTTCATTAATTCCAATGAACCAAAGAAACATAGGAATGGTATGAAATTGCATAAAAATTATGGTAAAATGTCGTAATCAAACGGTTGCTAAATATACATTAAATGACTTAAAGATGGTTCTTTGTGATGTGCTCGAAATGCACCTCAAAAGAGTAGATTTGTTTTTCAAAAAAAAAAACAATTTCTAGAAATATAAAAGTTATTCACTTTTGAATGAGACATCAAACGAAGAAATCCACCAACGTTTAGTTATTGAATTATTTCTTCAGAAAATTTCGACTTATTGGCTGCCAGAGTTCGACTCTCGTATCATGGAAAGTTCATTTGAGCACAAAATGAAACCCTAGGGTTGCAGACGCCAAAAATCGGAATAAAGTATTATAATGCAAAATTGAATTCGCAAGGAGAGAAAAGAATACATGTTCTTTTTTTAACAGTATCGATTTTAAGACAACTTCTGCCTCCCCATTGTAGCTTTGTTACAACCGATGATGTAATAACAAACGGATAACATGTCACACCCGATAATGCCACCAAAACTAATGACAAACGTTTACCGATAGTGTAGAAAACATTTTCAGACAATTTTGTCAATATCTGTTAGGACCGATAATTTAACAAAAATTGACCGATAGTATATTAATAAATACCTTGGAGAGTTGATGGTTTCTGATTGGTCGAGACTCGATCACGTGGCCGGTCATTAACGGTGATAATGGACCGGCTTCAAAGATCAAGCGAATAAATGGCCCCTGAACCAGCATTGATCCAGCCCCGTTCAGCCCCATGCAAGCCAATGATTGGTCAAAATATAGTAACAGTCCTGCGGTAGCTTGTAACAATAGAGCACTGCACATGCGCTCAACCCCCATCGCGTGAGACTGACGCGCGCGTACGCAACACAGTTGCTAGGGCTAGGGATGCGTGCGTGCGCGCGCGCGCGTAAGGAAGTTTTGAAACGACATCGTACAGCAGTGCAGTATATACTGAGGATGTTTACGACGAAAGCGTAGATCTACGATTTATTTTCTTTGAACACTTCACCCACCGACATATTTACCTTTCCTAAACCAAGCATCTTTGTAATGCCGGACACAAGGAATGTGTAAACGAGATTTCAACTTCCTCTATCAGGTAAAGATACGAAAACATTGTTGTAATTTGTTTCGCTACGGCAGCAGTTTCTGTTGAGTTTACGTCGTTATAGTTGTTAAGCTAAAATATGGCCCATGAACATGAACACAAAAAAGTCTGGAAATATCGCCGAAAGAAAGTCACAAAATTGGAGCATTTTCACTGATTATTTCGTTAATACGTTTTCGGTATTTATTAATGGGAATAACAGTGTGAGGATCCGGTCTTCACTGCGTGATAATGACCGGGTGTGGAGGTGACCGCTGTTAATGGACCTCGACTTCGTCTCGGTCCATTAACAGCGGTAACCCCCACACCCGGTCATTATCACGCAGTGAAGACCGGCTCCTCAACCTGTTATTCCCTTAGTAACAATTACTACGCTATCGGTAATTTTGTGCCACATTTTCGGTTAGTGATACAATACCGGTCGATTTTTGTGACATCGGTTGATGATGCGCTGTAGGCTATACAGACTTCACTGAATTTGATTTCTTTCGTCAAGTTCGTGTTACTGCTTCTGCAAAAAAATGCGTGGCTAATTTATGCTCATAAAGATATCAGCAAAATGAGAAAGTTGCTGGTATGTCTACTTTTTTATGGATTGCCGACAGGCGTGCTTCAGTAACTCTCGAAAATGAATCAGGTGCCGAGTAACGTGTTATGACCTAGACCTATACACTTGCTGCGTGTGATTTCAGTGACACGCACGTACATGTACACTGTACAATTCTCCATACGGTTTGGTCGTTTAAAGGAGTTGTTGCTAAAATATGTCCTGAAATATTTGTCAAAATTAATTTGGGAAAATACTGCAGGGGCGTGTCAAGGTCACAGGGGGCCTGATACCCTCGGTCGATGGGGGTGCTGTTCAAAACTGACAATTATGCACATTATTACTGACAATAATATGGTGCTTTTCAGGGCGATACGCGCGCGAAATTTAAAAAAAAGTCACCCGTAACGGCCGATGGCACCAAAAAAGGCCACGACTTTTTTTTAAAGGGCACTTGTTCAGGAAAAAAAAGGGCATTTGTTTACAAATATTGCGGGGGGGGGGGCGGCCCTTGTGAAAAATAATCATTATGTGGTTTAAGAATTTCATTGATAATCACTCAGGCGACAACATAACATATGTTAAACTTCTTGCGTTAAAACAAACAACTGATGATGTAAAACAATCGACATTTCAAAACGACACTCGGTGTAAACCGTATTTCAGGTTAAAATTTACTTTATGAATTCAATTTGATCCAAAGCTTGTGTGTGGTGGTTCTTTGCCTCACTTCTCTGAGATATTTGTTTTCCACAGACAAGAACGTGTCACCGGCCCTCGATGTGAACTGTACACCGCCCAGTATCGATAATTTCCCGCCTAATCTCATGAGTTGGGAGGTGCTGCGCCATGGCGGATTTCTCATCAACTTAGCGGCCGTCTTCTACATGTTTGGCATCCTTGCGCTGGTCTGTGACAACTATTTCATGTCGTCACTGGAAATTCTGTGCGCAGGTATGGTGCTGAATCCAAAGCCACTATTAAGTTATAAAGACGATCATCCAACAATCGTAGACACAGCATGACGATCTCGACAAACTTCACTGCGAATGTATAACGAAACGATCAACTTTAATTTCCTAAGCATTTGCAGCCACTGCTTAATATTGCTGCGACGCTTAATGCACGACATAAACAAACTTAGAGTAATTGTTTGGGGCAAGGAGTTTGTGTTTTTCCAACTTTTTTTAAAAGCTACATCTCAGGAACACCAACTTAATTTTTCCAAAAATGCGCAATACTTCTCGGTTAATACGAAATATAATTGCCTCCCTACCAACAAACTTTAATTAAGAAGCTTCCAATTTTTTGAGTTACATTTTCATCTAGAGAAATATAAATTCATATGTTAGCCGAGTCCAATTCGCCGCAAGACCTTGTACCATCTCCTAACTCCCTATACAGGCTGCCCCCCCCCCCCCAACAAACAGCCTTGAGACTCAAACCACCTATACCTATTGATGGAGAATCTTTGTAGAAGAAATGTGATATCAAGATCTCCCGATTCGGTCTAGTAGTTTTTGCTGCAGAGCCTATTTTGTGAAGTACACATCTGTCATGTTGGTATTATTGCATGACAATCATCCCTCCATCCAATTAAAATAAAATTCGCTCGAGCGGTTTAGTAATTCATCGGGACAAAATGACTCCTGGCTTTGTTTCACACAAAAAAAAGATCTATGGAACATCCTGTGTGTGTGTGAATAATCATATTCAAATTGGAAGTGTCAGAACTCCATATGCAAATACATGTAGTAACAAAAATGCAAGTCGTCATCGATACTAATCAAAAGAAATAATCATACGCACGCATGGAATCATATAGCCGACACATAACAGCTGTCGGTGTTATTGTGTTTAACTTTACTTGGCTTTGTTTGTAATAACAATAACTACGTCTCAAAATAAATTAACAAAAATAGTTTTGGCTTCCTGAAACTCGTTCATATTAAAATACAGTTGTTTGTATAAGAGGGCCCCATTGCTTATACTTGACATATTTGAATCTGTGAAATCAGCCAATTTCACAATTGCGTACCAGGTGGAAAACAAGATGAATATTTACATATCACCTAAGGCCATCCTAAATTGTGAATGAAAACAGCGAACTCCAGAGCTATTCCATTTTATTATGAAATTATGCTGGATTCGAATCGTCACAAAGAAAACAAAATGGAATATCTGATACGTGTTATCACTTGTCTGTTTACTTTTAGATCTACATTTATCAGAGGATGTCGCTGGTGCATCGTTCATGGCCATAGGAGGATCCGCGCCAGAACTCTTCACTTCTATTTTCGGTAAAATATACCAGTCATATGCCATGTTGCACGTAACCAATTAATGTTTGCTATAATGTTACACACGTGCCACACTCGGCGCCACAATGTACACAGCAGGTTGGTATGTAATAATATTCTACCGTATCATTTTACAAGTTCATAATTATGTGTACTTTGTCATTCGTGTCGGCTTTCCCGTCGACGCGTCAGATATCCGTTATTTACATGGGACAAAACGTGCCCTCTCTTAGGGGCGGGGATCATCCCTTCTTTGCCCTATAACCATTATTTTGTACGAAGCAACATGTCTAACAAGACATGTCCTGAAGTTTTATTAAAGTATGGATGAAAAGGCCTTAAACTACGCTTGTGCATGACGTCACTCTAATACTCTATTCAGCAAAGTGTACATTATTTTTAAGCCGGAAACAACACCTTATTGTGGATTATTTTCAGAATGTACAATTTGTGTTGTGAATAGCCTCTGCAAACAATTCCATGTATAAACGAGACTAATTTAAAAAGTAACAGTCCACTTTAAATTTCAAAGTATAGGTACTTTTTGTAAAGCACCTTTCTCGACCTGTATCCGATTTTAATAACTAGGCCTACTATATTTTAACTTTGCTTCTGTAGCATTTTATTTCAGTGGATTTTTTATTTTTATTTTTAACACTAAATAATCTCTCTGCATTTTTCCATTTGCCGCGCTGATATTCGTTTTATTTTATGTTCGGTTGCGATTATTAATTTTCACTAAAAGTGCAAAAGTATTAACACTCTTTTTATCATATTTTTAGTTTTCCTTTTTTGTCATTTTAATTCTTATTTTTATTATACTCATTTAAATTTTTATTTTTTATCGTAATTTGTTATCGTTTTAAACATTCGCACTATAACAATTTTCACTGAAATTCACTCAGTTAAAGTGTATGTTCAAATCTAGTCTGAACCCATTTAGTTTGAGTTTTATCAGAACTCTTCCTCCAAGTATTGGCCCGTGAAAAAAAAAATAATCATTAACCACGGAAAAAATGTGCATAGAGAACGGGAAAATAACTAAATCAATCAAATTGAGTGAAAGGAACTTACCAATCAATACATCTTCTTCTACTTTTACTACTTCTTCTTCATCTTCTTCTTCGTCTTCTTCTTTTTCGTCTTCTTCAGCTTGTGGTTCCTTTGATCAGCTCAGCTTTAGCAACACACACAGATTATATTCCAAAGTTATGAAATTGTCCAAACGAAATTATTTCCAATGATATTCCGATGTGTACCCCGTGAGCTTCTTGACAAACATCCATGTCCTTGCTGTTCAAACTCCTCAATGCCTTAGTCGATCACATCAATAGCATTTAATAGTTTTCGTAATCCAGTATATTCCCGGAGCTGCAAAGAACGTGTTAACCCATTTGGCCTGGTGAGGGAACGAAGGTGTTTGAAACACCAAGTCATGGCGACTAGTGTTTTCTAGGACAAAATATTATGTCCTACACTGACTGTGCATCATGACGAATGAACAGAAGTTGTTCACCCATCCAAGAATTAACAATAAGATTCGGTAAAAGCGCGAGCACAATCACGTTAAGGGTCGGGAGTTATAAACAGCTGGGCAACACTGAACAATGGATCGAATTCATCTCATAGCTCAAAGTATTAATAAGAATCGACGATTTGTCTTCCCTTGTATACTGGACAATAGTTGCGAGAGAAGGGATGGAGTTTTTAATTGAAATGACTTGTCGCCCATTCGAATAAAAGAATCTCCACTTTTTCGTCTTTTCTCAACCTAATGTCCGGAACAATTCTGAATGCAGTGGATTACGCAAGTTTATCCAAAACATAATTTAAATAACTTGTATACAGAAGCATAAACACAAAGGATGGTTGTTCTTTTTAGAAAATCTTTCAAATCTTTCATCAAACACACCAAATGTCACATTCAGCAGGTGTTTGAATTAAGTTGTGTATTCGTTTTGTTGTAGGAGTGTTCATTGCAAAGGGTAACATCGGCGTTGGGACGGTTATTGGCTCAGCCGTGTTTAATATTCTCTGTGTCATTGGATTGTGTGGAGTACTCGCTGGGCAGGTTTGTTGTCAAGTTTTCTGGTAATTTATTCACAATCAAATTTACACAAAAACATTCATGTTTGCAAAGACTTAGTTTCACTCTATAACCAAGTGTATGGGACCAGATAATTTAGAGTGGATAAGTATGCTAGATTGAGAATTTCTTCAGGTTGTTTAAGTCATGATTGATATCATACAAGATCCAAGCTTAGCGGCCGAATGGACAACACGGGTGCATGTCCCGAAACGTCATATGCTACATCACAGCAGTCGACACTTGTTTCGTTATACCTCTGTCTTGGATTCTTTGGATGTTGATGTAAAAATCACGACAACAAACAGCAGTAAACACAACAATCATGACAATCGAACATCAACTCTCATGCATGTCGCGTGCTCGAAACAGCTGATCGTCTGCTAGTTCGCTGCTCCCATGCATGCGTGAAAACATGGTGAAAATAGCGTGGGTACCAACGATATAAGCATTTCACACCGTACCACGTACGTGATATCCCACAGGGAGTGTGCCATGACTTTTTTTTATAAACTTAGCAAGTGATTGTTCTAGGCCAATGAAAATACAGTATTCAAGACAGAAGTATAACATTATTCCTGTTCTGTTTCTGCAGATTGTGTATCTTTCCAGATGGCCCCTTGCTAGAGATTTCTTATGGTACGTCTTAACAGTCATAGGTCTCGTCTTGGTCATCTGGGATAACGTTGTTCATTGGTAAGAAATCCACCGTCTCAAATTAAGTATAATAACCGATTTCCCAGCATTTTTGTAAAAATTAAAAGGACACTGCGTCCTGGAATGCGCCAAATTGGGCTACAAAACGCGCTTTGAACGATGTTAATCGGAACGAGCATTGAAAAGTAGGATATAAACATCCACACAACTCTCCCATAAAAGGGGACGTTTTGCGTTATTCTTGTGTTATGCGTGCGAGAACGATTTCGGGGTCCATTTTGCGACCCCAAAAGTCGAGCAGTTTGGGTGCTAGTTGTGATTCCAGCCGTGTAATTGTTTGTGCATCGGTGCTCTGTGTAATTTATGTGACACACAGTGTGACGCACAATGTGTCGTACATTGACTGAAAACGACAGGAAAAACGTATGCGTACTCCCGGGATTTTTTGTATTTTCTCGGTAACGGTATAAGACATTAGGTTGGTTTCCTTTCAACCAGATGTTTAAAATAGTATAAGTAAACAATCCAAAACGTGAAATTTTCAGGGATTTCAGGACGTAGTGCCCCTTTAAGTCACGCACAGCTTGATACTAACCTAACTTCCCGTCAAATTGGGGTGACATCAATTTAAACAAAAAATAAAGGTTGTGCTGTTTTCTGTTCTTTTCAGGTGGGAGTCTATGATATTTATTATCGTGTACATAGCCTATCTCATCTTCCTATATTTCGACCCACCGATCAAACGTTACATGGAGAGTTATTCCGGGTGTCAAACGGACCACGACCGTGAAGGTGATGACGTAACGTCTTCTGATCTCACCTCCTCGGGGGCGGAGACCACGCCCATCGTAGTGGACCAGAAATTGCAAACCTCGTCATTCGGTGCAGATGACAATGACAATTCAGGCAAAACAGGTTTGTCAATAATGGATAGACTAAGGGTTTAGAAAGGGTCCATGGTTAAATTCAGATGAGGAATTATATTCCTACAATGCTTGACTTATGATCTTAGTCATAGATGTTCCATTACCCTAACCCCCCAGGCATTTTTGCTAGGATGCAGCCTCAATCCTGCAAAATCCTCCAATTGGCCTCATGGAAAATAACATATGCCTCAATCCTGCAAATTCCTCCATTATTTCTTGAATATGGTCCGTGGAGGGGTGACCACTGCCTGAATCCTGCAAAATCCTGCGGCAGTGACTGTCAATATATTGAGGCTTGGCCAGTGACATCCTGGAGGAGTACAGAGGATTTCAAGCATAATCCAGGCCTATATGGCTGAGCAAAAAACAACACAAGGTCCGGCCCAAGACCGTGACAAAGTGCATCCTACAAAATCAGTAACGCACTTTTGCCATGTAACCTCAATCCTCCAAATCCCTCCACTTTGGCACAGAGGATTTTGAAGGATTCAGGGCGGTTAATATTTTCAAGGTCGAAGAATCCGATTCAAGCAGATGACGCAGGCCTTTAGCCTACCTCTACGAACTGAACACTTTCATTCTCCAACTGTTTTGCTAAATTAAAATTGCTTGCCTAATTTATCTCTTCCATCAAAATGGGTATACAAAGTGGAAGAGAGTATTGATATTCATACAAGGTCTGATAATGGGTGTTAATTGCACAACATGGAAATATCTTCTTCTTCTTTTTCAGTTTAGATAGGCCTATAACCAAGTTTTTTGTGTTTTACGCAGCACCAGACGAGAAGCTACAAGAAACTGAAGTCAACCCACTCTCTCCGTTTCTAATTCCCGATGGATGCTGTAAGCGATTCTTGTGGTTCGTTGGTTTCCCACCGTCATTCCTTTTCTACTTGACGATTCCCAACTGTTCACTAAAACGCTGGAGAAAGTGGTACCCTGTAACCTTCGTCGTAGCGTTAGCGTGGATTGGGGCCGTGACATACCTACTCGTCTGGATGGTGACGATATTAGGTCAGAACACAGACTTATTTTCCGCAAACCCATGAACATTTAAAATCAGTGAAATATTCATTTACGTCACCTTGAGGTGTCTAAGCATGTATTATATTATTTTTGATTGTTAGTTTATGATTTAGATTTCACTACGTGCTTTCTACATTTCAGGCTATGCATTCCATGTGCCTGATTCGGTAATGGGCCTTACACTGGTTGCCGCTGGTTCCAGTACGCCAGATACCATCCTAAGTGTTATCGCGGCAAGGAACGGTAAGCATTGTATTAGATAAAATCTTAAATAGCAATATTTGTCCTTGAAAACAAACACTAAACAATAATGCAAACAAACAAACAAACTCACTCTAGAATAATATCGTCAGACCCCCTAAAGCTACGCACTCACCTTTAACTGTGTGTGACAACGCGCGTGCTAGCGTTACCTGCAACATATTAATGGAGGGTCGAGGATACAGCATTTTATAGACTTGACGCCGAACCAAATTAAAAGCAATGACTGAGGTAGCAACACGCGCGCGCACAGGTGGTTCGCGCGCACTCAGTGCCCCTTCGACCAATAGGGTTTCTGTAAAGTACGCGCGCGCGCCTCAAACTAACACGAGCGACATATTTCCCTGATATTTTGATACTACGTACGCCGGCCTACCAATCAGCAAGTAAGAACAAAATCGAAAAGCAGGCATCGTTGTAGGAATTCACCCCTTACTTGAGATCAAATCAGCACAAGAAAGTAATGTCTAAATTATGTAATCCACTAATCCAGATATTTTCTATATGATTTCCTTGTTTAATTACAGGCTATGGTGACATGGCTATTTGCCACTCTATCGGGAGTAATATCTTTGATATTCTACTGGGTCTTGGCCTACCCTGGTTCCTACATTCAGCCGCCGTGCAACAGGGCCAACCCGTGCCGACATACAGCGATGGTTTAACTATCATTGCTGCCATGCTACTTGCAACAGTCGTCGTCTCATTAATTATCATCAAGCTAAGTAGCTTTAAACTCAATAAAAAGATAGGCGTAGTTCTTATCGTGTTCTACGTTGCTTTCCTGATACCCGCTATCTTGCTTGAGATGAATGTACTTGTCAAAGGGTTGACATTACCGCAATGCCCAAGAAAGGGAGAATAATTTCATTTTTATTTAACTTTGCTTAAATTATACTTTTGCTGATATAACGAGCGTATAATATTTCATTAACCGGTCATCAACAAATCCTTCAAGCTATACCACTACCAACCACATTTTAGAGTTGTCAGTATGGTAATACGAAGCAAGATTGCAAAAATTATTAATTACTGATTACAGCTCATTAAAAAGGTCACTAATTAATTTTGACTGTAAAATATTTGTTTTGGTAATTAATGAGCTCGAAATCTAAATAATTGTTATATTGATTCTAAAAGAATTAGTTAGAAGTACTTAAAATGAAATTAAATAGTACTAACATAGACGTTAGGGCACAAATTAGTTTCTGATGGGGGAAGGAAATTTAAGAAATTAAATAGTAACCCCTTTTATTTTTTTTTCAATTTTGGCCAAAAAGAAATATTCAAAGGCCGTACTATACATTCAAACTCGATTTATAGACAGCTACAGATGTGCCGTTCAAAAAGAAATTGCGTCAACAACTTCAGGGAAATCAGTCAAAAAATGTTTTCTCAAGAAATTCTTAATTTTTGCCAAAATCTTCTAAGTCATTGGTGTTTTGGTATCGAATGATGCCCTTCTGTCTTCAAAAGGTTTTTCTGAGTCGTTTGGAGAAAAGTAAATGTTGGACCTAATTTTATCAATTTTGCTTCAATTTTGGCTGAAAAATGAAAGTGAAAAGTGAAGAAAAAAAAAACGAAACCGAGATACTATTGCTAATTGGAATAAGAGTAGGGCACATGTGAATCAAAGGGAGATATCCTCTGTTAGGGTCGAATCTCCTCTTGAAAATGACAACCTGATCATGTCATTACATTCACGGTTGACCACTTTCAATTGCGCCACTTTCAATTATGTTTTTTTTGGTGGTGTCATTTGTCACAGAGTGAAAGGCTATGGTTGCCAATCAAGGCAGGTGGGGAAAAAAGAGATTTCACCATGAAAAGTGGCGCAAGTCTCTAAATAGACCCTTTCATAAATAGGTCACTGCTCAGTCAACCGTAAATGTAAGGACATGATCAGGGTGTCATTTTAAAGAGGGAATTCAACCCTAACAGAGGATATCTCCCTTTGATTCACATGTGCCCTACTTCTGTTCCAATTAGCAATAATATCTCGTCGTTTTTTTATCCACCCTGTATATATCTTCCTGAAGATAACAATGCAAGTGCTTTATAATACAATATCGAAAGTTATCGTCTGATTGAAGAACCAAATTAGGTAATTCTGTTATTTGTATTAAAGTGTAACAGAAATTGTTAAAACAAAGTTTAGTATCTCTGTAATATTTGTGAAAAACGAGATACCGGTATATTCATCTCGGTTTAACGGTTTGACAAACTACGAAGCAGAAATGTGAGGTGTTTTTTTAAAGTGTCTTCCTTTTTCTTGCTGATATGGTAGATGATAGCTTCATTTATCCAGTTTGTAGACTACCTAATTATCAAAAACAAATAAGGTTTTTCTTTTTCCGTGATAGTTGTTACAGTTATGTCCAAAGTTGCAAAGTTTTTACCTAAGAAATAAGAATTTCCTTGTAATGGACCTAAGTATAGATTTACAAATTTTAATTCATTGATTTGCATGACTTAAGAACTGAGCTTCCATTCAAAAATAGAGTTTACATGATTATGTTAGTCTTTATTTTCATTATGGGGAAAATAACAATTTCTAAAAAGCATGGAAAAATAAATTTGTTTTTTGTGTGTATACTTTACATGTATATACATTTGTTCTTTTTATAATTACAAAGATTAGCTGCATATTAAAGAGTTTGTTATACACTAACAAATTTTGATTGTTGAAAATAACAAAAAAAAACCTCATATTTGGATGTCCTAGTTACCAGAGGTTAGACAAAGTTCAGTTCACTTTTTTTATGCCACCCCTATAAACCCAAACGTCCTTCAGGGAAATACCTGATTACATTAGAGCAAGTTTTTGATATTTCTGACCGAGTGTGGGTACCCGAGTGCCCGACAATGAAACACAAAGGTTTTGATTGCATTTGTGGGGAATTTTCAAAATGAAAACCAGAAAACCTTAGGAAGGGTAAACTTGTCTTAACTCACGACTTGTCCTAGGATAGATTTCACCAAACTTAAGACGCATTCAACACATCCTAGGTTTTGATTGCATTTGTGGGGAATTTTCAAAATGAAAACCAGAAAACCTTAGCAAGGGTAACTCGTCTTAACTCACGACTCGTCCTAGGATCGATTTCACCAAACTTAAGACGCGTTCAACACATCCTAGGTTTTGATTGCATTTGTGGGGAATTTTGAAAATGAAAACCAGAAAACCTTAGGAAGGGTAAACTTGTCTTAACTCACGACTTGTCCTAGGATCGATTTCACCAAACTTAAGACGCGTTCAACACATCCTAGGTTTTGATTGCATTTGTGGGGAATTTTCAAAATGAAAACCAGAAAACCTTAGGAAGGGTAAACTTGTCTTAACTCACGACTCGTCCTAGGATCGATTTCACCAAACTTAAGACGCGTTCAACACGTCCTAAATTTCTTGGCAACGCAGCTGAACTTGTCTTAACTTAACTGAGGGCCGTCTTTTCTCATTAATGCATGCGTTAATTTGTATATCGTCTGGAAATCATTGTCTTTCAAGTTGAGTGTCGGCCTATAGTTATAGTGTCGAGGAAGAAAACTGTTGTAGAAACAGATTTAAAAAGATTTTTGATATGAAGGTAATTTCAATAAAAATAGCTTATATACACAAATTACTTATACGCCAACACCTAGTAGATTTTTTTAATAGAGCGATGCAATGGGGAGCAAGAATGACTCTATCGTATCTTGTGTAGAACTTCCTTGCATGTGAAATTTATTGAGTAGAGTAATATTCTCTGGCGAAAGTCTGTGTTCTTTGCACGCATCACTGATCTCTATACTGACTGGATAGCACTTCGGGCCGTGGGGGTGAAGTCACTGGATGCCATTTTGACACTCCCTTTGGCCACGTAAAAATATATTCAAAGTCACGAAATAAAATTATATATGTTAACAAATATTAACATGAGTAAAATAACACTGTGGGCAAAATGAATATATAAAAACGTGTTCGATGATCCAAAATTGCTTCCTAAACTATTGTTATTCTGTACTTTTTATATACGGATCCGTGTGTTAATGTGGGCTTTTGAGGGAGTTTCAAAATGGCCGCCGCGTGTGTGCAAGAGCGTCACGGTCTTGTGTACACGCATTGGTCGAAGCGCTACCCAGTCAGTATATAGAGATCAGTAGCACGCATTCAGGAAGTTGGTTTTGGCGTTTCTTTTCAACAACTGTTTCGTCAAGCGGTAGAAACAAACATGAAACAGCCATCAAATTGGTAGCTTTGATGCGTCTTGCTTAAGATGGGTTTAATGAAATCGGTCTTAGGACGCGTCTTAGCTAAGATCGATTTTAGAGTGGGGACTCGTCTTAAGTCCCAAGATGAGTCGCAAGATAAGATGAGTTTCGTGAAAATCAAAACAGATTTCACATTATGTGCATTTTAATGTGCAACAGAAGATGCTTGCAAAAGATGCAGTTTACAGCGTAAAATGTACGCCCTTCCGACAAATTCTGGGATTTGAATTTTGAGGTCAGGTTTCTTTAACGGGTAGCCGTGTCCAATAGGGAACCCAGTTGGAAATGCACACCACTATTTCTGACAAACTATGAAGTTATTACGTTATTGAGATGACTTTGCTGCAGTTTTAAGGCTGCTGCTGCTGCTGCTGCTGTTGCTGCTGCCAGTGCTGCTGCTTTTAGTCAAACATCCGTTGTTTGATTTCTCCAAAATATGGTACACATCCAAAGCTTCTCCTGTAAGATGAATATAACACAGAAAGTATTGAACAGTTTGTGGTATTTAAGCACCACAAGAAAGTTTAAAGGGTCCATGACATGAATTTTTCATGGGAACATATTTTGTGCCACTTTCTACTCCCCTTAAATGTATGAAAACCATTTGACATCACTTTTTGGTTAAGTTTAGAGAAAAATGGACTTTATTAAACATTTAAATTTTTCCATGGTGTTCTTGACAATTGAGGGCGCTGTTGTGGTGTTGTCAAAGGTGCATTTTCAAGGATTGCATTTGAAAAATTACATTGCACGGACCCCAACTTTCCTTTAAAAATCTCCATGACACATCATACTCTCTCAATTTATGCAACTCAAACAAATTTACAGATATTTGTCAGGGTAAATTGTTTTTAGTGTGACCCGTTTTAACAAATGTTCAATGATCATGTCAAATTCATCACAAGGACGGCCTTGTTCTTAATACATCGCCAAAGGGCAATGTAAAGTTCAACGGTGTGCGTGGATTGGCCGTTGGTGAACTTAAATAAGAATGAGTTGGGTGGTCATGAATAATTAAATATAGACTGGTAGGTGGACAAGTGAACCAAAATTTAGAGGGGGATACTTTATCATACCCGTGACATCAGCAACATTTCAAAAAGTTGTGTACCAAACATTGTTGTTAAAAAAATATCAACAGCAGAACAACAGTTGGCTATCATTTCCCCAAGGAATAGAAGGGAAAGCCACCCTTTGCTGTTGGTAGTAAGCTCAAAAACTGTAATTCCATTATTCAATAGTCGGCAAGTGTTCAAAGTTGTCTTTCAGTAACTACCAGGGCGTGCAAGGTGAAGTTATGAAGGGCGCTATTCATTTAAAAGTGAGTACCAGAGCACCATCAGCTTATAATCACTATACCGAACAATCGCTATTACGAACAATTTCTGTGGATCCCGCGATGTTCGTTATAGCAGCGTTCCACTGTACCTATAATCAACAGTCATCGTCATTCATTAAGACACCCACCTGCGGGTATCCCGTAGCCCCTCTGTAGTCCATACGGGTTAGACGGTGTCTGGCAATCCATGGTGACTTCTTTCCGTAAGACAGTGTCGATATCCACCGCACTGAAGAAAGCTACAGACTGCAAGCATAACCAGAAAATCAATGTGATCAAAACTAACAAATATTTCAGAGAAAGACAGAAAATAAGGCCTGTTCTAGATGCAGTGCTGCCGTGCTGATCTCAATTAATTAGACTTTTTAAAATTCGGCACAGCAATAGCACTGCGTTTAGAACCATTTGGATCGGGAAATTGAGTTGGGCATGGCATGGCACCATCCTTTGGCTCAACTGGGCTGCAGCACTATTGTTGTAACGAACAGCAGTGGCATGGCACTGTTCTAATCGCCGTGCCATTGCCGCACCGAACTCTATTCAATTCGAAGTCGTGGCAAACATTTTATGAATGCGCATTCTCACAATACCCTCTCTCGCGTCCGCATCACGGGGAGTGAAATTGGCGCTAACAGTTTGATCACGTTGAAAGGTCACTGAACTGCTTGAACGGCTTTAACCTGACCAGTTACTCCAGATGCATTAAGGTTCGACTATTAAGTTTGGCGTTTAGAGCAGCTGCCGTGCAGTAGACAAGCTATTGCCCCACTCATTTCAATTTAGTTTGGCGCGGCGGTAACACGGCATCTAGAACCAGCCTAAGTTTCAATAACACTTATATCCCCTGCGGCTCCATATTTCTAAGCGTTTCAATTGAATTTTATCTTAGATTCAGATCATTGCGCTAACTGCCTCAAAATCTACAGAATTAATTAAGTACTTTCAATACTTTTTGTTCTGACATGATTCTCCATAATGAGGATTTTATTTCTCTACACCCACCTGAGGTAAGTCAGCCATCCCCATTTTATAAGCAAACATACATCTCGTCAGTAGGTTGGTGATCTGCAACGCTAACGCTGCCCGGTACCTATCTTCACTGGTGACCAAGTAGCGTACTTCATCATGTATGCTGATGCAGAAGCGGCCATCGATGTGATATTGTTCAAACAGCCAGCGCATGCATACAAGCATGAGATGAAGATAGTCAACTGCGGAGCTCTGCACTACCCAGTTGACACGGCTGGTTAGGAACTAAAATACCACACAGAAAAAAAATGTCACCTCCTAATTATATTTTTTTAAGATTTCTGTTTTAGCCTCTGAAGAAGAACTTGCTAAGTTCGCAACGTCAGGCCACATTAATTTTAAGATTTATATTTTGTTGAAAATGTTTTTAATGGTCATTTATAAATACCTAAGACAGTTTACCCATTCCTATTGGTTGAGAGCCCGTCACGTGGCCAGTCTTAAATGGTTGATAAAACACCAGCTGGCACTTTTCAAGTGTCACATGAAATTTTGACCCCCTATGAAATCTGCTCCCTTTTATTGCTTGAACGTTCACAATCCTCACTAAGGCATGCGCAATACTACCAATGAGTACATATTTCATAGTCTTAAATTCACATCACACCTGCACAACTGCATTCTGTGCCACATCGCACAGTACGCGCCAGCCAATCTCCATATAAGGAGTTGTTTACGACTACTCACGAGAGGCACATACCATAACATAGCTAGAGGGGTGTTTAAAGAAACATGAAGTCAACTTGTTGAACAAATTCGTTGGCAATTTATAATTTTTGACTTTATGAATGGGAATAAATATGTGCTTGGCCGGTATTAAATAAGTCCGTTTAAAACCAGCTGGGGGCCTGGTCGGCAATAATATGCCTCGCCTTCGGCTCAGGCTATTATCAGCATCCATTCCCCGCCAGTCTTAAACGGACTTGTTTAAAACCAACCAAGCACATATTTATTCCCTTAAAAAAATTGACTTTGGATCATTGCCCTGTTCAATGTCAAAACTCGCCCAACTCTAGCACTCGTAAATAGTTAATAACGCCGCAGAAAATCAAAGATTTGAGAGCAAATATCTCAAGGTTTTGTGAGTGAGTAATGCTTGAGTAACTGACCTCATTGTTGACTCGTTTGGGCTCCAATGCTCGGCTGATTGATGATTTGAGGACAGGTGTTTTGGGATGATCAGCGTGAGCGATGCTCTCGAGTTGATTGAACATAGCTGACTCGCTACAGAGAAAACAGGTTAAATAACTCAGTCAAATTAGGTTTTGCCCTTCACCGACGTTTAAACACTGTATACTCAGTGTGTTACCTCCTAAGTGACAGCTGGAAAAAAAATCACTCGGGTGGGACTCGAACCCACGACCTCCTACTTTCTAGTGCAGTTGTCTTACCACTCGACCACCGAGCTAACGGGATCAGTTGGCTGGTTCGATGTACATAGCAGCAGGTACCGCATAAACTATTAAACGATCCCGTTAGCTCGGTGGTCGAGTGGTACGACATCTGCACTAGAAAGCAGGAGGTCGTGGGTTTGAGTCCAACCCGAGTGATTTTTTTCCAACTTTCACTCGGGAGGTAACACACTGAGTATACAGTGTTTAAACGTCGGTAAAGGGCAAAACCTAATTCGATTTATATCACCCCGATGCAAACTTCCATCTTGTAATAATATAACTCAGGTTAATATAACTCAAGTTAATATCAAGTCACATAAAGTCACCGGTCAGTATAACTTGGGCAACAACTAAGGCCACTACAAGTCCTGTTAAATCACATTATCATAATTATCTATACTAGACTAGTATATTTCACGCCAGTTAAACGAGTCACATGGGGTAAAAAGACAAACTGCACTAATAAGTGACTGTATTGTTTGTTTGTTTTTTCCCAAAAGTCTGGCAGATTGGTGCACAATATGATGGAATTGTTGATAAAAGTTTGAAATTTAGCACACAGACAGAGTGTGTCATGGGAAAGATATTTGGCTGTAGGGCCATCAAAGATTTGTCCTTTGAAAAAAATATCATAGAATAACATGCAATGGCCACCAATCTAAAAATGTGGAAAACTGCTTGTTATTCAATGATATTTTTATCAAAGGACAAATCTGCGATGGCCCTATAGCCAGATATCTTTCCCATGACATACTCAGACTGTGTGCCAAATTTCATACTTTTATCAACAATCTCATCACCAATCTTATAACCAAAGGTTTTTGCTTTAGAAGTAAACAAAGACATGCCTTACCTTCCCTTAGTCCATTCTTTACCGTTCGTCAGTAAACTTCTACAAAGCAAAAAGAATTAAAGGAAGAGTAGATCAGTTGTCATTTGTGCAGATTTTCGTTTCAAGCAATAACAGTGCTCAAAATCTAAAGATAGGTGACTAACACGTAAAAACCTGAGAAGTTTTAGCTCTGTGAACGCTGTATATTCCAAGAAAACAATATTCTAGGATCTCCATTTCAATTTGAACGTTGCCGAGTCATATTTTGAATTGCGCCGAAAATCAGCATCCGGGACACATTCTCATTAGCTACGCGATGTCACACACTGAAATGACGAATAATAGCAAGCCCGCGCGCAGGTGCGTCTTGTCAACACTTGCGTGCACCCGTTCACGGATTCGTCACATTACAAACCAACTGCAAACAGAAATTCCCAAAAATGTGTCATTTTACTCTTTTTTGGACATGGCCTTCATTCACTTTTTCCTTCAAAATGACAGCATGCCAGAAAGAATAATTTCACAGGGACTTTAGTGTCATTACTATCTTTAAATTAAGTAAATTTGTCACAATAGTTTGGAAATTCTTCTTTTTCGGACATGGCCTTCATTCACTTTTTCCTTCAAAATGACAGCATGCCAGAAAGAATAATTTCACAGGGAGTTTAGTGTCATTACCATCTTTAATTTAAGTAAGCTTTTTCACAATAATTTGGAAATTCACTTTTTGATAGCTGCAAATGAGCTTCTCTAACTTTAAGCATATAAAAATTTTAACTTTTAATCAAAGCCAGACTCAACAATAATCCAATTAAGCAAATCGCAGCATTCTGCTTGTCAGTCAATGAGACCAGTTTACAAATTTCATATTAAATGATATTGCATATTTTGTTTCCGTTTTAACTGCTATATTTGGAAGTTTAAGGTCCTCAACAGTTAAGCCCATGAAAGTTTTGTTTGAAATTGTGTTTTACGAATAAGACTCTTTTTCATACCGCTTGCCTGGTTTGATGTGTTTGCTGATTTGTCTCAGTTTAGCTGTGGAGATGTAGCGGTCGTCCTCGTTATCAAGAAGTTTGTGTTTGATGAGGAATTCAGTTGCTTTCTCCTCAATTTTATGCCTGAAAAATGGGATGGCAAAATGAACCGATGATATATGCTTACACAATTTTACTGTCTTTGCAAGTATGCAGGATTCACGCTACAAATTCAATTATTTCAAAATTAATTACCAGTTGCGTGTGTTAAATGCTCAATGAACTGCAAATGTAATCTATGTCAAGCTTATCTCACACCAATAAATAGATTTTTTTTATGGCCCCCTACCCCCTCCCCCATTTTTCAAAAATATAAAAATAACCTTAAAGGGACACTACAGCCTGAAAACCCCCAAAATTGTACGTTTTGGTTTGTTTACTGTATTAGGCTATTCTATTTCAAAGATCTGGTTGAAAGTAACTAACTGACCAGACCTGCCAACCTTTGGGATCTCAAAACTGTATTCTGAAACTCCAAAAGTTTTATTTTTCATAACAAAACCTCTTTTTTCACAAATATGCATAACGAGCTATACGAACAAATATATGTGGCTGCAATGCTGCAACTTTCATACATCTTTATTAAGTTATAAAAAAAAAATGACCAGAGGTCTCCCTGAAGGTGGTAAACCCAATCAAACAAGGATATATTAAATCATGTTGATCATACCTTATTCATAAACAAACTGCTTTAAAAACTATCATAAGCAGGTCTAATTAAATAAACTAAAGACTAAACTAAACCCTTGAATGTTTGAAATAAATAAATTCATTATGCAAGTGAAAAGTTCATAGGACTTCCAAGTATTAAATTCTAATCTAAACTTATTAATTTTTTATCACATGTCGCCAAGGGCCAGTTTCAATCATAATCACATAGAATACATAGAAAAGAACTTTGCCTACCCGAAAAAGAAATCAATTTTTCTTGTATTTACTGGCTGATTTCTTCAGTTCGGTTTGGGCTGCCCGCTTTAATTGCTCTTTGCGTGTCATTTCGTTGATTGACCGATTTTTCTTTTCGTTTCAGAATGTAGGATAAGTTACTATTCAAAAACGTTTGACAATCAGAGCACTACGTGCACGCGTGTTGTGACTATCCTCGTACACAAACATCAATGCGTATTGTGTACCGCGCGTGCAAGCACTGAGAAAAAGAAAGTCGAATGACTGCACGTAAGATCTGCCGTACGTACTCCTGCTGGTATGTGTGTGTACGAATACAGACATTTATTTTTGCCGCGGGGTGCCGCTGCTTGAAGTATCGGCACCCCCAGAACTGGACGGATGCTAGTTTGTGATACCGTGAACATAATGTAAATGGAACAGTGGGAATTGCGAAACCAGATTCAGTTCATGTATATTGTTTACTTGGCTGCGTGCATGCGTACTGTGCATTGATTCAGCCGGGTTTTTTTATCTAGCATTTAATCTACACTCACAGCTGCTTTGAACTAGGATTTTTCCAGGCGTGTCAAAATGGTCAAAACCCGTATTTTAAGGGGGGAAAAAACGTACGACCGCATTTTCAACAAGTTCACGTACGAAATACGGCAAAATCGTACTAGTTGGCAGGTCTGACTAACTAATTAACTAACTAAACTAATGTCTTAAGTTTTCCCCCAAAAATTAAAAAATCTGGATGGAAGTTACTCTGGACACGATGGGCATTTTGAGGCATACATATATGCATTTCCAGCTGCGTCCATTCAATGTACAGCACACGTTGTGTGCGTGTCACATAATACACACAGCACCAATACACAAATGTTGTTTCTCGCTCGTCCGCAGAATGCAATGCACTGGTGGAACACTTGTGGCAGGCTTCACGAATAGCACCCAACAGCTCGATTTTAGACTCGAAAATTCAACCCCCGAAATTCATTCACGCAAGAATAACGCAAAAACGCCTGGTTTTAAAAGGATGGTTATGTGAACGTTTATATCCTACTTTTAAATGTTCTTTCCAATTAACATCATTTCGTTTAAAACGCATTTTGTAGCCTAATTGGGCGCATTCCACGACGTAATGTCCCTTTAAAGTTTGTACAGTTGTTTTCTTGGCACCAAGCAAAGCCAAATGAATGAAGGAGGCGTTAAGCCTGCTAATTCCGACACATAAAGAACTGATTGTCATTTCTAACGATTTAAAAATTGAAAAATTCCTACTGATAAACTTAGCACAGTTAGAGTTGATTGGAATTTGCAGAATGTCAAGCAATAGCTATGGTTACTCACATTCTAAGGCCTTTAGTAGCAGCGTACATCTTGTTAGCTTTCTCTCGTGCTTCTTCTAAGCTCATTTTGTGATTAAACTGCATCAGCAGGCGAACAGCGAACGGTCTTCCAGCACCGTAGATACGACCGTAATTGATGATCTACATCATGTAAAAAACAAATTAACAGTAGATTGTGAATGGTAGTATTTCTTCTAAATAAGGTAACTATGATGATTTTACAAACAAAGGAAGATGTAAGAAACAAAACGTTGTCTAGTTGAACATGACCTTAAAGTTTGACATTAGTTTAGGATATTATTTAAACTCAGTGACTAAGTCAGATAGGACAATACGCTGGCATTTTCAGTCCAGCAAAACAATGACAAGTTGTGCATTGGGTGGCAGTTGACAAGGCCAAACTCACCCGAAACATTATAGATATAAATCGCATCCAAACAAAAACCGATCTGAACTCCCTAAAGCCGACCCAACCCAACCTGACAAAATTCAAAGAAAACCGACCTGAAACCAAACTGACCCGAAACCCCCCCCCCCGAATATTTGGCTTGGGCAACTGTGTCCGCTTTTTGTGTCTGAACTTACTGGCCGCGTCACGTGAAAATCGTCGTCTCTCAGTACTTGAATCATACAGTTGAGCCTTCATGTCATAGACAGACCACAAACCACATGCGCATGCGTGTGGTGGGTTGACGTTGGCCGTACTAGGCACAGTGACTCAGCAATAATATTGCACAGCTTGAATTTCCGAATTGTTTCAGGGGTTTTTTTTCGGTTTATTAAAGTATATTTGGGTTTTTCACAAGATGGCTTAATCGACCTGACACAACCTGAAAATAACAAACGCAAAACCAAAACCAACCTGACCCGACTGAAATGACAGAAAAACTGTTCCGAACCGAAGTCGATTTTCGGTCAGTTCGGTTTCGGGACAGGTTTGCACAACATTATTGACAAGTTGGTGTGGTTAGAAACAAACTCACACAAGTGTGTATTTGCCTGCAATCGGGGACCCCCTATTGTCCCCTTTTGTTTGTACTTTTTAAGAAGACCTTTCATATGTTTGTACACATCGCCAAATTGGGGACCTTATGCACTAAAGGGCCTTATGCACTAGTCGGCCAATTTTGTTGAGTTCCCTGAATGTATTTCATAAATTGTTAACTGTTGAATGGGATGGCGCCAGACTATACAAATTTTAAATTATTCATTAGAAATGAAATTATTAATTATTCATAAATACCTCAGACAGTTTAGCTATTCCTATTGGTCGAGAGCCCGTCACGTGGCCGGTATTAAACGGATGATAAAGACATGGCTAGCTGGTCTTAAACACTTTTCCAGTGTCACAATAAAATGTGGACTCCTAAAAATCCAGTGCCTCTTACCGTTTCATTGGTTGAACGTTCACAATCCTCACGTAGGCATGCGCAACACTACAAGCGAGTCAGAATTTTATAGTTCTAAATTCAAAACGCAACGCCTCAGGTGCGTTCTGCGTGACATCGCGCAGAACATGTTACGCGCGCGTCAATCTCCATAAAAGGGTTGTTTACATCTTACTCGCCAGCTGAACACTCCATTATTTTGCTAGAGGGATGTTTCAAAAGCATGAAGTGAACTTGTTGAACAAAATCGGGATTTTTTGAACGAATTATTTGAAATTTTTTTACGGATAAGGTATTTATGAATGGGAATAAATATGTGCTCGGTCGGTATTTATCACTCGTTTAATACCGCTTAGAGTCTGGGTGCTGATAATTACCCTCGCCTCCGGCTCGGGTAATTATCAGCACCCAGACTCTAAGCGGTATTAAACGAGTGATAAAAACCTCCGGAGCACACATTTATTCCCTTAGTAATGTACTTGGTTTCATTTCTCTTCACAAGTTCTAAAAATGAAGATTTTACCTCACTTTCAATTCAATATGGCCGACTCTGAATAAGGCCCATTTGGGGACCCTATTGTTCTCTATTGTTCAACGTCCCCTATTGAATGCAGAAAGAAACCCACAGCCACCAGCCTACAACTTAAGATGTCTCATCACTAATTACAATCTGATGAGGGGTTTCACCTTAGCATGTTCTCTACTGATGCCGATAGTTGAAGCAGTCACACTGTGCATATCAGTACCATCACTCTTCTTGCCTTGTAATGTCATCCAACCAAGAGCAGTACATGCTGAAAATCAATATCCATAAATTAATCAATATATGACTAATTGATTAACTGATTGGATGATTAATTGATGAACTGTTTGGCTAATGACTGATTTAATGACTAGGTTAATTAATTATTGATTGACTACCTATTTACGTGATGAATAAGGGAATAAATGTGTGCTCCGGAGGTTTTTATCACTCGTTTAATACCGCTTAGAGTCTGGGTGCTGATAATTACCCGAGCCGGAGGCGAGGGTAATTATCAGCACCCAGACTCTAAGTGGTCTTAAACAGAGTAATAAATACCGACCGAGCACATATTTATTCCCATTCATAAATACCTTATCCGTAAAAAAATATCAAATAATTCGTTCAAAAAATCCCGATTTTGTTCAACAAGTTCACTTCATGCTTTTTTAAACATCCCTCTAGCAAAATAATGGAGTGTTCAGCTGGCGAGTAAGATGTAAACAACCCTTTTATGGAGATTGACGCGCACGTAACATGTTCTGCGCGATGTCACGCAGAACGCACCTGGGGCGTTGCGTTTTGAATTTAGAACTATAAAATTCTGACTCGCTTGTAGTGTTGCGCATGCCTACGTGAGGATTGTGAACGTTCAACCAATGAAACGGTAAGAGGCACTGGATTTTTAGGAGTCCACATTTTATTGTGACACTGGAAAAGTGTTTAAGACCAGCTAGCCATGTCTTTATCATCCGTTTAAGACCGGCCACGTGACGGGCTCTCGACCAATAGGAATAGCTAAACTGTCTGAGGTATTTATGAATATTAATTATATAATATTGGATGGCTTTGAGGGGGATACAAGAATATATTGCACAAGCTGTAACAATATTGCACGAATCAAAGACGAGTGCAATATCAATATTATTACAGTCATCCGGGTACTTTATTGGGATACAAGAATGACTGCAATATTATGTCAATACTTTTTTACGAAAGCATACAATGCGCTGATTTATTTTTACCATTGGAAGCCTGATGTAAATAATAACCACCATTATTTTATCAAAATTTAAACAAATATTCTTATGAAGCAAGCTTGATCAAAAAGATTGATCTATCATCAATTTATTAATCAATCAATCAATAAATTGATTGGTTGTCACTACCTCCTCCTTTACTGGTCAAGATATTAATAAGAACTTGACAGTAGTTATGGGCTCCGTGCGCCAACAAGAGAGGGAGCTTTTGACCACTTTTGAGAGCACTGTGACATGAACAAACACATCGTGTGAGTGTACTGGTTCGCGGTGTACAGCGCAAAGTACACGTGTCATATTACAAAGCCATAGCGTCTTCGCGTGAGCGCCAGGCGTCGGCAATGCGTTCGAATGTCTCTCCCAGTGGTCTCCCCCAACTTTCCCTTTCTTACCGTTGAGGGGGTACTTGTGCAAAGAGCCCATAGACAATTTGAATGATTCATTACTTACCATGGAAACCGGCAAAGTTTGCATCTCCAAGCAGAGCAGCAATCCATAGTTCCTGAGAATCAACGTCAGCACCTACTAGATGATACCCAGGGGGCGCTTGTACCATGGCCTTCAGTTCACTACCAACACGGTCCGTCTATCATAACAAATTACATTTGCACAACAAGGCTTAAAGGGGATTATACAACATTTGCAAACATCAAAAAACAAAACTACCAAATTATTATGAAATACATTATTTTCTTGTAAGTGAGTAATAGTCTCAAGCATCCTGTGAAATCATGGCACTTGGTGTGCTGTCATTTACAAGAAAAATGGAATGTTTGTATCAATTTCCAATGATGGTCAGCCGACCATCGTTGGAAAAAACTGACTTTTTTCAAATACTGCCCCTAATTTACCAAATTTAGTTAGTCCACATTTTGTTTGCAATCAGTTACACATCCGTGAATGAGTGCAAGCCAGCTAGTCTGGTTCCTGACCTGACAATTCCCTGACATCTATAAATTGCTCCGTTTCTCCTGAAATAGGGTCAGGGAACCAGATTGCAAAACAACATTTTTTTTCTTGGTGTTTCCAGTATCTATGAATACAAAACTTTAAACAGGTATTGGAACAATATTTGCTATAAACTACTGTTCATCATGTCATGAAACCACTTCTCTGCAGTGGAAAAATCTGGGTGGAAAAAGCAATTGCAGAAAAGTGTCTTGCCCAAGAACACGAACAGTCAGAGACCGTAATATATCTGCCTACCCTGGCATTAGATGCAGTCAGCCATGTTGGCTCCACAGCTCTCCGAGTCACTGTTCCCGCGGCAATGACACGAGGGATGATAGCACCATAGAAACCATCTTCATCGTAGTCATGGTTACGGGTCACAGTACGAGGAAGATGGTTCTTCTCAAGGTCAACCACCATCTGTGAACTGAAAGGACAAAGACAAATGAAAACTACCTGAGGATAGAATACTTATTTTGAAAACAAGGAAACCTTTTCACCACTAGGCCTATATCAAATAAATGGAAAACTGAAACAAGGATACGTACAGAGTAAAAGGTACAGTTAGAGAACACACTTTTCCAAAAATTATTTCCAAAATTGCAAGACCAATATTTCATATTAAGCATTTGAAACTTCAGAAATTCTTGGAATAAGTACTTTAACCCTCCTGCTGTTTAAGCAGTCACAGACAGTCAAAGTTCGCTTCCATTTCCCCTGATATACTTTAAACAAAGGCTAGTCACCAGCAGTCAGATCATATGCCAAGCAAGCACTGTGACTAGTCAAACTGGGTCAACAGAAAAAGCAGGCAAGTTGTGGTCACAGCTGTTTTATCACTCACCAGGAGTCAAAGCATAGCTGTATCAAGTTACTTAAGCAGTCCCAGCCAGTCAATCCTGCTTTATGTAGGGCTGGGAATGCTCAACTGTTGAAAACAGTCAGTTGATTGATTTTGACTGCAAGGACAACTTGGCACAGAATGTATGTTTGCATAGGAGGGTTTAATAAAAAAAACTTAAAGCCTAGAATATGTCCTTCACTGATAGCTTTTGGAGGTTCCTTTTTATTTCAAAAATTGCTTAACAACTTTGGGGTGGGCTAAGACATAACAAGCCATCATTTAGAACTATGGTTTAATTGTGATAGTTTCAACAAATTTTTAAATCACTTTAAAATCTCCATCCTCTAAATTCAAAGCCTTAATTGTCTTACTTGATTCTCTTGCTTGCATTTCTCCAGAATGAGATGAGTTTATTAATCTCCAAGATGCGAGTTGCTTGAGCTCCTCCTGCAGATCCCAGCGTACCATCTTCAAGTTTATTCAAGAAGTCTTTGGCTAAAGGGTTACCAACTTTGTTGGAGCCACCATCCTACAAGGAAGATCACGATAATGAAAATAGGCACTTGTTTAGTGCTTTAAAGCCAATGCAACATAATTTTTTTAATGCAATCCTTAAAAATGCACCTTTGTGTCCCATTTAACCTTATTTCAATTTTCGTTTTGCCATTTTCAAGGGTATTTTGGTGCTTCTTGGTTTTTATGCTAATTAATTTCCATATTCATGAGCAAAAGTGTGATGTCATATCAGGCAGAAACCTCAATGTTACAGCTATTTCATCACCAAAGTTGCCAGATTTTTTGGACATATTTCTGTTGTAAATTTTCCTTGGTGATTCGTTGTTGTGTATTAAAGTACACAGCAGTAAGCCAATGATCAAACTTTCTCACAAATGTTTTCAGTGAACACATTTTTGTTCAATGAACACATTTTTGGGTTCACAATTTAAACAGAACCCCTAAACTGAACAGTGTCTTCCTGAAATGACATAATAGCAACGGCGCCCTCAGTTGTCGGGAAAAGCATGGACATTGTTACATGTTTCAAGAAGTTCACTTTTCGATAAAATTTACCGAAAGGAATGTCAAATAGTTTCCATACATTTAGGAGGAGTGTGAAGTTGCATAAAATGTGTTCCTAAGAAAAATTCATTTCATGGACCCTTTTAACAATGATCAAAGTGCTGTGACAGTATCATTTCCCAGCTCATTGGGCCGGCAAATTATTCCATAGACCATCTCAGCTCAGAAACTGTGTTGCATGTTTATAATCTTTGATTTCTAAAGTGAAGTACAAATAACACTAAATCTGCTTTAACAGAGTATTTACTAAGGGACTGAATATGTACTTAGCTGGTTTTAAACACTATCTTTAAGACCGGTTGAAGTCTGGATTGGTAATTATCAGCATCTAGACTCCAACCAGCCTTAAACATAGTGTTTAATACCGGCCAAGCACATATTTGTCCCATTCATATACCTTTTCGGTAAAAAAAATCCAAACATTTCGGTCCAAAAGTCAAAACAAATTAAAAATTATAAATTTCCAACGAGTTTGTTTAACAATTTTACTTCATGTTTTTCGAAACACCTCTCTAGCTATATTATGGAATTCCCTGTCACAAAAAATGGTAAACAACTCCTTATATGGAGATTGGCGCGTGCCTGCACGATGTGACGCAGAATGCAGCTGTGCCGGTGTAGTGTGAATTTAGGACGATGAAATACTGAGTCACACGTAGTATTGCACATGCCTACGTGAGAATTGTGAACGTTCAATCAATTAAACGGATTTCATAAAAGTCCAAATTTTATTTGACACTGGAAAAGTGTTTAAGACGAGCAAGCCGGTTTTCATCATCCATTTAAGGACGGCCAAGTGACGAGCTCTCGACCAATGGGAATGGGTAAACTGTCTTAGGTATGTATGAATTTGGTTTATAACCTAAAGAATGTTAACATCCCCTTCAATTGGTGAAACTAAGGTCAGCTCTGAATTTGTATTCACAACAAAATGCAAGTTTATTAGTACCTTATGTGGTAGTCTATAGAACCAGCAGCCTGGGATCTTGACATCAGTACGAGGTCGTTGGCCGTGACGTTCAGGACCCGAGGATGGTCCGTTTGGATCTGGAATGACGGCAGGCTTCGGGGAAGGTATTCTATCATTCTCATCAGACTGTGAATGAGAAAGTAAAAGACCATTGAAAACAAATTATAAATCAATGGCCAGTTTGTGGTTGACAATAATAAACAATAAACAATCTGGATATTTTTTCTTTACGCCGATTTTCTGAACAATAATTTTTACAAGTCAACTAGACCTGATAATGACACATTAAAGGTAGAGTCGATCATTTGCAGCTATCCAGAAAGTAACTGATCAAATTATTTTCAAAAAGCTTAAGTGGTTTTAAGTTGGGGATGGCACTAAACTCCCTGTGAAATTATTCTTTCTGGCATGCTGTCATTTTGAAGAAAGCAACAAAAGAAGGTTATTTCCAAAGATGTGTCAAGTGACACATTTTTGGAAATTTCCGTTGGCAGTTGTTTGCAAATGGGCGAGTCTGCAAAATGGATCTGTGTAAGCGTTGACGTGACGCACACGCGCAGTTGCTGTTATTCGTCGGTTCGGTGCGTGACATCGCACTGCGTGACAGTGAATTGTAGCTGCAATTGGCTGAATGATAACGTGTTTGGGATGCTGATGTTGGGCGCAATTCAAAATACGACTATGCAACTTTTGAATTCAAACCGAGATCCTAGAATATTGTTTTCTCGTAATATACAGCATTCACTGAGCTAAAACTACATCAGGTTAGTTGTTCAGCACCATTCTTTAGATTTTGAGCACTTTCTTACTTGAAACAAAAAAAATGCACAAATGACAAATGATCTACTCTACCTGTAAGTAAATTTAGAAACATTTATCTTCAGCTTTGACTTCAATCTTACCGTGCTTTCATCTTCACTATGCGTCCAATAGTCTTCAACCTCCGATTGGACCAAGCTGGCTTGGGAATCCAATTCTGTAAAATGTGATGTCATCTCTGGTAGCGACATGTTGTCCTCAGGAATCTTGTCTTGCACAAAACTTTTCAAAGCACTGTTTTAATAGACAGTCAGACGTCAAAATTATCTATAATCTGATGAAAATCTGAGCTTAATGATAGGGTTGTGCTTTTACATGTAGTATGGGGACAGGTACCAAATAGAAAAAAATACGGGTACCCGGGTACTCATTAAAGAAACCCAACGCCAAAATTCAAATCTCGGAAGTTGCTGTTCAGATTGTTCTACTTACTGAAGAGGAAAATGTTCTTTCATGTTGTTCTCTTCATCTCCGCCCTCTTCTTCCTTAAGCTCTTCTCCCATCGTGTCCTCTGTCCTTCCAGGAACCAAGTACCCCCATCCATGCTTGGCCTCATAGTGTAGCGGATAACCTTCCCATGTCAAGCGGAGTAGCTTAGGCGCTACCCTGACTTGAGAGCTGATGAGACAAGGACCTGGCGCCCAGTCCTCATCTATCTTACGGGGACATAACTCACGATACCACCTGTGGACAACAGTACAAATTGAAACGTTCAATGTTAACAAGTGAGGTAGTTTAATTCATCACAAGTCTGGCCAAAAGGGAACCACAAGTCCGTTCACAAGTCCAGTCACAAGTAACAGAGGATGATCAGTAACAAAGAAATGCCTTTGTCTGAGTTCATTTGAATAGCTTGTGAGTCGACTTGGGACTGGAGGACTTGTGATGGACTTGTGATGGACTTGTGATGACTTGTGATGACTTGTGATGGCTTGTGATGGACTTGTGATGGACATGTGATGGACTTGTGATGACTTGTGATGGACTTGTGATGGACTTGTGATGGACTTGTTATGGACTTGTGATGGACTTGTGATGGACTTGTGATGGACTTGTGATGGACTTGTGATGGACTTGTGATGACTTGTGATGGACTTGTGATGACTTGTGATGGACTTGTGATGGACTCGTGATGGACTCGTGATGGACTTGTGATGGACTTGTATGGACTTGTGATGGACTTGTGATGGACTTGTGATGGACTTGTGATTGACTTGTGATGGACTTGTGATGGACTTGTGATGGACTTGTCATGGACTTGTGATGGACTTGTGATGGACTTGTGATGGACTTGTGATGGACTTGTGATGGATTTGTGAGGACTTGTGATGGACTTGTGATGGACTTGTGATGGACTTGTGATGGACTTGTGATGACTTGTGATGGACTTGTGATGGACTTGTGATGGACTTGTCATGGACTTGAGATGGACTTGTGATGGACATGTGATGGACTTGTGATGGACTTGTGATGGACTTGTGATGGACATGTGATGGACTTGTGATGGACTTGTGATGGACTTGTGATGGACTTGACTGGAACAATTATTTAAACACTACATCAAAGGTTTTGGAGTGTGGCCTAGTGGTTGGGGTTTGTGACTCATGATCAGAGGGTCAGGGGTTTGAATCCAGCTGCTGGTCATATGTCGTGTCCTTGGGCAAGCCACTTCACCCCCACTTGCCTCTCTCCACCCAGGAGTATAAAATGGGTACCGGCATTAGCTGGGGAGTAACCTACGATGGACTGGCATCCCATCCAGTTGGAATAGAAATATTCTCAGTTGTTTCATGCTACTGAAACAGGAGATAAACGCCGGCCTGATGGGTCACATCGGCTTGACAGAGTTTACTTTTTTTCTACAAACTATAATGAGATAGATTTTTCAGCTGTCTCAAGGCAAAAACCTGACATTTGAAAAGTCAACCAGATGAGATTGTTTTCCAGTGAGAGAGCCGCATGTTTATTGATGTTACACCACTCACATTGGATATCCCACCATGTGCTGCTTGATCTTTGGCATCCGGTCAGCTGTCTCCATAACGTCTCTCAAGCGTTCCTCTCTCGCTTCCTGCTCTAGTCTCTCTTCCTCTGTTAATCCATCTTCCTCCGCCATTGTCTCACTGCCTCCTTGAGATGCTCCCATTGTACGTCTCTCATCTTCTCCATCTGGTCTCTCCGTCTCGTGATTCATCTTGCCATCATCTTGAGATGTCGAGCTTGGAGTTCTATCATTCTCTCGGAGGTCTTTTGAATTACCTCTTGGTTTTCTGCGGACGACTTCTTTCTTGAGTTTGTAATCTTCCGTTGACCAGTCTAGTTCCCACAGCCACGGATCTTCTTTGTAACTGCAAACGCAAGAAAGGTTTCAAGGTAGACAATAAAGGGAACTGACAAGATAGATTGAATTCAATATTAGGTTTTATACTAATATTGATAATAATAATAACTTGGGGGGCTAATCATCCTTACTTGCAGCAGAGAAGCTGAATTGCGAAGGACGCGGCTACAACGTGGTCGAGCCGCTGGCATGTAAAGGTGCCTTAGGCAGCCGCCATGCGACCCATGTCAGACCACGGAGCACAGCCAGAGATCGAAAATGTTGATTTAATCAGAGGGAAAACAAAGTCCCAGAGAAAAACCCTAGTGGCACAGGAGAGAACCAATGCACAACTCTACTCACATATGGTCCGAGCCGGGAATCGAACCTGGGCCACAGTGGTGAAAGGCAAGCGCTTTATGCACTAGCCATCCATGCCAACCCATAACAGGTTTACCCTTCACAAATGTAATCTTTTAAGCGCTGTATACTCAGTACTGGGGACTCGCACCTACCACCTCCAACTTAGTAGTGCAGAGGTCTTACCCACTATACCGCCGAGCTCACCTGGGTTAGCTGTATCTGATACTGCAGCAGGTACCCAAATCAAGCATATGATGACATTTCGTTACCATCACCACGAAAAGACACTAACATTGAAAAATCGATATTTTGCGATTTCGATTTTTTTTCCCTTATTTGCGATTAATTACATATAATCAAGAAGTTACTATGCACAGAGTTAATTAGTTTTGTCGAAATATTAATTAGCATTAATGTAACTTAATGGGTTAAAACTGGAAAATGCGTTTTCACCAAGTGTACTATACCATTCTTTCACGTGTAAACTGCCTGCACACTACGCGTCAAAAACGGGTTTTGAGTTTTCACGAAGTAACACAAATGTCACGTGATATGCGCGACTCACTTCTGGCGTATTCACGAAGTAGCGTTAAGCACATAGCTAATACACATGGTTAGCATCACTTCCTGAAAACTCGAACACAGCGTTATCTGATTTTTTAGTTTTCACGAAGTGTACTTATAGTTAGTTTGATAACTCATTAATAGTAACAAAATATGGATTTTGAGGCTAAAACAATATTCAGATCACCGTTTCAAAACATCGTCAACTTAAATCGCTTGTATCGCGAAACACATATTTTCCACTTTACGGGGTTAAAGTCACTTCGTGGTGATGGTGACAATTTTAGTGTCGGAAAGATATTTTGCACTTGATAAATTAAATATGTTAAGCAGTGTCATCAAGTATTCTATTACCCCCGATTGCTGAGCCAATAGCTATTCTCTTCTTACCTGTCATCTTGCATGAGTTGGCAAGCATCGTTAGCTAGGTGCATCAGAGCAAGTTTCATCTCTTGTTGTAGATCATCGTAGGTTTCTTGTGACTCCCTCAGATAACGTTCCCAGTTATGATTGACGGGTAGGTATGCTTGACCCATCTCTAATGTAGCTGCAAAGGTTACTGGATGGGGGAACCTGTGACAGGTGGATTAGATAATTGATTGGTATGAGAACAATTTATGACTATTATGCCAAGACTTTAAAGGTAGAGTAGATCATTTGTGCATTTGTTTCGTTTGAAGCAACAAAAGTCCTCAAAATCTAAAGACGGGTGCTTAAGTAAACCTGATGAGATTTTAGTTTGAGAATGCTGTATATTCCAAGAACACAATGTTCTAGGATCTTGATTTCAATCCAAAAGTTGCCGAGTCGTATTTTGAATTGCGCCCGCAATTAGCATCCGGATCAAGCTCTCATTCAGCCGATCGCGGCTACACGATGTCACGCACTGAACCGACGAATAATAGCAACTGTGCGCATGTGTGAATTGCGCCCGAAATCAGCATCCGTAACACGTTTTCATTCAGCCGATTGCAGCTACACGATGTCACGTCAACTGTGCGCATGTGTGGCGCATGTCAACGTTTGCGCGCACACACTCATGGATTCGCCCAATTTGATACCAACTAATAATGGAAATTTCCAAAAATGCTTCACTTGACTCATCTTTGGAAATGACCTCTTTTATTGTTTTCTTCAAAATGACAGCATGCCAGAAGGAATAATTTCACAGGGAGTTTAGTGCCATTGCTATCTTTATACCAAGTAAGCTTTTAAACAATAATTTGGTCATTTATTTTTTGGATCGCTGAAAGTGATCTACTCTGTCTTTAACTAGAAAATGGTGATCAGACAAAAATGTCCAAATGCTGAGACTGCATTTACACGGTACAACAAAACTAAAGACTTGCCACAGTAAGTCCATACACTGACAAAACTTAATTTATGTCAGACTTAAATTTAATACCCATCAAGCAAATACATCTTTGTCAATTACGACAAATTCTCAGCAGCCAACGAACCTTTCATAGAATTTGGGTAGGAGGTGAGTAAAGACGACATGTGTTGCTTCTACATCTTTAGCACAGTAAGACATCAGTTCCTAAAATTGCAGTGAAAAAAAAATTAGTTAGGCTTAATTTATCCACGATTAGGGTGAATCTAAACTCTGTACTGGGTGAGGTAAAAACAAAAACGAAACCCAAATGTCGGGACTATATTTTAGTGAAGTTCTAAATGTAGCACTTTAAATAGCTAGGATATGAAAGCTCAATTCATAAGCTTTCTTTTAGTACAAGAATCATTCAAATCACTCATGTACTTCTCCAGTTACGGACTTTTATAACAAAACCACCGTTTTAAGATTATGTCCACGGATAACAAAAATGTAAGTGTTCTTTCAGCAAAGCGAAAACAAATCACATAGGGATGTGTGTGGATTGTTTTCGTTTTTCAAAATTACCACAAATCACTCAGTTTTTCATGAATATAATTACAAGTCATTTTGAAGACGATCTTTCCTGAGCAAGTAATACAGTCAGTGCGGTGCAGAAGAAATGCATCTAAGTACTGTACATACACAGCGCGTGCAGCTGGCTTTTTAAAAAGATCTACTTGTCTTGATCGGGGAAATCAAGATGCAATTTCTTCCACTCTTAGCATATAGCAAGCCAATATACATGTGTACGTATCAACTCAAGAAGATGCAAGCTGGAGAAAGCAAACTAATATAAAGGGTGCATCAAAAAAAGGAAACCCAGATGAGAATGTAAATTATACAAAATCTAATAAATATTTTTAAAAAAGTTAAAGATCATGTGAAACACCATTGTGTCCTCTTTCCAATGATACCCTGTGCGCCTGTGGCCAGGATTACTGAGCATTCATTGTTATTCTGTCAAGGGTCAAAACCTGCATGGGCCAAGTTTTACCTGGCTGAGATTGCTGGCTGGTTTGTTATGCAAAGGTTGAAATGGACTAGACTTCGTGCAGAGCTTTGTGTGGAAAGAGGTGGTGGCCACGTTGAAGGCATTGGGCCATGAGGGGTGAACTTCAACAATGAGAGTGGTTAAATCACTTCTGAACTGAATAAATTGTTTTAAAGGAAAGGATGGCTTCTTTCTTTGAATTAAGCCGTTCCACATGCCCAGAATACCAGTTACCATTTTGCACAAACTTAGCCCAGTGCAGGTTTTGACCCTTGACAGAATAACAACGAATGCTCAGTCATCCGTGGCCACAGACGCACAATCAAGCATTGGAAAGAGGACACATTGGTGTTTCACATGAACATCTCAGCGCACGGCTTTCATTCAGTCTTATCAAATTCGTTAATTCCGTATTCAAAGGAGTTTAATGAAATACCTGAAAATCACTACGGACATCCTCCATCGTGCCGCTGATAAATGTGTCACGTTTGCTCTTGTCTAACCTTTCATTATCTCGACTATAGAGGGCGTACACATCAGCAAGGTTGTTTGGACTGCTTGCACCTAGCCACTCCGTCGACTGAAAGTAAACGTGAAAAATTATCACTTAAAAAAAGTGATCGTTACCACTCAACCTTACATAAAACAAATTGCTAATAACCAGAATCAACAACTCGGATGATGCTCATTGTGAAAACTATATTGAAAGCCTTCACTTGGTGTGAGCAATGCTATACTAATAAACTTGATTTTCCCTCGTAAAGCTGCATTATCATTTCAGAGGAGTTTGCAGGCTGCATGTCAGAGCGGAGCACTTAAAGGGCCCAAGCAATGTAATTTTTTAATGCAATCCTAACACCTTTTTGTCCAAATTAACCTTATTTTCAATTTTCGTTTCGCCATTTCATTGGTATTTTGGTGCCTTTGTGTTTTTTGTGCTTAAGCAAATTTCCATATTCATGAGCAAAACTGCGATGTCATTTCAGGCAGAAACCCCAGTGTTACATCTATTTCAGCACAAAAACATTGCCAGAATTTTGGATTTTTTTTGGAAATGTTCTTTTCTTTGCTGATTCATCGTTGCATCAGTACATGGCAGTTAGCCAATGAGCAAACTTTTCTCACGAATGTTTTCAATGAGCACATTTTTTGGTATCACAATATGAACAGAAAATCCCTCAAAACTGAACAGTGTCTTCCTGAAATGACATCACAGCAACAGCGCCCTCAGTTGTCCAGAAAAGCATGGACAATTTCAAATGTTTAAAGAAGCGCACTTTTTGATAAAATTAACCAAAAAGGGATTTCAAACAGTTTTCGTAAATTTAAAGAGGAGTAGAAAGTTGCAAAAAAAAGTTTCTTAGAAAAATTCATTGCATGGGTGTGCCCTTTAACATAATGTCCATCAATGAATGATTAATATCCCCTAACTCCCTAGGCATTTTTGCAAGGATGCAACTTCAATCCTGCAAAATCTTCCAACTGCCTCCATGTAAAAACTGCATTCAGCCTCAATCCTCCAAAATCCTCCGTTATTTCTTGAATGTGGTCCTTGGAGGGGTGACCACTGCCTCAATCCTGCACAATCCTCCAGCAATCACTGTCAATATGTTGAGGCAGAGCCAGTGACATCCTGGAGCAGTGTGGAGGATTTCAAGTATAATCGGGGCCTAAATTTATGCACGGCTGGGCATAAACAACACAAGGTACGGCCCAAGACCTTGACACAGTGCATCCTCCAAAACCAGCTACACATTTTTGCAAAGCCTCAATCCTGCAAACTCCTTCATTTTGCAAAGAGGATTTTGGAGGATTTGGGAAGGTTAGGCCTAAGAGTGAAGTCTTATTACCAAACCAAGACACTTACAGGTGGTCCAGCTGATTTCTTGAGGGCTTTCTTGGCCAAGTACTGCGTCTTGGCTCCTTTGCCGGTCCGATCAGCCATCCATAAAGCTCGTTGGTATGTCGTTAGTCCAGACACTGCCATGTGAAGGCTCAATGTGTCCAAGAAACGAGTCTTGGTACCCTACAGATATCAGATAATTGATCAAACCATCAGCACATGTTTTACATTGTACAGCGTGAGTCACAAAGAAAGTGACTTGGATTTTATTTGATTAAAATACAATCAAATTTGAAACACCAATGAAGTATATTTTAAAAGAGCATGGTCTTTCACTCATCTGAAAAGAATTACTGAAATTGATCCATGCTATTCGAAGTAATGTATGTTTTACTAAAAAAAAACTATTTTTATAGCTGTCCATTGAATGCCATTGGAAGCTATTGAGCTGAGTGAGAATTACAGATTACACACAGGCATTCAAAACCAAATGAGATTTCAATCATTTGAGTCAAGACTGAAACAGTATTTTTACTGTCAGATTTGTTTGTTTTGATTGTGTGGAACAAGACAAACCTTTTTTTGGTTGAAATATTGATGGCAATTTTTGTCTGTTTTCCTTTGCAACTCTTCGTTTATTTATGGAGGTGTGAAACGTCCATGTCTTGGTGTTTTCAATGGGTATTCGTCATGGATGTTGGCCAGCTGCATTTTGTGATCTTTTATTAAAACAGGCGTAACTTGTGAAAAGAGTATGCAAATTCAGTGAAATGTTCACAGTTACTACAAGTCAATAACATGTTCTTTATCCTTATGTTTATTTTATGACGTAGGGCCAGCCACATTTTTTTTTTATATTTTTTTTTCAAATTCGGTCACTTTCTTTTTGACTCGCTCTGTATTACATTGTGATTATTATTTGCTGAATCTGTGTAGCCTTGCAGTTTTGGACTGTGTGGGGAGTGATAAGCAGGGCAGTTTGGGGTGGTACAGGGTTACCATATTGGGTTACATTGTGATATTGCATGTACAGGGTGAGTAAAAAAAATACGCATCACAAATGGCAGGACCAATTTTTGAATGAAGTTTTGCCTGTAGCACTTTCAAAATCTAGGATATGAAAGCCCAATCAATGGGCTTTCCTTCAGAACAACAATCATTCAAATCACTCATTTGCTTTTCAAGTTACGGCATTTTGAAAACAACCATGGTTTTAAAGTTCTGTCCACGGATCACAAAAAAGGTAAGTGTTCTTGCAGCAAAATGAATTCACATGCATCCCTGTGAGAATTGTTTTCGTTTTGCTGAAAGAACACTTACTTTTTTGTGATCCGTGGACAGAACTTTAAAACAGTGGTTGTATTCAAAATTCGATAACTTGAAAAGTACATTAGTGATCTAAATGATTCTTGTACTAAAAGAAAACTTAATGACTGGGCTTTCATATCCTAGATTTTCAAAGTGCTACAGGCAGAAATTCATTCAAAAATTGGTCCTGCCATTTGGGATGTGGTGTTTACTCACCCTGTATAGGATACATAGATTGAAAGCCGACTTTGTTTTGTAATCGAAAAATGAAGTACCTTCAGGTAATACTGTTCTTTGATGAAGCTGCGATCGAAACTGACGTTATGACCAATGATGAGGCGCTCTTTCCAACGAGTTGATTCAGATGGTCTAAATGATGCAGCCGTTTCCATGGGGATGAGATTATCAGGTGTGATGCGGGGAGAGAGAGTCAGATGTTCTTCGACGAGACGTTCACTGCACCACGAGTACCTACAGACAATAACGAGAAGATAGAAGCACTTGTCTACAGCTACATGTAGTCTGAAATTTTGGGACTCTCAATACTGTGTATGAGAGTCCCAAAACTTATGGTATTGAAAACATGCAACAAAAGAAAATAGACTGGCTTCTGAAAACAACCAGTCCAACAACCCTTCAGTACTGCATCAATCAACTGTGCCAAAAGAATATGTGGCATGAACCAGGAACTAGTCTCTATTTACTACACATTTCTATAGTCAGCCACCAGACTAATGACGAGTGACGAGGCGAGTCTTTTCAAATAATTGGACCATGGATGGATGGACATGTACCAGTCTAGTATTTAGCCTCATTTTGAAATCACTTGACTTCCCTCTCATGTGCAAAATACTGAAGAAAAGTCTCCTTTAAAAATTGACTTGAATCTTCAAACTTGGTTGGTGAAATACTGAGGATCTTTTCTTTGCCCAATGAAAATTTTGGAGAATTTTGCTGGCTTTTAAAAGAGTGAGTAAAATTGGTCTGATTTAGTTTTTCAGTCACTCAAGATTCCAGTCTGTTTTGTGACTAATGTTGGAATGACTTACAAATGATTTACTTTTATGATCTGATTAACCATAATTTAGTCTATTTTCAGGCCATCATTTCGAATGGATGATACAAAAGACAGTTTAATCGCAAGCACAGAAGATATGAATTTCACATTGTGGGTGTGTCTGACAGTAAAAACCAATTCCTACCAGGCTTCAGTTGAAGCAGCAACAGCTAATGTTGGGAACAGTCCCTCGGTCATCAAGCATTCTACGTCAAATACAACAGCGTCCTCCAACGGGTAATCAACGTCCACACGTCCGCCATTCCCATCATACATTGTCCAACCTTTCGTAAACGCCCACTCCTGAGGCATTGTGGGTAACGATCCAAAAGCCAACGCCTCCGACAGCTTCATGTATTTATCGCTCTGCTTGTTAGCCAGAATCTGGAAATGCTCGTCAATATTCCGGCCGTAAAGTTTAGGAAGTTTGAAGTTGACGTCAGGAAGGGTTTGCACGTCCTTGCCCCATAGACCATGTTCTTTCAGATGCTCGATGCTTTTCTCGATGTCGTCTGATGAGGGCGTCTTCTGTTTCCTTCTTTTATCAACCTTGAAGATTTGTTCGTGAAGGTGCTGAGATAACATCTGAATGCTGATTGGGTTGAATCTTGGCTTGTGGGCGGAGTCAGAACAAGTCCGATGGCATATTAAATGAGATGAATGGGTCATCACTCGTGACGCTCCAATCCACGCTTGGTATTTACTCCGGCATTGACGGCATATTGGAATCCTGGCCATGGTGCAGGTCTTGTAAAAGAATGCCATTTTGTCTTCAGGATCTGAAAATCAAATTTATGAGCAAAAAATAAAGACACTTGTAGTTTATTCCAATCAAAATTTATCATGCAGTGAGGCGCGCCTTGTGTGCGCTCTTCACCCGCGGCCGCGTAGTGCATCCAGGTACTTCAGAGAGCTCCAAAGATTTGTGAATGACAGGCAACGTCTGACTGTGGGTTTTTGGTGCGGGGCACATATCAGTACATGAAACAGTCATTGATTAAGCACGACTTGTTTTTCTTCAATAGTGACGTCACACACGCGCGCAATGAATTATGCATCAGTCATGTCAGTGAAATAGACTGTGCAACTCGGCAGACACATTTAATTGTGAGCGGTAAGTTCAGACTATTTTGTTCTTTTTTCAAAATTACCGGTTGTTTGAAACAATTTGAGGGGTCTTATGGAATGTCATGAATGTGTGGATCTATCCAGGGTTACTGTCTTCCTCATTTGTATTTTCTTGATCAGTTTTTTTGGGCCTTGTCCTCGCGAGGGCATGCACAAAATGCATACCGTCATGACGACCGTGTAAGTGCTACCAAAGTATGGCAAATCGGTGGAGCGTTTGTATGGAGGGGTACCCGTAATTCAACGCTCCACTCAGTAGAGCTAACACCTTTAGCATCCCAGAAGTGATAGATGAGACATCATTAAATACAACCATAAGAAAGTAAGAAACTGAGAATGTAAGAAACTGAGCGTAATTTTTTTGAAAACTTCGTCCTCAGTACTCGCGCGGTACCACGGTGTGTGGCCAGAGGTTCAGCGCAGCATACCGCGGCCACACTAGTGGGGCTAGGTGCGGACATCTGGGAATTGTTTACATTGGCTGATCTAGCTCCCTAGACCTTTGTTTTTGAAAGTTGAAACTCAATGGTTTGTGAGTCTGGAGTGCTGAATGGTAACTCATAGCAACCAATGCAAACTGGTGTGCAAATGAATGGGTATTTTCATTGGATGACGTCACTCCGCCCCGATCTATTGCCATGTCAGTGTTTTTTTCTTGATAGTGGATATTTTGCCGGAGGTAATGACGGCAAACTAACGTTTACTAAAGGTTTGCCGGCGGCAATCCATATCAACAGAGGGCGCTGTACTCTTTAAGATAGGGCTGAATTATAAGATGTATTAAATCCCCACCAAAACTTGTGTAGCACGTCTGGTGTAGTGGTTAAGCAAAAGCTCTAGTGAGCGGGATGACCTGGGTTCGATCCCGATCCCCGCCACATTTTTAAGGGTTTTTTTCCCATCCCCAAATAAATAAGAATATTCTTCTTTTATTATTTTAACATGTCTCAAACATTTTATTGCAGAATATTACATTTTCTTTTTCAGATTTGTGGGTCTGGAGGATTTTTTTTTAAAGGGAAATACATGTAAAGTCCGAAATTATAAAATGGTCTGAATCCCATCTTGTGAATACGAGGTTACAACGATAATATTGGCATGGAGCCAGACTAAAATTTGTCACCGGAAAATGTTTAAGTACAAAAAAACAGTAACTGCGCATGTTTACTCCTAGAACTATACTAGAGTTAGAACCCCGCAAAATTGTTGTCAGCACAAAACACTAATTAAGTACAAAAACGTCCATCCCAACCAAGCCGTTTCCCACAGAACCGCTGCACAGTTTGCCCCTAAACTCCGTACAATACCTCATGACATACTCACGTTATGTGCACCAAACAAACATCGGTGGATTCTGTCGGTTTTTCGGCAAAAATGATGAAAAGTATGCCCTTTCCGCACTGAGACAACCTGACACTTGAAACGTGCACGCGCGCAAAACGATCGCAGTCATTTTCGGTTCGATCGCTCGGAGCGCGCCGCGGGGGGTATGGTGTAGGAGCGGAACGATAGTATGCGCATGCGTACAAGTGCAAGTACGTACCCCCCGCAGCATGCTCCGAGCGATCGAACGAAAATGACTGCGATCATTCTGCGCGCGTGCACGTTTCAAGTGTCAGGTTGGCTCAGTGCGGAAAGGGCATATTTTTCATCATTTTTGCCGAAAACAGACAGAATCCACCGATGTTTGTTTGGTGCACATAACGTGAGTATGTCATGAGGTATTGTACGGAGTTTAGGGGCAAACTGTGCAGCGGTTCTGTGGGAAAAAGCTTGAATGGGATGGACGTTTTTGTACTTAATTAGTGTTTTGTGATGACAACAATTTTGTGGGGTTCTAACTCTATGAGGCTCCACAGGAGTAGCGCATGTTCAGTGCATATCCGGCAAACTAACGTTTACTAAAGGTTTGCCGTCTCCGGCAAAATATCCACTGCCTTTTTTTCTTCATAATACATATCATATATTCCAGTAATACCTACATTTTATGAAGTCTGCAAATTTTTCGTCAATTTTGAAGTATGAAAAATGTGGCTGACAGTGACACTGACACTGTGACAGCTTCAACTTACTTAGTGTCTTAAATAGACGTTCTTTCCATTGATTTGTGTACACACGTCATGTCGCGTGGTCCGACTCACTTTTCTCCAGACTCCACGATTACAAGTTATAAAAGGTTCCTTTTATTTCTCTCAGTTTTGATCAATCAAGAACGAACCTCACTATAGATGAACGACAACTATTTTCCTCCAATCAAAACAGGCTAAGCAAAACTATTCTACTTACAGTTACAATCTACACGCAACTGCCAGCCCACACATTTTGCCAATGTTTTGGTTTTAAAGTTACGCGCTTGATTGTCGAAAGAGGGCGGCATACAACATATACGGCGCGCGCTCAGATCACAAACCGACCCGATGCCCAAAACCATTGATCTCCATATACACAGACTGGATAGGACATCGCGTACGAACGTGCGTCCGCGCGCGCGTTTTTTGAAAAGGGTAAAGAACACGATTTCGCATTTGAGTTGTGTACACTTTCGAACGGAGGATTAAAAAATGAAGTTGGGTTTTCTTCGGTTTCTTTGTCATTTTTGAAAGAATGAAAGAAACAGAGATCTAAATTGATCAAAATCGACGAGGAGTATAGTCAAGGTGTGCGCAGCATTAGATTGCTGGAGTCGGGAAGTAAGGAGCGTTGAAGAAAAGGACAATTATTCGCAAGTAAGTTGTTTTTTAACGAGGCCTATACAACATGGCATGGAGGAATATAAACATAGCAAATTATAATAGTGTTGTCGCTCTGAGTTTGAGGGGATGGAGGCCTGTGTGGTAGCTAGCGAGATATTCTGTTCAAATTCCATACGATCTAGACCTGTCATGCTGGTCGCCGTCATGTTTTGTTTTTTTATAGACATCGGCCTAAACGTGCATGACTGACCCGGCAATGGCAATGAACAAATGTTGACTTGTTTAAAATAGTTTATTCGAATAACCTTTATAACTTTTATATGCAAAATCTGATTGAATTAGGCTTTAGCTCTACTGAGTGGAGCGCTGGAACTTCGGTACCCTCCGTACAAGCTTGTACGGAGGTATAGACCCGTGAACGTGGCTTGTAAACAACGCCACGTTCACGGGTCTTCGGAAGGTACCGAAGTTCCAGCGCTCCACTCAGTAGAGCTACCTTGGCTTAACGCCTACCGAAATGTTTCTATTATTTTTCTTTATAAAGAGAAACCGAGGAGATGGTTTATGCTAACTTACTGCACAACTGGCCGATTCACATGATATCAAACAAAGAACTTCAACAAAGCCATATAGCAAAAACCACCAGCTGCAGGACGATATCCGAGACGGACGAAAATGGAGAACTTCACGGAGGGATGGAATCGACTGTATCATCCACTGAATGGAACATGCGATGTGATAGGCATCTGAGCGTTTGACTAACTTAATCAATTTTTACGATTTGGAACTGTTAACATTGATTGATTTTGGTTTTGGAAAGAAGTTGTGGAGTTCAACGCAAGTATTTTTATGAGCTCCCAAGATGACTGTCACATTATTGACAGTTTGTATGGTGAAGAAAGCAATGAGTACTTTTACGGTTTGAAATTATGTTGTGTACGCCGTTATATAAGATTACTAGCTATAGCCATTAATACACCGTCATATTCGCTCACAAAAACGATTCCCATTACACTTACAAGTAATTATATGTATTTTCAGAAGTATAACTAAACATTTAATTATAAACGAGACCGTGCGTAGCTTGAATTATTCTTTGAGAAAATTTGTATAGTACTATTTTGGTTTGTGATTCATCTCCTTTCACACAATATCACAAGAGGTGAACGATGTCATTCCCTGATCAATCTAGGGACGGGAAGAAGTTTTTACTGATTACTTTGTAAAATTAAGGTTTGTTTACCTTTTAGATTGTAATTAGTGTATGTTCATGTTTTAAAAAAAAATATATATCAATCATTTGAATGAATCTCCATACAATTTCTCGTGTGAGTGTTCAGTTAAAAAATATGATTTCATTTTAGCATATTATTAATACAATTATTCATTTCGTTGATGGAGTAATTCAGTGTGCTCTAATGAACAATGTGCCAAAAATGAAATGGCAATTTACTTACAATCCTTTCTGGGAGGAGGAGGGATTAAAAAAAAAATAAGGGAAAAGGAAAGGGGGGGGTTCTTGAATTTCGAAAATGCATAATAAGAAAGTGTACATCAAGAAAGTGTGGAAAAGCTGTTTGGAGGGATTGAGGGTAACCCTTATTTTTTTTTTTTAAGATTGTTTTGGAGGAACGCTTGAACTCCCTTCTGTAAGAAAAATTCCACACAATAGTCCATTTTCCAAAGTAAACAAAGTGAAAGCACAATGCGCGTTTACCCGTCTGACAGTAAACGCGCCGCCATTGTTCGGCCGCGCATTCGTGCACAAACATGGCGCGATGTCCTATCCAGTCTGTGTATATGGAGATCAATGCCCAAAACCGACTTCGGGTCGGTTTGTCCATCATTTTTAATAGTCGGGTCGGGTCGGGTCGGGTCGGTTTCGGTATTACGTTTGCGATTTCTGGGTCGGGTCGGGTCAGTTAAGCCATTTTGGAAAAAAAAACCCCGAAATAAACCGAAATAAACCGAAATGAACCGAAACAGAATGGAATTTCACATGGTGCACTATTTAGTGCAGAGTCACTGTGCGCGGTGCCACTGAAAATGGTAGTATGTGGTCTGTCTCGATCGGTCTATAACATGTAGGCCCACCAGTAGGTCACGTTGTGAGTGCCGCACGGCATGATTCAGTTACTGAAAGGCAACATTTTCTTTTTACGCGAAGTGGGTCAGTTCAGGCGCAAAAAGCTGACACATTTTGCCGAAGTCAGATATTCGGTTTTTTCGGGTCGGTTCGGTTTCGTTTTTCTTTGAATTGTTGTCAGGTCGGGTCGGGTCGGGTCAGTTTTAGGTAGTCAAGTTCGGTTTCGATTCAGATTCGGTTAATAAAATAAATGTTGGTTAGGTTCGGCCTCGTCAACCCGACCCGCGACATCAACAGGCGATGGGCGCTCGCCAGCGCCACCGTCCGAGGGCGCTGTTGACCACTAACCTTCATAATATTTGTTTTTGGTTAAGGGAACGCAGGCGTTTTCAAAATAATTTATATAAATGTATTAGAGGAATGATGGACATGCAGTTTCAGGAAGTCCGTTTCTAAAACTGTGCGGGGGTGGTTCAAGAAACAAATTTCTCGATTTTCGGGGGGGGGGGGGTTGCAGTTGCAAATTCGAAAAGTGGGCCGGAACCATTACCATGCCACCGTTGACCCAGTCTCCCCCCCCCTCCCCCACTCCCCTCATCTCCCCCTCCTCCCCCCCCCCCCCCACCCCACCCCACCCCGACGTTAAATTATAGCATATTATGGCTGCTCAAAAATAGAATTAGAATTATTATCTGAGCAACGTTAACGACTAGCCGTTTCGAAGTTCCGGTCCTTGAACTTTATGTAACATAATAGCGGTGGTTTGAATATAGGTAATGGTATAAACTGCATCTATAATATTGACGAGCATCATAAATATAGAATTACAATGGCGTCCGAGCGTTTACCCAGCTTTTGTACTTTACGTAACATATGGTGTTTTAAAGAGACACGTTTTATGGCATTTGTTGCATTCCCAGAACAGGGACATAATTAGTTCAAATTGCATTTTGGCCGCTGCCAAAACAAATTTTCGGAGCACTGAATCAGTTTGTGAAACTAGAGCAAACGGTGAGATCAATTTTCGGGTTTCAAAAGAGGGGAAAATGGCCAGAGATGCCAACCTGCGAGTTCCCTCTGCACTTTAACATAAAGTTCATTCGAATCAACAAGATCAAATATTTTATCCATCCTACATGAATAGTCTATGTCATTAGTTTCCCTGTAAAATACATTAATATTGTCGAATAAAAAGCAACTTTATATTGTGTACAAGGGGCCTACGATTACAAGGTTTGCTTCTTAGTAGGTTCCTCTACAGTTTCACTATTTGTCTATAAAGCACTTGTTTGTATTAATTACCATAATCAAAATACATGTCACTGTGGAAAATAAATGAACAATGAACAATGAACAAAATAATTGCTTCCTTATGTGTCTCTTTATCCCAAAATTTCACCCGTCACCATCCCCACCCCCCGCCCACACGCCCTGTCCCGTTTGTGCACGGTGCATTCAAATTAGTCATTCATAATGTATTATAGACCTGATAATAAGTGTCTCCCTTTTAAATTATGTTATGTCAATTCGGTCGGGCGCATTTTCCCCTTTTTAAGGCCCAGTATTTTGTCCCCTCCTTGGCTCGGAAAAAAATGGCAGCAGATACAACTACAAAACGCTCTTCTAGAGTAGAACAGTCTCTATGTATGCGTGGATATTGAGACGGGATCTGTGCTAGAATTAGACGGGTAATCTTGTATTGATCAACTCGGACAGATTTAATTAAAATGAAATGACCGATGTTCCAAGCTAGTCACTCTGACTACGCTGCAGGTGCTGCAGCACGTCAGTTTACACAATTCATCTCGAGAAATCTTTAATTTGGTCTCAATGTTAATTGGGCAAATGGAAGACACTTGTTTTAATCAGTCGAAGTATTGATTCGTACACTGAGCCGTGTGACTGAAGGTTTGTGCATGTGGGCAAAATAGTTCATTTGTATGTTCGTGCCACTTCAACAGGCTTCCATAAGTACATTTATATTTTATATTTTCATGTTTACTTTTTTGGCAATTTTTCATGAACAAATTTTACTCTGCAAATCGTTTATTAGGGGTAGCTGTTTCGTTGAGGCACTTTTAAACCAGCATTACTGTTTCGAAAGCGAAAACTGTAGAAAACGTTTGAATAAACCCAAGTTGATTTTTAAAGATTACAAGTTATTAACAACTGAAGAGCCTGATTCAGTAAAAAAAAAAAAAATGTAAATTTTATACATTTCAGCTTTGTACTCCTTCCTCTCCGACTAGTTTTGAATGTTTTCCAACTTGTATTATAATCATATTGCGTGTAAGAAATTCAAAACCACAGATATGAATTGAATGATACATGCATTGAATAAAGCGTATACTAAACTATACACACACCGCTTACTTATAACACGCCCTGTTGGGGTTTTGTCCCCTCAAATTATGGATCATGTTGTGATTGGTCCGTTTAGTCTGACGTCATTTTATTCCCCCTGACACGTAAGTATGCAATGCTGTACTCACTGATCCCATGATACTAACGTCTTGAATCGAGGCAGACCGAAGTAGCACTAGGCGGCAAAGCATTGTCATTCATTACTGTACACATTTCCAACGAGTCGACAATAAAGCTAGGTGCTTCTCATTCTATCTGCATGCTTAGTGTGTCTTCATCAACGAGCAACGGAACTTCACTGATTCGGTAAGTACAAACTTTGCGAGCCTGCGCCTCTGACCTTTTCAATATTTTTTTCCAAAAAAAATAAAAGTTTAACGAAACCATTTATTTATGTTTTTATTTATTTGTTATTTATTTAGTTTTTTGTCTTTGCACAATGACAAACAAAGTAGGAATTATCGTTCGTGAATGCCACACCTTTCAAAATCATTATTTTTTTCCTTTTTTCATGACCACAATCAACAGACATTATACTTGTTTTGATGTATATCCTAAATGTATCAGATCACTAAGGCCTGAAAATTGAACCTCTATGCGTTTGGGTAGGAGTCATGGGCGTGGAAATAATTTTTTTTCTAGAGGGGGCAAAGCGCTCAAACTCCTTGAACTTTATCAAGCATATTCTCAATTTATCATTTTGTCGAGGTTGGGCGGGGGACATTTGCCCATCCCATCACCCATTGACACCCATGCAGACGCTCATGTTGTTGTTAAATGTGCATTAAATTAACAGCAATATGACTTCGGCGCACCTCGTCTTCCTTTCCCCCCCCCCTTTTTTTCTCCTTTTTTTCGAGGGGGGCAAGGGGAGGTGGCAAGCGCCCACTTGCCCACCCCCCCCCCCCCCGCGACGCCCATGGTGGAGTCAAAATAAGTAGTCACGAACGTGTATTTTCTTTGTTAATACATGTACTACGTTCCCCTACGTTTCGAATTCGCTTTCATGTAATCACCAGTTACTTTATATTTTGTTTCAGGAAAAATCAATGTCCTCATTAAGCATTTCTTATTTGAAAGGGTGGCACTCATGGCTTGAGATGCCCCCTAACACTCACACATTCTCTTTCAATCAGTGGCGTAATCATACGGTTAAAATTCGGGGCACCTGGGGTGCACGCATTTTCCAAGGGGCGACGTGCACCCCCGCCCGCCGCCCCCCCCCCCCCCCCCCCGCCGCTAGTTACGCCACATTCAATATTAGATGGTCACGTGGTTTTTCTGAATATGACAGTGTAAGGACTATATAAAACAAGAGAATAAAATCACACGAACTCACCCCATTAACCATCGACACGAGTCAAAAATCAGATTGATACTGGGAAAAGAGTCAGTTTGGGTCGTTTCTTCAATTAGAAAGGAACCTTTTCCCGGTCAAATCATTAACACAGCATCAGTTCCGACAGCATCTAGACAGCTTATGCAATATGCATTATAAATTTCGGATGGAAAATATGGTCCTTTTTAAAGACACTACACTGAAGATATATGTCTGGTATAGCAATTATAATCCCGCACACATAGGAGTAGGTTAGAAGAATAATACTGTCTGATAATATTTGTCTGATGAATATATTTTAATATGAAACAATAATTCATGACCTGGAACGGAAGGTTTTTTGGTCACAACTGGCCGCCCATCATTTCACGAAGCATCTGGATTCCAAATCTTAAAACAAGAAACGCATAGAAAATGTCATTTGACATGTTTACTGGAACTCCTTTTCGCTACGGCACGCTGCAATCCATCCAATTAAAGTTATCTGCAGTGATCAATTAGAAAAGGTAATACGGAGATTAGGCGTTGAAGCGTTCTTATTGGAATGCCTTTGCATAAAACTAATTCTCATATAAGCCTGAATAAAGATTAAGCGAAATTGCTTGACGACGTTTCCTAGTAATATGGATATCTAGTACGTCATGTATGAATAAATATTAACGGAAAATCAATGTGAGACGGTCGTGGCCTTTACATTAATCACTGGATAGATGAATTATACAAGTACAAACCAGACTGGAATTGTCTGAATATTCGAACTTTATCAAAGTCAACTGTATTTAACATAACAGTTACTGGACAGTTTGCATGCAAGCCCCAATTTCTGAAGCTCGATCATTTGGTATGGTTGCATTTTGGGACAGGATAAAACTCGGATATTGGCGCAATTTAAGCAAACCGTTCATTCTTTGGCAGTGAAGTGAGAATATTGATTTCACTGTGTGTCCTCGATAAAAACAGAACTTGAAGACAATTAGGCGACATCTGTGCTGCTTGGTAAGACTGCCCGAATTAAAACAAGAAGCTTATCACAGGCTCGAAATAGATTTTCTCATCAAGAGTCTGGTCAATTTAATTAAACTGTGCAGAACCAATAATAGATGTTGAAAGCAGATGTGGAGTTGATTAACTCAATGACTTATCGTGTTTATCTGAGCTGCGAAGATGATGTGCAATTACAGATTCACTGCTTTCTAAGCCTATATCACATCAACGGCTGAGCAACTGACTCAACATTCCAAATTATACAACAAATCTTTGTAATAATTATTTCCCTACGCAGGTACAAGTGCGTATAGCCAAGATGGTACCACACCACTTCACCGTCGGTTTATGTCTTCATGTGCTCATGCTGCTTCCATACCACTCGGTCTTGGCCGGTTATAAAACTACCAGTTATGGTATGCAAGGTGGTTCTATGACATATGGAACCAGTGGTCGGATCAGCAGCAGTGGTAGTACTAGCAGCAGGATCGGTGGTGGCAGCATGGTTGCGCGCTACACCGGCCTGCAACATCGCGATCTCCTCGACGACGACAACGGACATTACGTGTGCTCTCTCCAAGACTGCATGCCATACATCCGCATGGAAGTCACCATCGAACTCAGTATTCAACAGAAACTTGAAGTCCAACGTAAGCGGAGGTTCATTCGTAAATGGCGTGGCGATAACAAGCTCTACCGCGCCTCAGCCAAGATTCGGCACACCCCTATAGTCACACTGACCCCAGCACAGCAGTCGCAAATCCTGTCCCGATTTGGCAACTACTTCACGTCAGGGGAAGACCTACCACCGATCACACACGTTGGAGCCAGAGAGAAGCGCAGCGCTGTCAGCATTTGTCCACGTGTGGAGCAGTGGGATGCCTTGGTGTTGGGCTTAACGAATGACGATGAACTTGTCCAAGTTGTGCAGGTGAGACAAAGACCCAAACTTTAGACCAATCGGAGCACAGGCCCCCTTCCATGGCGTAAGCATTGTGCTAGCTATTGTTCAGATAATCTGTCACAGGGCAGCTGCTTTGTACAATAGCATGCACAATTATTTCTCCATTGAAAGGGGCCTCATGAATGTACAGGGCGAGTAAAAATAAAAAGGAGACTCAAATAACAGGACCATTTCTTAATGAAGTTCTACATGTAGCACTAGAAGAACCAATTAAAATCATTTCAACCAGTTATCACCGTAGATGTTTTTTTGACGTTTTGGGTTCGCAAATGCTATAAAAACCAAGAAAAACAATCGTTTTCCTGTAGTCTGGTTCTCTGACTCCATTTCAGATGAAACGGAGCAATTTATAAATATTTGGGATTTGTAGGGTCAGGAATTGTACCCCTTCATGTGAACAAAGGATTTTTGGAAGAACATGAAAATATAATTTTAGAAAAATGGCTTAAATAAGTGGTTTTTCAAGTCCCGTTTTGCTGTACTATCTTTTGAACAAAACATCTTATAATAAAACCAACTAAGAAGCATTTGGAACGGTCCTCAGCAACAATATTAGACATCAAGTTTGAATACTGCCCCCACTTTAAAAACATGCCCGATTCGACGTTATTTTTTTTGGTGGGACAGACAACCTGTACACAATTTCTTCCGCCCAATTTAAACATGTAAAACAACAGTCCTGGAAATTTGGGGAAAAGGGGATCAAGACATGGAAAAATGGGGTGAGCAGACTCTCCACCGCTGTTCCAGAGGCTCACATTCGCTTATTCCCCCCCCCCCAGCCCGCCCGCCCGCCCGCGATTTTTTTTCTCCCAAACGACATCTGCATAGATGGTTGTTTAGCGCCCTCTACGATACTTTTACGATACGCACGCAGGTATATAATTATTTGTTTCCCTGGTTGGTTTACTGAACACGGAGTTAGTGTGGTTTTCGCAATTCAACTGCACAATAAAACACAGTAATACGCCAGACGGCGAAAAATCCAAAGAAACGTAAACGTGAACGTTATTTTCGTTCCGATTGAGACACTGATAAAACGTCGCAATCAAATTAGTTTTTTTCGGAGGTGTTTTTTTCATCAAGTGTCTTGCCAAAATGTCACAGTCCTATTTGATAAAAAAAATTTCTGTCGTTTTATTGTTATATCTCCAATATCAAAAACTTATTTGTAATATGAAAAAGTGATTGAAAAGACGTCCTCCGGTGAGCTGTTTTTACCCCCAAAGAACTGGATACAATTCAGCCACAAGAGGGCGTGTTGTACGAGCTAAAGCACGGGCATGCGCACAAACCTAATGTTGCCCTGGAAACAGCGGTGGATTTGGTCAGTATCAAATCAGGCAGAGAAAGTGGCAGAGAAATTATTCGAACAAGTCAATGGATATTTTGTTGTCCTAAAACGAATCTCCAGACCTAGTACATACTTAAATTTGGTGGGTTTTTTCTACTCAGTTTCCAGATACGGGCGACACGCAATGGATTCTAGATGAGCGGTGCGCGCAGACTGAATGCAGCTTCGTATCTCACTGTGGGTGTACCGCGCATACTCGTCTGGTTCGAGCCGCCGTCATCAGCTTCGACCAGTCGGTCGTAGCCGAGAAATACATCAAAGTGTACTGCTGTGTGGCTAAGTTTCTCAGCTGAGCCAATCAACACAAATTGAGATCAGCCCTGGTTCTTTACGGATATTTCCCTCAGGGTAGGGCTTACAAAATTAGCACTTACTTCAGAACATTATAGTTCGCGGGAATTCCAGAAGGGACAAAATTGTGAATTATTTTCCAGTTTATTTTCCTTTTTTAGAAGATTGTTGGTCGCACTATTATGCCTGAATCTCAAGAAGATTTGTCTCCAGACGTTTCATGTTGTAATGTTTCTTAGGGGCGGGGGAGGCTGGACAATGATTAACTGCGCTTATTTCGAAGAAGAAAATAATGTAATATTCATCCTTTTGTGTAATATCCTTAAAAAAACGAACTTTGGAGGACGAGAACGTCAACAAAAAGCAGACAAAAAGTCACGCTTAGCTCAAAGTAATGCAAATTGTGGGTCGATTTCGTTTTAAACTGTTCAAAAGTAGCTTAGAAAATGTAAAAATGAGCATGTGCCTGTTTCCTCTTAATGCATGAATATTTTTTGAATGATGCCAAGATGTTTAGTCTTGATATTTTACGTTAAAAAGGCAAATTAATTTCTCAACGAAGAGGGTGTCCTTTAAATTCATGCGAAAGCGTTGAGGGCACCGTATATTTGCGTTATGTACATTGTGTTTAATACTTTGCCTTTACTCGTTTGAATGTCTTTAATCGTGTTATGATCCATTACTAACATAATCCTTCAAAAACTCAGTATGATAGAAGATTAGCACACTGACTCTGTCAGCATTTAAAGATTTTAAACTTATCAAGGCTTTAAACTTCGAACTTTTGAGAAATTATTGGATTATTTAGCGATTTCATAAGATTGAATTTATAATAATTATAGTTTCCGCTTCAATAATCGGTTAAAATTAACATATATTGCTAATAAACGCATTTTTGCCCAAAACGGTTTTCTGATTTTTAAAATACCCGGAGAGTTAAATTAATATTGTTATTTTGTTTGAAGTTAAAAGTGAAATGTGCATACGGATTACGTATACGTGGGGGAAAAAACATCAACCACAAAACCAGCATTAAAAAGTGGGTCGGCTCTGTATGCTTCCAAAATAGCGCCACCAACGTTGGAGTGCGGTATCAAACACAGCGATGGATGACGTCCAAACAACAAGCACAAGGTTTATGCTTGCCGTTGAGGGCGGGTGTCTATACGTCTGAAGGTTTTTTGTTTTTTAAATGCACTGCATTAATCCAATCTTAATGAGTATCTGTTAGCGTTTTTGCGGACAAAACTCATCGAAACTGGATAATAATATTCAAACACATGACGCAACTAAATAATCGCACCCCTTAAAAATGTCTCAGAATGCAAATCGTACACCTCATCACAACACAATGCGATTGACTTTTTGATCATAGTTGGACATTTTGATCCTAGAAAAAAAAGTAATTAATACAACCTGCAGCTGTTTTCATCACAATTTCTAATTGATATTTTCCTCAAACATGTATTTTTAGCTAACAGAATTTAAATTGAGATCGATGTTTACAAGGTTTATGACAGTGAAAATGCCAACATCACATAAGGAACATCCCCTCGCCACGACAAGACGGAGAAACGTTAATCTCGTATCGGATTAAAGCAAAGTATTGTTAGGTATTAAGGATCCGCAGGTGGGTTTCGTGTTATTAGATTTATTCATGAACGGCACTGCGGTTTATTTGAGACTCTTACATCTGAACGAAGACTGATGTCACTCACCGACAAATCAGCCATTCTTTCCTTGCGTTGGGTCTCAACAGTTACGTTTTTGAAGCGACGTAAATCTTTTGTAACAGTTATTTTTCCGAAGTGGAAGCATGTTGTTGTTTTTTGTGATGAGTGCTGTTTTATGCCATCATATTTCTCAAGCAAATCATCAATATTTTGTTGGAAGTGATTCCAAAGACGCCTACCCAGCATGCAGCATCTCCGACTGCTTAGCGTACATCAACTTTCGAGAGACGTTACACTTGACGTATTTTCAAAAGCAACAAGTCAACTACCGGCGTAACTATCTCCGCAGCGTGCATGCACAGCCGGCTGACGAGCGCCGGGGCAGGAGCGCGTAGGCACGGTCAAAGGGTCATCGAAATCACGCTAGAACAACAGGCGAAAATCCTGGCGATGTATGGTAATTATTTCACGAAGAGGGGTGATCTGCCAGTCCAGAACTCAGTTCAGAAGCGAGATGTCGACATCTGTCCCCGGGTACAATCTTGGGACGATCTTATACTGAGGCTAACAAACGACGATGAGCTCATACAAGTCGTACAAGTAAGCTAATAACTTTTAATATTTTTAACCAAATTTAAAATAATTTTGTCAATCATTTAAAACGATTATTTATGCGATGGCTTCAAAACAACGGTTGCACACCATGTGTTCGTTAACTATTTTTTTTTTTTTTTTTTTTTTTGCATAACAAATTTTCATTCAGTACTGCTATTTGATACGGGGAGCATGACTAAAATGGTGGCAGCATGATAAAGGTCTATACCTTAAATCTAAAACTAAAGGTAAACTGTTATGGAGTTATTTTAAATGCACTAAAAATTGACAGCACCAGAAATTGTACCATCAAGAGTTACATCAAACCGGGCCCTTGGTGGTGCCACCTACCCGAGCGCTCGCAGCCATCCCCGGTACGCCTGCTCCGATTCCCCCACGGTCACCAGACCGATGTTACGCTGATCGGACATCCGGAAGAACTTTTTCAGCTTCGCGATTTCCTTTGGCTTCAGGTATTCCAAGAGTTTGTTCTTTGTGATTTGATAAGGAAACATTAAGCAATTAGCTTCTACTCCAGATATACCCGTCGCACATTTTCCGCAGTCCTGCATGCTCCCTCAGCGAAAATAAATCAGGAAATCTAGGGTTTTTTCCCAACAATTTTCTCGCACTGTAAAGTAACATTATTCTTGGTTCATCCCACTTTTTTGTGATGTTGCATAATTTTGTTCTTCGTCTTCATTTGTTTCCCAAATAAGACATTGGTATGTAAGCCCCGTAATGTAGAAAATGCCCCGTGTGTTTCTTCTAGTTTTATTCAATTCAAAGTTTAGAGAGTTCGGCGGCAAAGTTTGAACTCGGCACAAATATTTCTTGACCGCAAAATCGCCTAAATTCCAGCACGGCGGAATTCAATCGACGACGCGCGCGTGTTATATCAGCACGCGCGCGTACTTAATTTGCATGACAAAAGTTTTCGTCCGGAGAACGAGAACACGCTCCATTTTGTTACCTGCGGTTCTAGCTGCAATATTTTTATCGTCTCCACCATGCAGTAGTCCCACCAGGATACGGCGCCGTCGTTGTCTCGGTCGTACGTCCGGAACTACGATAACAATACACGAGGGAACATCGTGTTCGTTAACTATTAAAAAAGCAAACTCGGTTAACTATTAAAAAAGCAAACTCGATCGGAAATATCTCGGAAACTGCGGGCCGAGAATTCGTGTTCATGCGTGAGTCACGTGATTTCAGCCATGTAATTTCTGGAAGTAGTGTAAGTTTTGAGTAAAATTAAATCAGCTTTTTGACCCTAGTGACCCCATGACGACCTTTGACCTCAGTTGGGTCATGTGACATGTTGGGGCTGGGCTACTGATACTTTTAACAAAGTTCAGTCAAAATCGGTCAAAATATGTAGGAGCAATAGACAATGTCAACGTTTGTTACAAACTAACGAAGATACATGATGATTTGTTGAGATGCTATCCCGCAGCTAAAAACACTTGACGCGTGACAAAGTTTGCAAAATTAACACGATAAAAGTGGGGATCAACAATTAAATGAAGTTTATAAATAATTCACGATTAATTCAACAATCGTTTTTCCATCGGCAAAAAGAAAACCTCTTTCGATGTAGATCTGCATCCACGCCCTGAAAGTCGTCGCACATTAAAAAGTCCCCAATTTCTCTGGAAATGTTGCTAAAATCTTCGATACTCTTATAATTTGTCGCAATCTAAACCTGGACTTTCTTTCCACTTTTTGATTATTTCAGTTTGACAATGATAACAGGCAATGGATCCTGGAGGAGTCTTGCTCCCAGTCCACCTGTAGCTTCGTTCCGCAGTGCGCCTGCGGCACATGGACCCGTCTGGTGAGGGCGCTCGTCGTCAACTTCGATGAGACGATCATCGAAGAGAAATACATCAAGGTTTATTGTTGCATCGCAAAGAAAATATCAGTTTAGAATTGAGAAATATTTTGAAATGTGAAGCGTCTGCAGAGTAGAATTCATCAATTAGGGATGGCAAATGCAATTTCTGTTGATAATTAATAAGTAACACCTTCTAATTTGAAAGAAAGCTTTTAGTACATCCATTACTAACAAAACTGAGAATTTAAAGGGGCATTACGGCCAAAACTCACCGAAATTTTCATGTTTTGGATTGTTTACTTATCCTATTTCAAAGGTCTGGTTGAAAGAACACTAACCTAATGTCTTACCGTCCCGAAAAGACGGGGGAAACCCAGTTGTTGTTGTTGCATAAGGATACGTATTTCAAGTCGTCTCTTTTCAATGAACTGGACGAGTGTACACATTTTTATGGTTGTGTCACATAAATTACACACAGCACCAATACACAAATATTGTTTCTTACACGTCCGCAGAATGCGACCCACTGTGCGGCAGGATTCACAACTAGCACTCACAGCTCGATTTTTCTGGGACAAAATTGTGACCCCGAAATCCGTTCTCCCATGGTTCTCGCAGGAATAACACAATATAATTTCGTTTCAAACGAGTTTTGTAGCCCAATTTGGCGCATTCCAGGCCGTAATATCCCTTTAATGTGGGTTAACTACAGTATTTAAAACATATTCTGTATCTTAGTCTAAATATATAAATTATAGTTGAATCGATTTCCCAAAGATATTACTTGAAACAAAATTTGGTCATATCGTTACAACATAATCACGACAGAAAGAAAATGTTAGTTTAAAATGAATAGAAATTCATATGAACTTACGAAAGCTCCATGTTGTGTGTCCTTTGTGTGTTTCTCAGCTTTATCCGTGTTTATTACTTTGTCTTGCGGTTCATTGAGGCTAGACGCAGATTCCTAAACGGTCTCTACAAAATCTCCGACTCGCTCTAACCACAGTGCAAATGTATTCATATTTAGACAAAAGATATGCATTATCTCTAATTCTTTAAAAACAATTGTTAAAAAATATTAAAGGGCATGTTTCGGAAAATTTGGCAAGTTTGCTCGAAGTTGTGTAATTTACTGCATGCAAACCACCTCAGAACCCTAACAATTGCATTAAACACTTAAAGTGAGAGACTGCAATTTCAAGCCTGGTTTACGGTATGGAAGACTAGCAATTATCACTTAATTTCATGCGATGAGGTAAAAACCAGGCCACCGTTTGTTGTATGTGTTCCGCTAGCAGGTGTGCATACTGCCGCTGTCACATTAAATTAACGTACACAGGGCCGGCGTTGTTTCAATTTTAATTGCTAAATAAATATTATTTAAATATGATCAGAATATTTCAGTAACAGATAGAAGTATTCAAAGGTTATTTAGAAACAAAATTACATAAATCCTTGGTATTATAAAGGGAAGTTTTGTGAAGGGAGCCAGTCAACAAATTCTTAACACGTGAAGCTTAATAACGTATGGAATTATGGAAAATATAATTGTATGTATTCGTAACACCTGACGTCCGGTTTGATGACGTTACAGTATTTTGAAGCAAAACGTGAACATTGTAGGGGATATCGTTATTTGGGCTACGAATATATATACAACATGATTCAAATGATAGAATTAAATTTAACATATTATCGTTTTAAAATTCTCATAGAAGTAACTTCCGGTCCGATGACGTCATGAATTTGGAACCTTGCTAAAGTATCTGTGGCTAACCAAAGAATATCAAGGGGCAATTTGGTAAAATTTGAGCCTATCGTTTTCAAATTAAAAAAAGCAAACACTATTTTATGTGCCGCTAGGGGGCGCCCTTTCGAATGATGACGTCATCACACTGTTTTTTGCGTCTAACATTCCTCACTAAACACTTTCATAATTTATATGTGTGTAGTAAAAAGCTCCCACTTTTGAGTTATATGACGTTTTTATTGCACTTCCGGTAACACCGGCAGTGAAGGTCAAGCGGTTTTATGTGTGGGTACACGAAATGTTTCTCACGGCATAATCTACAACATCACGAAAAACGAACACGATACTCTATTTGGTTCAAAAGATATGGCGCAAACTATTTTGTCAAAATTTGCCCTTAAATCGCTTGTAATCTGATACCTGATGACGTCATGATAACGTCACAAAATTTATAACATTTTCGTACCATGGTACAAGTTCACACTATGTTTTATGATCATATCATAAACCGTTCGGAAGAAATTTTGCTTTGTTTTGATTTCAAGCTAACTTCTTCATTTTGAATTCACCTAACTTTGACCTTCCGGTAGTCCCGGAAGGAAAGGTCAAGCGAGTTTACGTACAGACAAAAAATGTTGAGCAATTAATGGTCTATCTCATTACAGAATACAAACATCATTGATTATTTATTTCAACTTTGACTTTAAAATCAAAAATGTTTATCAAGGTATTGTCCATCAGATCACAAAATATGAACGTGATTGTTCATTTTGTTCATGAGTTATAATTGACGGAAAATTGTCATATTTTGACCAAAAATCGCTTAAAATTTGACACCCGATGACGTCATCGTGACGTCAGAATAATATGCACCACTTCGGATGAGGGTCGATATATATTGAAAGTTACAGGTTAATATCATATACCGTTTAGGAGAAAACCCGCGGAGAATTATTGTCCGGAAAAAAAAAGAAACAAAGAAGATTAATCGCAACAAATCCAAAGAGTGGTCGGGTTGTGCCCGACCACTCAATGAACTAGAATGAAAATTTGTAATACTTTGTCTGATCATTATATGTTGTTGATATTACAAATTGTTGTACAATCCTCGCTGCGATTCGATTTTCAGGAAAACAAATTGTAAACTTTCCATTTACGTCGTTAACGGAATGTTAGGAGTTCAGCAAGCGTTTACCTGTTAATTTTTTTTATTGTTCCTAGAAGGCTCAGTTAAGACACAAGGTTAAGTTTGAGAACACTTTTGAAGCTTGTCTTGTAGATGGTCTGTCTGCGATAAGCACACGGGGGGAGGGGGATTGACAACTCCTTTGCGGGGCCATACACCACTGATCGTGGTATCGTGCGAGCAAAAGCCGTCATGTCTGAATTTCTTCATAATTCAATATGTGAATGGCATGCCGTTTTGGGGGCTGTTTTCTTTGTTTTTTTGTCCAAAAAATGCAATGTCGGCCGAAGGCTGAACAAAAGAACATTTATTTAGGGCAAATAGTACTACATTGTAGTAATAAAAATCGATGCAAAATAACACATAACCGGTGGTTAGTTTGATATCTGTTGAATTCCGTGGCCGTCCTCGTGGTCTGGAGTATTGAATTCGTGGTCTGCGGGTAATTCGGCAGGTTGTGGGTTCGAGTCCCGCCTGGGGTTATGGTGCGTGTGCCCTTGGGCAAGGCACTTTGTCACTCATTACTTCTCTCCACCCAGGAGTAAATGGCTACCTGTCAGAGCAGGGATGGTTATTGTGTTTGAATTAGCTTCCTTGCGCCTAACAGGCCCAATGATCAGGGGTAATAATAATGTAAGCGCTGTGATTTAGTTTACTAAACGGTGATCGGGTTGTGCTTGATCACCCAATTACACCATGAACAAAAAATATATCTTACAGAAACAAAGGGGGATCGAAATCGGCCCGATCACTCAACAGCAACAAAAATTGAAGTCTGAGGAATGAGTTGTTGAGCACATATCACAAAAGGTTCAGTTCGTTGGCTTTTTCTATTGAATACAACTAAATAATATATATATTTATATTCTCCACACAGGACGACAGACTGAAACTTTAAAACATCTTTGCTGAAAATGCCTTAAAGGAATTGTCTACCTGCTTTGTACTCTTGACAGCCAACCAACTTATAAAAGCAATAAAAAAAGAGTTTGATCGCTGTTTACTCTTAGACTATATGAACTTTGTTGCTGACTCGGCAGACATAGGCCTACATAACACACGGAAGACATGGTCTAGTTTTTGAAGCGCATGTCTGGAGCTGCACATAAAAAAATATGGCAGCTCAAAAATAGAAACCGTATCGGTAGACTTCAGTATGGAGTTAGGAGTTTTATGCAACATACGCTTAACATCTAAAAATAAATGTATTTTTAATGTTTTTCTTTGTCTTTGCATGGGCTAATAAAATTCTGCTCCGAGCTAACGAAAGAATGGCACGAAAGATTCACTGTCTGCATTTAAGGTATGAGAGGATAACTATTGAGGGACGATTCCCAAAAACAAAAAAAATGAACTAGAATGAAAATTTGTAATACAGTGGACAATGTAATGGATATCGTTATTTGGGCTATCATTCGACATGGATCGAATGATATAAAATAGACTTAAAATGCGGGTCGTTTTCAAATTCCCATAGAAGTAACTTCTGGTCTGATGACGTCATGAATTTGAAACCTTGCCAAGTTATCTGTGGTTATTCAAAGAATATCAAGGGGCGATTTGATAAAATTTGAACGGATGGTTTTCAAATTAAAGAAAGCAAACACTGTTTTATGTGTCGCTAGGGGGCGCCCTTTCGAAATATGACGTCATCACACTGCGTTTGAGTCTGGCTTTCCTCACTTAACACTTTCATAGTTTATATGAGTGTAGTAAAATGATTCCGATTTTGAGTTATATTCGGTCTTTATTGCACTTCCGGTAACACCGGAAGTGAAGGTCAAGCGGTTTTGTGTCCGGGGACAAGAAATATTACTCATGGCATAGTCTACAACCTCACGATAAAACGAACACGATAATCTATTTAGTTCAAAAGATAAAGCGCAAACTATTTTGTAAGAATTTGCCATAAAATCGCTTGTAATTTGATACCTGATGACGTCATGATGACGTAACAAAATTTAGAACATCTTCGCATTATGTTACAAGTTCACATTAGGTTTCTGGATCATACCGTCAACCGTTTGGAAGAAATTCTGCTTTGTTTTGATTTCAGGCTAAAGTGTTCATTTTGAATTCACCTAACTTTGACCTTCCGGTAGACCCGGAAGTAAAGGTCAAGCTAGTTTACGTACACGACACAAAAATGTTTATCAATTCATGGTCTATCCGATTACAGAATACAAACACTATTGATTATTTTGTGCAAATGTTTTAGGTGAAAGTAATTGGTCACTTTTTTTTAGCTAAAATCCTTTGTAATTTGACACCCGATGACGTCATCATGACGTCAGAGTAATATGCACCACTAGGCATGAGGGTCGATATATATTGAAAGTTACAAGTTCATATCATGAACCGTTTAGGAGAAAAGCCGCGGAGAAGTATTGTCCGGAAAAAAAGAAGAAAGATTTATCAGAACAATAACAGAGAGTGGTCGGGTTGTGCCCGACCACTCACCTAGAGTTTCGCGTTTGTTGTTACAAACGCAGAGTGGTCGGGCAGACAACTATTTTATGAAACACTGTCCAGTTAACGGGAACATGTAATAGGATTTATCTGACTTAAATACATTTAAAACAGCTCTCTTGCCATGAGTAGTGTAGTCTAAGCATTTGACCTCGTTTTCCGGTGGAGGATCATGATCCTCATCGAGGATCATATCGGTTACCCCGCCGAGGATCATAGGAGGAGGGGTGGGGTGTGTGTCTGTGACGAGATGACGTCATGGATCGAATGACAAATCGATGAGGTTGGGATTAGCGCTGAATGGGTATTGTTGGTAGAGGATATGCAAACGATTGTCAGGCACTGGAGCGCACTTTTTTGTGTATTTTAAGCCCGTACGTATATGATGAGGTAAATAGTGTTAAAAGCGATGTAATGTTTAAACATGTTTTATTGTACAATGTGTATTGCTGGATAGATCTGTCTTTTCCGTCAAAATAAACGTTTCATTCCCTTTTTTTCTTTCTTGTGTTTTGTTCTCGACGGGGCACTGCTGCCATTGAGCAAGCTTAAAGTCATAGTGTACATGCAGACAAACTGAAGAAAAAAAAAATCGTGGTTTTAATAAAGGTAATGTCTAAATGTAAGACCAGAAGACAGACACAGAAAGGTTGTAACTGAAGTTTATATTTATATATTTTTTTTATGTTTGGGTTTGAGTTTCATTTACATTTTTTTGGGGGGGGGGGGGTTGATGTAGTTTGCACGGACACACTAGTTAAATCGCACATAGTCGTTAAAATAGGAAACGTTCCAAAAAGGATCGTTACTTGCAAAAAAAAAATGTTAGTAAAACATTGTTCATAAAATTATTAACCGAGTTTACCAATCTCGTGAAGCTCATTTTAATTAGCCTTTACTTTTTTTTTTCTTTAAAAAAGCAACTTACTGTTTTTTTGATGATTGATTTTGTCTCTGCTAAGAAAAATATGCTTTATAGTTGGTGCACAAAATGGTCTCACTGACGTATCTTCGTCGTTCGAATGTTTATTGCGAAACCAATAACGTTTCTGTGTCGTTTTGCAAATTGCGCACCAAACAAAACGTCCAGCCGTCGTTTTCGGGTAGACTGTTTTGGCCTGAACCTCAATAGCGTCGTCCCGGAGTACAAAATTACCGAAGATGAATACTTTTTTTGTTGTTAAAATACTCTCAAAATAAGGTTTTCTGTCTTTTCGTGATTGCAGAATCTTGGTTACCCGGTCAATGAAATTTTGGAAAAATCGAACGCTTGTTATTATTGCGGAGGTTGTGACAACCAGCACGATTTTCTTTCTGTTTGCTATTACCACACGATGCATATAAATATATCACGACTGATATTGACGTACATGTACATGTATGTGCAATTTTAAAAAGTCACTTCGATGATCTCTTTTTCGCAAGGGATTTCTGGAAGGGTCGAACTAGACGCGTATTTGTTCGTCAACTCTTGCAAATGATTCGTAGTACTTTAACATACAATTTACCAATAGTATTTATAGATCATCCGTGTAAGTTAAGGCCATAGCATTTATGGGGAAGAAATAATACCGTACATTAGTATCGGTAGTTGCCGATCGCCGTCGTGTCGCGCATCATACACCCACAAAACGGGTCCGAGCTATCACAATGGCCTTTGTATTTGAGTGGGGAAACCCAATGATGTCACAGCGATGAGTCATCGATGGACGACAAACATGATGACCAGTCCACTAGTCCAGACTTGCCCAGTCTCTCACTCCGAATACGCGTGCGGTGTTCTCGAATGTTCCCAAGCACATTCCCAGTGACGTCACAGCGGTGAGTCATCAATGGACGACAAACAAGAAGACCAGTCTGGACTTGTCCGATCGTCCAGTCCGAATTCGTGGTGTTTTTACACTCTCTATGTGCACAATCGATCGGCGGTGTGAACATTCAACGTCAGCTGAATGTTTGGGGTGCATCGACAAAACGACAAGGTGACCGCAGTATACGTCCGCGTTTTTATCTCATCCAGTCCCGAATCTCCTGAACGATCGCACAAATTCAAGGTAAGTTTATGTCTCATGAGACATTTTTATCACCCGATGTTTATTTTTCTTTCTTCTAAATGAGTTTGCAAAGGTAAGATACATGATGTAGAATCGTTCGGATGATAATTGGTACATATGTTTTATTTCTCTCTCACTGCTTCAGGGTCCACCTCTCATCAGCATGTCCACCACTGTGATCAAAGGAAGAAGCGGAGTTATAGTGCACACTCAAGTGACATAAGACATTTAGGCTCCAAAACAAGTCATTCAAGAATCGCATTAAAATTTATTTGTCATTGTTATATATCTTAAATTTTAATCGAATTTATTTCGTTCTTTTGTAAAAGAATTGAGTTGAGTTACATGTACTAGTGCATAGGCCTTTGAGATAAACCACGCCAACGTAAAATCGTTGTGTATCTCGCTAAAGAAAAAGAAAAAAAAATCAACAACACTTTAGAATATGGTTTAACACTCAGATTTATATTTATAACTTTTCTGTACCCATGATGTTTTCCAAACGTTTATTGCGCTATTTTAGGGGACTCCACTTATTAAGCTAAATTTGAGAACAAAGACGCGTTTACAACGACAAAAAAATAAATAAATAAATAAATAAGATATAAATGAATATAATACATGAAATAATATCACACGTAGTAATGCATAACATTAAAGACATTTACCAATTCAGATATGTTAAAAATATTTACACATTGTTAACAGCAATCTGATTTTCTTTAATTAATGTACGAATTGAGTGTACATATGTATTTGTTTTTGTTTACGCTTAATGAAGATGTAGTTGACTCTATAGTGTCAGTGAATATTTCCCTAAGTGCAACGCAGCTAGTGCTCACATACGAACAAAGACTCATTCAAGCTTCAAGATTCTGTGTCTTTTAAAGATTTGTTCTAATTTATTTTTATATTTGTAGCAAACTTAACAAATTCAGTCGTAAATGTACATACTTTGAGCAGCGATACGTTTCATTACTTGATGCAGATTCATTTTATTTACGATTATAGATCTTTATGAACGTTAATGGAAAGGAGGCCGAATAATAATGCAGGTAACATTTTAGAAAAAGAAAAAAAGTCAACTTCAAAAAAAAGAAACTTTCACTTATCAATGCAAGTACAATATGAATATTTACACACATTATCTTTAACATCAATCTGCAGCTTCTATAATTTATTTATTTGTACATGTACATGTATATGTCTTCTTTTTTTTTATTATTATTAATTTGTTTGGTTTTTTTTTTTTTTTTAAACGTTCATTTAATAATTCCAATAGCCCCCCCCCCCCCAGTGAATATCATTGCGGAACTTATTTTGTTCTGCTTTTTAATAAATGAAAACTAATTGGTATCCTTTTTTTTTTTAAATTAACTACATTGGAAAGCACACTTCTTTCAACTTTTAAAATGTTCCATGTTTTTCCAAAACAACTGAGGGTGCTGTTGCCGTAATGTCATTCAATTAGACACGTTCATATTTATGGGTTTTTTTTATTGTGAACCCCAAAAATTTGCTCTTTAAAAATATTTGGGAGAACAGTTTGCTCACTGATTTACTGCCATCACGGACCACACACAAATGAATAATAAAAAAAATTTAAAAGTTTACGTCAGTGAAATATCCAGAATTCTGGCAACTTTTTGTGTCTGATATGACATTACTATTTTGTTAATAAAATTGAACTTGGCATTAACATAAAAAAGTATCAAAATTCCCTTGAAAACGGTAAAATGAAATTTAAATTAAGGCTACATGGGACACAAAGGTCCGTTGCAAACCGGACAGTTCAATGTTTGCATTAAAAAAAAAAAAAAAAAAAACCAACCAAACAAACAAACACCATTTCATGGGCACTTTAACAATAAGTGAAATACATGTGTAAAAGAAGATAGAGTTGACTTGCACAGTGTTTGTAACATATTTTGTCCCCTTAGGGCAACGCAGTTCTCACACGCGAATAAAGACACATTCAGGCTTCGAGATTCTGTCTTTTGAAGATTTATTTTAATTAATTTTACTTATACTTTTATTAACACAAAAGCATTATGACTATTTGCTAAACAATTGAGTGGTAAATGTATACACTACGTATACATGTAATAAAAAAAAAAATAAAAAAAAAATCTCAACTTAAAAATCAAAATAAAACGAGTGGACCTTCGTTGATCAGTTCTTCACAGTATTAATCCGTTTTTGTCCAACAAATTTACCTTCGTTTGTGTTTTATTGACGGATTAAACGTCTCCCGCTCTTCATTAATAGTGACATGGGTTTGTACAACGAGTTACAATTTTTCTCTCTTTTTTTGTGACTTGATTTTTATGTTTGTTACATTGTAATTTTTTTTAAATTATTTTGTGGAGGATCATGATCCTCATCGAGGATCATATCGGTAACCCCGACGAGGATCATAAAACGAGGTGTGTCTGTGGCGTAGTGACGTCATGGATCGATGGACAAATCGATCGTGAGGATTATCTTCGAACTCTAGTAGTGTAGTCTAAGCATTTGACCTCGTTTTCCGGTGGAGGATCATGATCCTCATCGAGGATCATATCGGTTACCCCGCCGAGGATCATAGGAGGAGGGGTGGGGTGTGTGTCTGTGACGAGATGACGTCATGGATCGAATGACAAATCGATGAGGTGGGGATTAGCGCTGCCACGGGTATTGTAATGGTAGAAGACAATGGGGCGACAAAAGTAGTAAGAGCGAAAGCGGGCGGACGACGATATAAACAATGGGCGCGTGTTTGAATGGGTTTATCGTGACAATAACAAAATATTAAAAGCCACGTGTATCCAAAAAAATATATATGTACATGTATAGTATATAAACATGTATATATTCTTAACCAATACATACACACAAAACTAAATAAAAGACTACTCGGGGTGCCTAAAACCAACCGGAACTCACCAGAACATTCCTTGAGTGGTCAACGGGCGATATACAGTTTTCAAGTATTTTATTCATAACACTGCAAACATATAATACTAAATTACAATCAATGCTAAATTTATAGTAATGTACAATATTAGTAAAATAATAAATAATTAAAAACAAACTATTAATAATAATAGTCAATAAATAAATAAATAAATAACAAAATAACAAAAAGGAATAAAAAGAATTAAAAAGAACAAAAAAAATGATTAGGTTCAGCACCCAGATTATTCTCAAAATGATGGGAAAAAAACAACAAATTTGGTTTACACTTATTAGTCAGTCTGCCCTTATAAGTTTAATTTCTCGTATTTGAACAAACTTTAAATAAAAATCATAATACAAAAACAAAAACCACCATTTGCCGTCCCGCCGACTCGCATTAAGATGCGTTGTGTATTTCGCAATTATTTTGCGTTGTGTATTTCGACTCCCCGCGTTAAAAAAAAAAAAAAATCATCCACATTTGTTATTTTCGTAATTATCAGAATTCCGTTCAGTTGCTCCGTTTACGCGAGCATGTTCAGTACATGTAGTTCGATTGCAGAGAGTTTTGAAGAAACTTCAATGACCACTTTTGTTTAGATAAGTTTTTCGAACTTCGTATGTAAAACAAACAACTAATAAATATTGAGAAAAAAATGAAGTAAAACAATTTGTTTTTCGTCCACAACATAATTCCAATTCAATAATTCCAATGATTGAAAGACAATTAAAATGTACAATATTTTTGTATTAAAGTAAGGAAAAAACACATTTCCAGGGACATTAGACGTTTTATAAGAATATAGTGTTTGTTTTGTGAAGTATGAAACTGGTAAACACACATAATTCAAAACAACTTCGTGGGCAAAGTGATGTGGAAAAGCGAGCTCATAACTCTTTCCACAATCTTTTGTTTTGTTATTGAAAAAAAAAAAAAAATTAAGATAAAAATCTGATATTCGTTATGGTAAATAGCCTACTACCATTTTACAAATCAAGATACGAGGTAGATACACCGTCTGAGGCTACTTTTCTCTTCGGATAGAGATAGCTGAAAGCTGTTTTCACTTGTTCGTACGTGTACATGCCGTCGTGTTGCATCCTGAATCCTCGGTTGACTCCTCCACTAGCTGTCTGGGATGTTATGACCTCCATGTACTGTTGCTTGGTGATGTCATTATTGGCCTTGTTGAGCCCTTTGCAGCTGATCTTATTCTTGGATCCGAAGCAGTAGTAGGTCTTACTGCAGAGAGCAATAATCCCATCGCCTTCCCACTCCACCTTAAACAACCCTGGAGTCCGCTTGTCGTAGGCGCGGTGAGGGGCGGTGTCGTCGCGGGGAAACCACTGGTGCTTCTCTCTCACGTACTGCTCCTTCATCTCCTCCTTGATGACATCGTCTAAAGTATTTCCCGAGATGGCGAGATAAGCCGAATCCGTGTCCATCTCGCACATCTGGAAGTCAGAGGGGTGGACAAACTTGATTAAGAAGTCATAATAGAACTCCAGCATGCGCAATTTCGCGAACTGATAAACAAAGAAGCCTATTTGGAGCGGTAAATTGAGCCGGATCATCTTCTTAGCCATGTCCACTTCGTACACGTCATCATCAAGCGCGTGAAGTGCGCGGAAATGGGACTTGTTGACGTACCGAGGAGCATCTGCATCGTTGCACACGCGGACGTTCATGTGTCGCTCCTGATTGGTGACCGTCTTCCCGTAGGCCGAGTTCCCCAGCAGCTTCATAGTGTCGGCCAAGATAGCTTTACTCGGGTCAGAATCTCCAGCCCTCCTCGCGTCACTCACCGCATCACCGAACGCCTCGAAACACTTATTCTTTTTGAACTGGATAACTTCGTGTACGTGGAGGACCTCCAGACCATGATTGAGATACCATTGGAGGAGGGGAGTGGCCAACAAGATGCGTGTGCCGAACATGCTGCCAATCAAACTGCGCCGTGGTGTATTCATGATTCCTTCTCTCTCGGCATAACTTTGCATGTGGTCACCGATGTCATTTCTGGTAATATCTATGTTCTTAAAAATAGGTGGCATTTCAGCAAAGTGATCTCTCGAGGCCTCAGGTACTTGGATATCACACTCGATCAGACCGAACATGGACCCATCCATGACTGCTTCGAGGATCTCCCGTTGAGTCATATTTGCCTTACCGCAGTGAGGCAGTCTTGACGTTTGTAGAAAGCTTTCCACCGTCTGATCAGTTGCCTGTAGTTGACGCCATTCACACTCCCACATTTCGACCAGGTTGTACCCCTGCTGACGAATGTACGCAGAAGTCTCTTCTGTTTGACGCCTGAGATCGTCTATGCTCACTTTTCTGACTTTGTTGAATTCATTGGGATTCAAATGACATGGATGCCCGTGCCAGTAACAACCGTGGAACTGGTAGACTGTGTTGGTGTCGCTGCAGTAGCCATCCACCGGAATCATTCGCTCACACACACGCTTTTCCGTGCTATTGAATTGATGCCGAATGTGGACATCTTCGCAATGGGCCACCCAGTCTAGCCACTCTGTGGCCATAACACCGAATTTATGGCTCCTGATTGGCTTGAAGTCTTGGTCGGCCCGTCTCCTTATACACGTCCCCACAGGCATCTCTTGCATCAGAGACCATAAGTACAGGGCATTGGCGTCAAATCCTACGATGTTTTGACACAGTTTGGTGCCTCCCCGGATGAATGTTTTCCCCTTCTCATGGTATCGATGGAAGACGAGAGACGGGCCACCCACGATGTTGTCTTTGAGTTTGTAATAAAGGTCCTTGTTCGCTTCGTCTATGAGGCTGAAGAAGGTGTCTTTCGGCAGTGTAAGGAATAGGTAGTGTAGTGACAGACCCGGGACCGAGATGGCGCATTTAAACATGTCCATCTGCCGCTGTCTGTAGAATGCAAACATCTTGTCTACCGCATCGAGAAAAGGAACCACGTCCAGGTTGTTGTACCAAACGAGAAAATCCCGTACTGTGTTCATACCGTGCTCCTTCCACACGCTCTGGCAGTACTGGTATTCCTCCTCGGATATGTTGCATCCCTTCAACTTGCTGTAGAAGGCCTGATGAGGTGGAAGTGACCCGACTTCAAGTTTGTCCAGATCATCTACCCACTCGTACGGGAAAAATCCTTTGGTGAGGGGGCAGTCGTACGCCTTTAAAAATTTTGCGTAGCTGTATCCGGGAGCAAGGTAATTGGTGATATCAAGAAACTTCAACTTCTCGGTTTTGAGGGCCATGTACGTGCTGGTTCTTTTGATGATCAATTTCAGAGGATCTGTTTCTTGAAGTACCGGGTACAGATAACGCTTGATGACGTTGATATCGTATTTCCCAGAGTTGAAACCCAGTACCGGTAACTCTTGAAGATATTCGTCTAACTGCTCCCTGAGTTTGTTGATGTGCTTGTGCAGTTTGCTTTGCGGCATTGACTCGCTTTGCATGTCCTCAATCATCTCATCCATCTTCTCAAAAATGACTTCATATTTCTCCAGAAGTGTGTCGTACGCAGCTAGACTGATGGTATGTAAGTAGTCGACCATGTCTGATACCAGTTCACGCGGGTTGCCGTTACTGACAAAACACCGTGGTGCCTCGTAGTCCGGAATATTACTGGCTATGCTGCAACTGAGTAACTCGTGACGTGCTTCCCATCGCAGTTTTGCGTCTCGCTGGCGCATTGAGGGAGATACGGATTGGAAGTAGCATTCGTAATCGAACGTGGCCCTGTAGGGGTAATATTTCATGTCCTCCTCTACATCTATGCCGACCTCGGATAACTTGTCGAAGATTGTTAAAGGCAGTTGGTAAGAACCCCCACTAAACTTGTGTTTAACGTTGACGTCACACGTGATCTCATGGGTCATAAGATTCCACGATCTTGTAAACACGGTGTTGCACTTGGAGCAGGCGTACGATCGGCTGTACTTACTGAGATCAGAAATGTAGGAGAAATGATTTCCCCACAGGTTAAGATACAGAGTATCGGGATAGCGGCGGTGAGAACGCCTGATCAGTTCCACCTGGATCGTGGGTTTGTTCGGACATTGTTCCTCCCCTGTCATCTTATCAACCTCGTTCGCGTCATCATCATCGTCATCGATCTCTGCCGGCAGCAACGTGTACACCTGCACATTCACCTTAAACACCACCTCGGCAATGGCCAGCTCATCCATCGTTATGCCGTCTACCCGATCTTTACCCGCAGCCTGGCGGTATGTTTCGACCAGATGATGTACTGCTTTTTCAGTCGAGTGTGAATTGGTTCCCCTATGCACGGCCAGACAACGAAAGAAACAAAAATTGTCATCCAGCATCTTTCCGGTGTTTGTGTTTCGGAGCAAATTTGTCAGACCCCGATTGTTAGCGACGTAGTGCGGAAGTTTCTCAACGGGTGAGCCGATGGGAAACTGCGGCATTTTGTTGACGTAGACCGTCACGTTGGTGGTTGCTGCAACGGTCCACTTTGTGTCGGGACGACGCAGAATTCCGTACTGTAAGATGTCAGTCTCTCGGACTCTCTCCCTTACACGATCCATGTCTTGTTCCGTTGCCACAGTCTCCGGGGTAGAGAACAGCCTCGCATTATTTTGACTGGCGTGAAAGTACCTCAGCTGACCCGTCTCCGAATGACGTAGGATAAACCCAAACGATAAGTTGATCTTTACTCGGCATCGAAGGCGCTGAAATATCATTCTCAACGCCAAATCTACGTCTATGGTCGAGTTTCCAGCCAGTCGAAAATTGTATACATCTTGAATGCGGCGGCCGGTTGTGTAATGCGTGCGAATGGGCAGCCAGTGTCGACGGAGAGCTTTGAGAATATCATCAGCCTCTTGCAAGTTTTCTTCGCCGAAATCATCAGCTGGAAACTCGCGGGGATCTTCGGGAACAGTTTCAGGTGACTCAGGACGGGAAATTTGATGTGATAACGGTTCTTCGTGTATTGACGGTGGAGTTGCACCGCTTTCGTGGTAGGTTTTGATGTGTCTCCTTAGGCTGTCATGTCGACTGAAAGACTTGTCACACAGCGGGCAGATGTGCCCCTGTGATGCCTGTGGTGGGGAAGGTAGTGGTACGCCAGTCGGTGATGTTGAAGTAAGGACATTGGGATCAGCCTCCATCATATCGGGGTCTTCTTTGTTCTCAGAGACGAATTGACTGGGTTCGGGGTTTGGCTCGAACGATATTGGATAAGATGCCGACACTCCACGGTGGTCGTTTTGAAGATGACGCAACATATGACTTACTCTCTGGAAAACGTCTCCGCAGGCTGGACAGGTTGATTTCGTAATACTTGGGCTTTTGGCCTGGGGAGGGTTACAGTCAGTTCCGGCTTCAGCAATGGTCGACCCTGCACTCTCTTGACCCGAAATTTGACGGGTGGTGGACGGCAGCTGATCTGCGCTGTGGTTCTTGCGATGCCGTTTTAAGTTGTCGGGACGAGAGAACACTTTGTTGCAAACCGGACAGGTCACGGCCTTCTTGTTGACACTCGGACCGCTCTCGTGAAGCTTGCGGTGTCGGATGAGGTTGGTCAACTGACGGAAGACCTTTCCACACGTCCCACATGGGTATCGTCCACCTTTGGCTGCCCTTTCGCCTTGTTCTTGTCCCCCTCGTCCATCCTGCAATCCTTGCTGCTTCACCGCGGCTGACGGCTCGGGAGGAACGTCAACAATCTGCAGGTGTGGAGAAAAAGAAACAGGATCGTTAGTACATAATGTTCACTTTTATATACATGTTTTAACATAAAATGCGATGAATACATAGACATTTCGATTTTATTAACTACATTACTAAATAAGGAAAACAAAATTAGAGTCTCAACAAGATGGTTTGTAAATTCACAGTAATGTACAGTGTATCTGAGTGATATTTGTTTTTCAGACGGTTGTTTTATACTTACCATAAGCTGATCTTCATCTTGATCGATGTCCCACTCCTCCTGCAAGCATCGAAGGAACTGGTCACTGGGAGGGGTGCTTGTCGGAAAGGGTTTCATGGCTCCCTGATGGCTCATTTTGAAACTTGAGGGTATCTGGGTTATATGAGGAAAAAAATTGTTAATGTAAAGACAAAACTCATACCATTCCTCTACAAATGTAGATGTACATGTATTATTGTACACGTTGCAGTTAATAGGACACTTACTCGAGACTCGAGATCGATGTGACGATGTCAATGTCCACATTCAAACTGATCCTCTTGATGACAATCCTCAACTTATATACCTTCCAGATGACGAAAATCTCTCCTTTTTTCCACAAAATCTAAAAATAGCGCAGCATATTTATTGTTATGCTAATAAAAGAACGGTACGTTGAAATACTGTTTGAATATTAATTTTTTTTTTTTTTTTTTAAGTAGGCCTACTCTTTTTTTTTTTAACTTAATCTAAAAATAGCGCAGCATATTTATAAAAGAACACTACGTTTTAAATAATGTTTGATTGAATTTTCATTTCTTTTTTCTTTCCTCTTAAGTATTTTATTTTTTTTTTAAATTAACGAAGAAATGGAAAAAAAAAGTTGATTGCGTTCACGTTGGTAAACAAGGTGCCTCTTATAACAATGTAATTCGGAAATGAGCAAGAAAGGAGCAAAAGAGCAAGGCAGGAGTTAGAAAAGATCAAGAAAAGAGCAAAAGAGCAAGAAAAGAGCAAGAAAAGAGCAAAAGAGACAAGAAAGGAGCAAAAGAGCAAGAAAGGAGCAAGAAAAGAGCAAAGGAGCAAGAAAAGAGCAAGAAAAGAGCAAAAGAGCGAAAGAGTAAGAAAAGAGCAAGAAAAGAGCAAGAAAAGAGCAAAGGAGCAAGAAAAGAGCAAGAAAGAGCAAAAGAGCAAGAAAAGAGCAAGAAAAGAGCACGAAAAGAGCAAAAGAGCAAGAAAAGAGCAAGAAAAGAGCAAGAAAGGAGCAAGAAAAGAGCAAGAAAGGAGCAAGAAAAGAGCAAGAAAAGAGCAAAAGAGCAAAAAAAAGAGCAAAAGAGCGAAAGAGTAAGAAAAGAGCAAGAAAAGAGCAAGAAAAGAACAAAGGAGCAAGAAAAGAGCAAGAAAAGAGCAAAAGAGCAAGACAAGAGCAAGAAAAGAGCAAGACAAGAGCAAAAAAAGAGCAAAGGAGCAAGAAAAAAGCAAAAAAAAAAAAAACCCAGCAAACGAACAAGAAGAAAGTAAGACATGAAACGAAGGAGCATTAAAAGAACAAGACGTGAGCAGATGAGCACTAAAAGAGCAAGGGGTGAGCAAAAGAGCCCGAGCAGCTGAAATGAGTAGCTACATATCAAATGTTTTCATCCGGATTTTAGATTCGGACCTTATGAAGTAAGCTTTGGTGTTTTAACGTGGCCGTGTTTGTTCAGTGTGTACTTTTCTATGGTTTGATATTGAGTTACGGCTTGTGTTGAAGCGTCTTGTACGTCTTGTGGGTTACTTCAATGTTATTTCTTGTTTTCTAATACCCTGCGTTTGTTTTGTTTTGCGACAAACTATATATTTAATGAATACGTACACATTTATATATATATAATAGTATTCGATTCAAGAAAGCATGTCAAGAACTGTATCTATTAAATTTCACCTTCATCCGCAATTGGGTAATGCTCTTTCGTCTACATTCACACACCGCGTCTCGATAGTTGGCAATCATAGAGTGTTCCTTATTTGTTATACATGTAGGATTATCTTCGAACTCTATAATACGCATTCGGCGCTAATCCTCACGATCGATTTGTCCATCGATCCATGACGTCACTACGCCACAGACACACCTCGTTTTATGATCCTCGTCGGGGTTACCGATATGATCCTCGATGAGGATCATGATCCTCCACAAAATAATTTAAAAAAAATTACAATGTAACAAACATAAAAATCAAGTCACAAAAAAAGAGAGAAAAATTGTAACTCGTTGTACAAACCCATGTCACTATTAATGAAGAGCGGGAGACGTTTAATCCGTCAATAAAACACAAACGAAGGTAAATTTGTTGGACAAAAACGGATTAATACTGTGAAGAACTGATCAACGAAGGTCCACTCGTTTTATTTTGATTTTTAAGTTGAGATTTTTTTTTTATTTTTTTTTTTATTACATGTATACGTAGTGTATACATTTACCACTCAATTGTTTAGCAAATAGTCATAATGCTTTTGTGTTAATAAAAGTATAAGTAAAATTAATTAAAATAAATCTTCAAAAGACAGAATCTCGAAGCCTGAATGTGTCTTTATTCGCGTGTGAGAACTGCGTTGCCCTAAGGGGACAAAATATGTTACAAACACTGTGCAAGTCAACTCTATCTTCTTTTACACATGTATTTCACTTATTGTTAAAGTGCCCATGAAATGGTGTTTGTTTGTTTGGTTGGTTTTTTTTTTTTTTTTTTTAATGCAAACATTGAACTGTCCGGTTTGCAACGGACCTTTGTGTCCCATGTAGCCTTAATTTAAATTTCATTTTACCGTTTTCAAGGGAATTTTGATACTTTTTTATGTTAATGCCAAGTTCAATTTTATTAACAAAATAGTAATGTCATATCAGACACAAAAAGTTGCCAGAATTCTGGATATTTCACTGACGTAAACTTTTAAATTTTTTTATTATTCATTTGTGTGTGGTCCGTGATGGCAGTAAATCAGTGAGCAAACTGTTCTCCCAAATATTTTTAAAGAGCAAATTTTTGGGGTTCACAATAAAAAAAACCCATAAATATGAACGTGTCTAATTGAATGACATTACGGCAACAGCACCCTCAGTTGTTTTGGAAAAACATGGAACATTTTAAAAGTTGAAAGAAGTGTGCTTTCCAATGTAGTTAATTTAAAAAAAAAAAGGATACCAATTAGTTTTCATTTATTAAAAAGCAGAACAAAATAAGTTCCGCAATGATATTCACTGCGGGGGGGGGGGGCTATTGGAATTATTAAATGAACGTTTAAAAAAAAAAAAAAAACCAAACAAATTAATAATAATAAAAAAAAAGAAGACATATACATGTACATGTACAAATAAATAAATTATAGAAGCTGCAGATTGATGTTAAAGATAATGTGTGTAAATATTCATATTGTACTTGCATTGATAAGTGAAAGTTTCTTTTTTTTGAAGTTGACTTTTTTTTCTTTTTCTAAAATGTTACCTGCATTATTATTCGGCCTCCTTTCCATTAACGTTCATAAAGATCTATAATCGTAAATAAAATGAATCTGCATCAAGTAATGAAACGTATCGCTGCTCAAAGTATGTACATTTACGACTGAATTTGTTAAGTTTGCTACAAATATAAAAATAAATTAGAACAAATCTTTAAAAGACACAGAATCTTGAAGCTTGAATGAGTCTTTGTTCGTATGTGAGCACTAGCTGCGTTGCACTTAGGGAAATATTCACTGACACTATAGAGTCAACTACATCTTCATTAAGCGTAAACAAAAACAAATACATATGTACACTCAATTCGTACATTAATTAAAGAAAATCAGATTGCTGTTAACAATGTGTAAATATTTTTAACATATCTGAATTGGTAAATGTCTTTAATGTTATGCATTACTACGTGTGATATTATTTCATGTATTATATTCATTTATATCTTATTTATTTATTTATTTATTTTTTTGTCGTTGTAAACGCGTCTTTGTTCTCAAATTTAGCTTAATAAGTGGAGTCCCCTAAAATAGCGCAATAAACGTTTGGAAAACATCATGGGTACAGAAAAGTTATAAATATAAATCTGAGTGTTAAACCATATTCTAAAGTGTTGTTGATTTTTTTTTTCTTTTTCTTTAGCGAGATACACAACGATTTTACGTTGGCGTGGTTTATCTCAAAGGCCTATGCACTAGTACATGTAACTCAACTCAATTCTTTTACAAAAGAACGAAATAAATTCGATTAAAATTTAAGATATATAACAATGACAAATAAATTTTAATGCGATTCTTGAATGACTTGTTTTGGAGCCTAAATGTCTTATGTCACTTGAGTGTGCACTATAACTCCGCTTCTTCCTTTGATCACAGTGGTGGACATGCTGATGAGAGGTGGACCCTGAAGCAGTGAGAGAGAAATAAAACATATGTACCAATTATCATCCGAACGATTCTACATCATGTATCTTACCTTTGCAAACTCATTTAGAAGAAAGAAAAATAAACATCGGGTGATAAAAATGTCTCATGAGACATAAACTTACCTTGAATTTGTGCGATCGTTCAGGAGATTCGGGACTGGATGAGATAAAAACGCGGACGTATACTGCGGTCACCTTGTCGTTTTGTCGATGCACCCCAAACATTCAGCTGACGTTGAATGTTCACACCGCCGATCGATTGTGCACATAGAGAGTGTAAAAACACCACGAATTCGGACTGGACGATCGGACAAGTCCAGACTGGTCTTCTTGTTTGTCGTCCATTGATGACTCACCGCTGTGACGTCACTGGGAATGTGCTTGGGAACATTCGAGAACACCGCACGCGTATTCGGAGTGAGAGACTGGGCAAGTCTGGACTAGTGGACTGGTCATCATGTTTGTCGTCCATCGATGACTCATCGCTGTGACATCATTGGGTTTCCCCACTCAAATACAAAGGCCATTGTGATAGCTCGGACCCGTTTTGTGGGTGTATGATGCGCGACACGACGGCGATCGGCAACTACCGATACTAATGTACGGTATTATTTCTTCCCCATAAATGCTATGGCCTTAACTTACACGGATGATCTATAAATACTATTGGTAAATTGTATGTTAAAGTACTACGAATCATTTGCAAGAGTTGACGAACAAATACGCGTCTAGTTCGACCCTTCCAGAAATCCCTTGCGAAAAAGAGATCATCGAAGTGACTTTTTAAAATTGCACATACATGTACATGTACGTCAATATCAGTCGTGATATATTTATATGCATCGTGTGGTAATAGCAAACAGAAAGAAAATCGTGCTGGTTGTCACAACCTCCGCAATAATAACAAGCGTTCGATTTTTCCAAAATTTCATTGACCGGGTAACCAAGATTCTGCAATCACGAAAAGACAGAAAACCTTATTTTGAGAGTATTTTAACAACAAAAAAAGTATTCATCTTCGGTAATTTTGTACTCCGGGACGACGCTATTGAGGTTCAGGCCAAAACAGTCTACCCGAAAACGACGGCTGGACGTTTTGTTTGGTGCGCAATTTGCAAAACGACACAGAAACGTTATTGGTTTCGCAATAAACATTCGAACGACGAAGATACGTCAGTGAGACCATTTTGTGCACCAACTATAAAGCATATTTTTCTTAGCAGAGACAAAATCAATCATCAAAAAAACAGTAAGTTGCTTTTTTAAAGAAAAAAAAAAGTAAAGGCTAATTAAAATGAGCTTCACGAGATTGGTAAACTCGGTTAATAATTTTATGAACAATGTTTTACTAACATTTTTTTTTTGCAAGTAACGATCCTTTTTGGAACGTTTCCTATTTTAACGACTATGTGCGATTTAACTAGTGTGTCCGTGCAAACTACATCAACCCCCCCCCCCCAAAAAAAATGTAAATGAAACTCAAACCCAAACATAAAAAAAATATATAAATATAAACTTCAGTTACAACCTTTCTGTGTCTGTCTTCTGGTCTTACATTTAGACATTACCTTTATTAAAACCACGATTTTTTTTTTCTTCAGTTTGTCTGCATGTACACTATGACTTTAAGCTTGCTCAATGGCAGCAGTGCCCCGTCGAGAACAAAACACAAGAAAGAAAAAAAGGGAATGAAACGTTTATTTTGACGGAAAAGACAGATCTATCCAGCAATACACATTGTACAATAAAACATGTTTAAACATTACATCGCTTTTAACACTATTTACCTCATCATATACGTACGGGCTTAAAATACACAAAAAAGTGCGCTCCAGTGCCTGACAATCGTTTGCATATCCTCTACCAACAATACCCATTCAGCGCTAATCCCAACCTCATCGATTTGTCATTCGATCCATGACGTCATCTCGTCACAGACACACACCCCACCCCTCCTCCTATGATCCTCGGCGGGGTAACCGATATGATCCTCGATGAGGATCATGATCCTCCACCGGAAAACGAGGTCAAATGCTTAGACTACACTACTGCCATGTAACTATGAAGTTTCCACCTCCTTTGTAGCAGTAAAAGAGAGAAATGTCAACATTTAAGTTTTTATGCTAATGAAAATTTCCATACGAGCCAAAGCGTGATGTCATTCAAGGCAGAACCGTATAGTGTCTCCATAGCTTTGTGTATACAAATATGTCAAAGTTTCCTTTATTTTCTTGGAGTAAATTCCAAATCACAGTTTTTAAAATGTGATTTGGTCGTCAACATTATGGAGCCCCTAAATACAGTTACACATTAAAGAAACAAAGGATCAAACTCATTCATCATGTTTATCATGTAAAACAGCTTATTTGGACGATCGTAGTGGCAAATATTTCTTCAAAAAAATATTTTGGGGGTAATTTTGAAGGACCAATTTTTGTACTGTTCATATAAACGCACCCTTGGCAAGGAGTACCTTGTGTGACAAAAGCAAAATAGCGCCCTCTTATATGTTGATGAAAGGATTTACTTATAATTGAAAATTGTGCCCGACCACTCAATGATACATGCATTGAATAAAGCGTATACTAAACTATACACACACCGCTTACTTATAACACGCCCTGTTGGGGTTTTGTCCCCTCAAATTATGGATCACGTTGTGATTGGTCCATGTAGTCTGACGTCATTTTATTCCCCATGACACGTAAGTATGCAATGCTGTACTGACTGATCCCATGACACCAACATCTTGAATCGAGGCAGACCGAAGTAGCGCTAGGCGGCAAAGCATTGTTACTCATTACTGTACACATTTCCAACGAGTCGACAATAAAGCAAGGTGCTTCTCATTCTATCTACTTAGTGTGTCTTCATCAACGAGCAACGGAACTTCACTGATTCGGTAAGTACAAACTTTGCGAGCCTGCGCCTCTGACCATTTCGATATTCATTAAAAAAAATAAAAATTAAAGAAACTATTTATTTATGTTTTTATTTATTTTTTATTTATGTAGTTTTTGTCTTTGCACAATGACAAACAAAGTAGGAATTATCGTTCGTAAATGCCACACCTTTCAAATTCATTATTTCCTTTTTCATGACCACAATGATATGATCAGAGATTACACCTTTTTGATGTATCCCAAATGTATCAGATCACTAAGGCCTGATAATTGAACCTCTATGAGTTTGGGTAAGAGTCATGGGCGTGGCCAGGATTTTTTTCTAGAGGGGGCAAAGCGCTCAAAATCCTTGTACTTTATCGAGCAAATTCTCAATTTATCATTTTGTCGAGGTTGGGCGGGGGACATTTGCCCATCCCATCACCCATTGACACCCATGCAGACGCTCATGTTGTTGTTAAATGTGCATTAAATTATGACTTCGGCGCACCTCGTCTTCCTTATTCCCCCCCCTTTTTTTTCTCCTTTTTTCGGGGGGGGGGGGGGCAAGGGGAGGTGGCAAGCGCCCCCTTGTCCCCCCCCCCCCGACGCCCATGGTGGAGTCCAAATAAGTAGTCACGAAGGTGTTTTTTCTTTGTTAATACATGTACTACGTTCCCTACGTTTCGAATTCGCTTTCATGTAATCACCAGTTACTTTATATTTTGTTTCAGGAATAATCAATGTCCTCGTTAAGCATTTCTTATTTGAAAGGGTGGCACTCATGGCTTGAGATGCCCCCCAACACTCACACATTCTCTTTCAATCAGTGGCGTAATCAAACGGTTAAAATTCGGGGCACACATTTTCCAAGGGGTAATAGATGTTGAAAGCAGATGTGGAGTTGATTAACTCAATGACTTATCGTGTTTATCTGAGCTGCGAAGATGATGTGCAATTACAGATTCACTGCTTTCTAAGCCTATATCACATCAACGGCCGAGCAACTGACTCAACATTCCAAATTATACAACAAATCTTTGTAATAATTATTTCCCTACGCAGGTACAAGTGCGTATAGCCAAGATGGTACCACATCACTTCACCGTCAGTTTATGTCTTCATGTGCTCATGCTGCTTCCATTCCACTCGGTCGTGGCCGGTTATGGTATGCAAGGTGGTTCTATGACACATGGAACCAGTGGTCGGATCAGCAGCAGTGGTAGTACTAGCAGCAGGATCGGTGGTGGCAGCATGGTTGCGCGCTACACCGGCCTGCAACATCGCGATCTCCTCGACGACGACAAAGGACATTACGTGTGCTCTCTCCAAGACTGCATGCCATACATCCGCATGGGAGTCACCATCGAACTCAGTATGCAACAGAAACATGAAGTCCAACGTAAGCGGAGCTTCATTCGTAAATGGCGTGATGATAACAAGCTCTACCGCGCCTCAGCCCAGATTCGGCACACCCCTATAGTCACACTGACCCCAGCACAGCAGTCGCAAATCCTGTCCCGATTTGGCAACTACTTCACGTCAGCGGAAGACCTACCACCGATCACACACGTTGGGGCCAGAGAGAAGCGCAGCGATATCAGCATTTGTCCACGTGTGGAGCATTGGGATGCCTTGTTGTTGGGCTTAACGAATGATGATGAACTTGTCCAAGTTGTGCAGGTGAGACAAAGACCCAAACTTTAGACCAATTGGAGCACAGGCCCCCTTCCATGGCGTAAGCATTGTGCTAGCTATTGTTCAGATAATCTGTCACAGGGCAGCTGCTTTGTACAATAGCATGCACAATGATTTCTCCATTGAAAGGGGCCTAATGAATGTACAGGACGAGTAAAAATAAAAAGGAAACTCAAATGACAGGACCATTTCTTAATGAAGTTCTACATGTAGCACTAGAAGAACCAATTTAAATCATTTTAACCAGTTATCACCGTAGATGTTTTTTGACGTTTTGTGTTCGTAAATGCTATAAAAACCAAGAAAAACAATCGTTTTCCTGTAGTCTGGTTTCCTGACTCCATTTCAGATGAAACGGAGCAATTTATAAACATTTGGGAATTGTAGGGTCAGGAATTGTACCCCTTCATGTGAACAAAGGATTTTTGGAAGAACATGAGATATAATTTTAGAAAAATGGCTTAAATAAGTAGTTTTTCAAGTCCCGTTTTGCTGTACTATCTTTTGAACAAAACATCTTATAATGAAACAAAGTAAAGAGCATTTGGAACGGTCCTCAGCAACAATTAGACATCAAGTTTGAATACTGCCCCCACTTTTAATTTTATGACAACATGCCCGATTCGACGTTATGGTTTTTTTGTGGGACAGACAACCTGTACACAATTTATTCCGCCTAACTAAGCATGTAAAAAAAACAGTCCTGAAAATTTGGGGAAAAGGGGATCAAGACATGGGAAAAAATGGGGTTAGCGGACTCTCCACCGCTGTTCCAGAGCCTAACATTCGCTTGGTCCCCCCCCCCCCCCCGCCCGCGATTTTTTTCTCCCAAACGACATCTGCATACATGGTCGTTTAGCGCCCTATTCGATACTTTCACGATACGCACGCAGGTATATAATTATTTGTTTCCCTGATTGGTTCACTGAACACGGAGCTAGTGTGGTTTTCGCGATTCAACTGCACAATAAAACACAGTTAAACGCCAGACGACGAAAAATCCAAAGAAACGTAAACGTGAACGTTATTTTCGTTCCGATCGGAGACACTGATAAAACGTCGCAATCAAATTAGTTTTTTCGGAAGTGTTTTTTCATCAAGTGTCTTGCCAATATGTCACAGTTCTATTTGATAAAAAAAAATTATAGTCCATTTTCTGTCGGTATATTGTTATATCTCCAATATCAAAAACTTATTTGTATTATGAAAAAGTGATTAAAAAGACGTCCTCCGGTGAGCTGTTTTTACCCCGAAAGAGACTGGATACAATTCGGCCACAAGAGGGCGTGTTGTACGAGCTAAAGCACGGACATGCGCATAAACCTAATGTTGCCCTGAAAACAGCGGTGGATTTGGTCAGTATCAAATCAGGGCATAAATGATTATTGTGCGCATGCGCAAGATATACCGCCCCTAAAGTGGTTACAAGCATTTTGAGGGACATTTGAAAAAAACAGGACTCTAGAAGCTGCCACCGTTGCAATGCTATCACCTATTTTCCAA